CCATTTGTCACGCCCACTGCGATTACTGCCCATCTGTCCGCCGATAAAGAAAGGCGCAATAAATCCAGATCTCAATAAAGCCTTAGGCCTAAGCTACACAGCCAAGGCCTTACCCTAAGTAAGCCTTGTTTGATTAAGGTTAACATGAAACGTGTGTAAATAACATTTTACGTAGATCATTGTTTGAAATAAAATTAATTTTTTTATTAATGCTTCTGAGTGAAGCTCACTTCCACCATCGGCCTGCTTATTATCTCTTTCCATCAGGTGAAATGCAAACCAAGAGCTCCTCGTCAAAAAATGCACTGGCAGATTATTAGTGTTTCTAATAAGAATCAATAAATCCAACTAACGCCCGGTTCACACATGTCTCCGTTTTACTGTTCCGTTTTATCATGTACGTTTTTTTTTCGTCGATGGCGTATGTAGTTGTATGAGCGACTTCACACATGACACAGTATTCTGTATACAGTAATACCAGGCCTGTTCATCTCCGCGAGTTTACATCGAAAACAAAACACGCACGATGGCCCACCTACAGGATACTAATCGACAAGGCCTCACATACGAGCGAACATTGAGTCACGCACGCGTATTCTTGTGTATGATGGAAGAAAATAAAGAAAATGGTGTACTAAATACTGTGCAGTATTTAACTGCCTAAATAATAATAAAAACACAGAACGTACTTTTTTAAGTTGCCTCAAGACACTGAGAGGTAAATAAGTAGTTAATATTATTCATGATAATTCATTCTAAATCATGTGTTTCCTCCGCCATTTTCCGCAGTTTGGCACCTCACGTCACATCATTTTACCGAAGTCAGCCCTATAGCTTCGGCGCAGTGCCGATCACTGACGTTTGTCAACAAAATGGTGCTTGACTCTTGAGACAGGCTAAATTACACCATATTGTTAATTACATTGAGCATACATTTTTTTAAATACTTTCGCGAAGTAAAACTTCTGTACGTAGTACTTATTATTATTCTGTGGTAATACATACAAAAAACGCACACGATAAAACGCACAGTAAAACGGAGACATGTGTGAACCGGGCGTAAGGACACAAAACAGAGCTTACAATGCAATTCAACACGCTACAGCCTTATGTATCTTTCTTTATAAAGGAAAGTTCTAGCCAGATGCTGTATTATTACGTCCCCTGTACAAAAATAGGTGATAGAGGTAATACGTGATAAAACGGTTTCCTTTATCTGCTCTAGTGGAATTTGGACCAATACAGTGTGGCGACGAGAAAATCCTCTTTAAGGAGAACGCGGAAACGTAATCCTGAGAAATCACCGTAGCCAACGTAAATAAATGAAATTTGTATCAGATTGTTATTTTGTTTTGTGAAACGAAGCGTAACATAACAGCCGCACAATGTTTTATTAATTTATTGTCTTGAATAAATAGTTAGTTATAATATTATTATAATAAAAATAGTTTGTCAAGTAGGTACGCCAATTATAACTAAGTTATTTGGTAGGTAATTTTTATCATCATCTACCTTATCTTCACGATGACTCTAGATTTAGATACGCGATACGCTTCGATGTTTTCACCCGAGGGTGAATTTTCCGGGTGGCTACACCGTTGCAAACTACCAGACTGGACATTCATATAGAACACAAGTGATCGTGAGATGGCCTTTGACGAGCATAAGTCCGAGAATCATCACAGTTATGTTTGCTTGACGCTGTTATACCTACACACTCACCTAGTACAAACAATATTGCGACTCATCATTCGACTCTACTATTTTAGATTATTAGATACTATGTGACATCTTTCTTACGAAAATGGCCGTATGTATAGCTCTACATTCTTAAAAGAATGTGATTAGTTTAAAATGAAATTAAACCAATCCGATTTAAATTCGTTGGAATTTAAATCCTGTTTTGAGCTTTGTTTACCCGTGGGTAAAACCACAGCACACAACTGGCTCGATCATATATCTTGTTCTTCAGTGAAGAACGCAACACAATTTATTTAAATTTAAATCTTGATCCAGTATTGTTCGCCCGTGGGTATTTAAACCACAGCAAACAGCACAAGTAACACATATTGTGCACATTATTCTTTGTCAAATCACGGGACAGGCCATTTAATAACGGCGCATCCACGGAAGTACGGACGGTACTGCTCGAACGTTAATGTACGCAAATGGTTGGGAATTTGTCTCCGGTTTGACGAGGGTTCCGTACGGCAGATTGCGTATTACATTATGTAACATGTTTCTTTGAACGTTTACCTAAAATTGGGCCAATGTATCTATGTTTTGATCCAGCAAGTGTTGAGAATTAGCAAGAAAAACCAATTATTTCAATGTCAATTAACCTATGTTATAAACTTCCTCACAACTATCGCTCCTGTACGGTATAATGTTGATATTTTTCCTTTATCCCACTTCTTCATCACGGGTGGTAAAAAACACAACTTAAAAAAAATAGCTTTCTGGGTAGAACTATCTGTTATTAAATGTAATGACTGAGATTTATATCTATCTAATTCGTGACACTTTTGATCGTTTTTCAGCCAACCACGCATTGAAAAATTTTTTACGTAACTTTAACCTTGCAAATACAAATTCGACCAAAAAATTAAGAACATATTTTTTATCCTGAAAATTTTAACTTTTCAAGCTGTTAACTAACTATTTCATCGGAGGTACGGAAACATTCAGACATGGGTAATGCTGGTAATGCTCACCTGAAACTGGAATCGTGTCGAAAAATGTACAAAGACATTTTACATTCAAAATATATTAATGCTGTCTGTGTCACATTTCTTCCGAGTTTTACTCCAATACTTTGTAATTACGTCACGTGATAGGCTTCAGGGCGCAGAAATGAAAAAAAAAACCTACCTTCTTCAAAGGCTGTCTCTAGCTTTTGTCCTTGCGGATGATAAAAAGAAAAAGGTATCCACGTGCTTTGTAATAATTCAATTATTGTGGAAACATTTTCATCCAAAACTAACGAACGCTTTTTGCAAAGGAGAAATTATTGCTTGCTTTTGTAGAGTCAACATTTCAAATAATCCCAGCCGTTCATGTTTGCCCCACATTTATTGAATTTCTCCTTTATAACATGTCCGTTTAAAAACGAAGGATTATGACCACTAATGAAAATGTATGACATCAATCGATGTTCTGTTCTGCAAAATCGGTTTTTCGTTCATTTCAAAATTAGGTATGTGCCAAGATAGTCACTTCGCTTAGTTGTTAGGTAGAACCTTATCATTGGACTACAAATAGTTATTAGCAGACATCATTTTGATACTAATTCCCAAAATTGTGTATCAATAATAATTCTTAAGTCCTGTATATCTTTCTCTGGTCCAAAAATGATCATAGCACAAAATAAAGTTTGGTACTTGTGTAAATGTGTACTCTACATCCCAGAATCTTTCTGCTACTAAACTTCACAGTTACAATGAACTTTGACACTATTTTGGGGCATTTTGTATGCCCAATTCTTATCTATTTAGTTTAAGAGCGTTTACGTCTAGCGTGGCATGTCAAGTTTAGGTAATTTCGATGCAATTTTTATTCACACTAAAATAATTGTGACTGTGTGCGTGTTCTCACGCTCTATAGTCAAACCAAAATACTTTGATCCACCATCGTAAAAGTGTGCCAGGCTGTCAAGTGACAGGTCAAGGAAACTATAAAATCTTCAAATCTTCCACCACCGACTCCATATCATGGTATACATTAGTCCTAATAAATAATAAATACGTAAATTATTTATCAAATAGTAAATTATCAAAGGTTTTTTACTATTTTGAGAATATTTTATACAGCCTATGTTCAGCAGAAAAAAAATTGAATTTTAATGGTGAGAGATTTTTTCAAATCGGTTCTATTCAAAACAAACTTTTCCTGTTTACTATTCTTTTTTTATCCGGAAAATGCATAACATTTCATACCCACCAGCTGCGGGGGCAGCTAGTGGGTTATGTGGGGTTCTTCCTACCAGAAGGTGGGTAGCCCCTACACCCACTAAAAACCTGACTGTTTCTGCCATGATCCATATGAGTGATATGAGGGAACGCGGGACATCGCCATTGGCTGTTGCCTGTAGCATTCGTCCTTAGCCGCCACCAGACACCTCCATGTCTAGCGACCGAGGCCTGTTAGGAAGGGACAGTTGGAGACCATAAGCTGTCCTCTTGCGCCCAGGGTGTCGGCGGCGGATAACCGGAGTGTCGGCTGAGGCCTCTCGCTCCCCCTTTCCACTGCTTCTTTCTGTGAAAGAACACTTTCACAGAAAGTAAGCACACTATACCATAAGATTATTTGTCTCATCATATATTTTATACTAATGTAGATATTGTTTCCGAAAGCGAGCGGGTTCATTCCGTACCTGTACGCTTCATGCGTTCTCTAGCAAAAGCTGAAAATCAGTGTTCTGCCCTTTTGAGGGTAGTGTTTATACTGAGCTCTTTGCTTTTTGCATCGCTGCGGCACACATCACTGTGACGCAGGGAACTATTTGAAACGCTAGTCATCTTTATCTTCTGTTGTTTTGTCACTTTTGTTATGTTGCAAGTGTTGAAATTATTACTAACCTGTGTAACAAAATACCAGTGGTGTCACCTGTAGGCCTAAGATGCGCGCCGTGATTTTTATCGACGTCAATTTGTATGGGCAAAATCGATAAAATGGCGTGATAACCGCCTATCACGGCGCGCATCTTAGGTCTACTAGTGTGTTTCTTAACTAACTAACTTTATTTCGATATTGAATTGAATTTCAATAGCAATTATACATAATGTGTATGTTAAAAGCATTAAAAAAGTGTGTGTTACAACAAATAAACAATTTATCTATCTATCTCACGCCTCTTCCCGATTGGTAGGGAGAGGTCATTTCCAACCGCCGCTCGTTCGCTTAGGCTGGGCACTGTTGGAGCGTGTCAGTCTGCTGCGGTGACTAACGTGCCAAGACTGCAGTGTTAACTGACAACCATCTACAGGCTCTCGGCCTATACGATGGAGGAATGGCCCGAAGCACCCATGGCCCGGTAGAACCTGGGTCGCCCTATGTGTGAGGCGATCATGCTGCTTGACGTTGCCATAAACACATCAAAACCTTCAAGACCTACGCATGATAACAAAAACATACAAAAACTGGTACATAAATACAGCTGAATAAATATCCACCTCGTGGCGAAGTTGTTATGGTATTCAAATGTCACGTACCTACTCTTTAAAATCTAATTTACGTTTATTAATATATTGAACTCTTAATGTCGATGTATCGAATTGTTTTAATGATCTCCTTATTAAGTAAAGCATTATGGTCTTTGTTATCAGATGGTTAAATGGCGAGGCGGAGTGGGCGGAACGCCCGCCGAGCAGCGCGAGAAAAACCCCGGAGAATGGTACTTGGCGATCAGCTAGCACGCTCGGCTGGCACGAAAGCTCCCGAGCCCGGGAACCCAGGCGATCAGAGAGCGCCTTAGAAGGCAATTCGGGCCTAACTTGGTTACAACGACAGCAACAGAAACTTCGAGAACGAAAAGAAGCAAGGGAAAGAGTCGCGCGGCTGCCTCTCGAGTGGGACACGGCGACGCGACATGTGCGGCGATCGGCCAGCCATCGGTAATTAATCGCCATATGGTCCGATGATTGTTTTATTGCGCTTGCAGGCGTTTTAAACAATTTATTTTATTGTCGTAGGGTGGACGGCTACACTAGCGACACAACCGCTTTTGCCGACGACGACGATGACTTCAGCGTGCCTCTACATGTTAACACGGCACGAACTCCCCTCAGGACTGATAGTATTAGTCCTCAAGCTCCAGACAGGTAATTAAGTGTGTCCATTTATCTTACAAAATATGTTAAGGACCCATTTTACGTATTAGAACTGACCTACCTATAACTGTTTGTTTTACAGAACCTCATCTAGGAAATTCATGTATGAAAAGATGACGATGCGCGAGTGGAGTACCAATACGACACCTACGAGTACTCCCGTGCCAGGTTTATTGTCACTTGCGGAACCCATCAACAATGGCGATAGTGTAGTAAGTTGAATTCATACATAAGTTGACGAGTTATCTACTAATATGTAAACTACATCTAGAGTTTCCTTACTGAAAACATACAACAGCGAAGAATTCATTTGCTTTCCTGACTCCAAAAGTCGTGTCGAGTGAGGAAACGTTTTTACCTACATATATACCATAGGTAGCTTTTTACAAACCGTAGCTAGAGCCGTGACTAAGTAAAAGTATCTTCGGTTGTTCTTATACAGTGTGAGTCACGTTAAAGTGTACATATGAAAATAAATGAAACTAGACCTATTTTTATCGACAAAAAAGTGGTCAAAATTTTTTTGAGATTTTTTTTTAAATTATAAAATTTTTTTTCCTCCAATTACTTATGTAAAAAAAACGTAATAACTTATAAACTAAGCGGTATATCTTGATAAAATAAAAACAGTAATAATGCTAAATAACAGGCGATACTAAAAAAATACATAAAATACACAACAAATGCCAACAAATAATAAAAAATGATACTTTTTGAAAAAAATCTGCTTATAAATTCGTATTTTTTTGGTTATTTGATAAATTTCTCCGAAAAATGCCCCTATAACAGGTGGTTTTTATTACTTTTTATTATTCTCTATCGTATTATCTTTGTAAAACTAAAAATTGCATGTCTCTATCCCTATTTCATCTATTTTCATATGGACACTTTAACGTGACTCACACTGTATACTGAGTCTCTATCCCTCTGGTCTAGGTTCGCGAGAGGTCCGAGAGCTGGTCGCGCTCGGAGTCGCGCGCGGGCACGCCGGCGTTCCCCACGCACCCTCGCACGCCCTACCCGCCCACGCCCACGCCCACGCCCTCGCTCAGCGCCCGCCCGCCGCGCTCGCCGCCAGTCACCAGGTAGGATATGTCTACAATAATTAGGGTTTTATACTGAAGATAAATGGTGTAAAAGTACATCCTGTGCTAGAAAAGAAAAGAGGAAGGCCTATACAAACACCATCTAACATAATTATTTGTGATTATTTTGTCACTTAGCTTTCGAGTAAGTAAAGCAATTCGATCTAGAATATAGATGCTAAATTTTGAAGGGACAGGAAGAAGCTAGATGTAGCATGTTGATCACATTTTAGATCTCAGCACGCGAAAGTCTGTGACTGCGTGATCATCAATGGTTCATTGGCTTTAATATTCTTAAGCATTTGATAGGCTCTCGCATAGGCCTACTCGTAGCTACCAGTAATGAGTAACCAGTTTCATATCATGACAGTCATAAATTGCACGATTTTACCATGACACACGAATAAAATAACCAGTACACGGCTGTTTGGTGTGGTGTACATCACTTTAATTAAATAAAGGTCATGCGTAAAAACTAGAGCAATACTAGCCTCGTGTAAACAAACAACCGAAAATAAACTGTCGGTCAATCTCATTTGCCTTGATTTTGTTTATAAAACCAGCCAATTTCAAAAAATATAACATGACGTTTTGAAGATAATAACGATTTTAACGACACCATGCACAACAAACTTAATAGCTAAACTCATCGTAAGGAGAAAGGAAGTCAGCTTTGATTCCTAAGCGCGACAAATAATTAATAGGAGATGTACCTATGACTGACTCTGTGATATATAATGGTTGACCAAGTTAAATATGTAATTTTGAAGAGAAAGTCTTCAAAATTATTGTGGTGCATGATTTTAATCGAGACATTCCCTTTCGCCGTTTATTTATAGCTTTTATTCTATTGTGAGCAGGAAAGAGCGCGAAGGCAGCCCCGAGTCGGAGTACCGCACGTACAACGGCAGCTGCGGCTCGCGGCGCTCCAGCCTGGGCGGCAGCGCGGAACCACAGCACGTGGCGCCCGAGCGCGTGCGCTTCGCCCGCGACACCAGCCACTACTGGTACAAGCCCAACATCTCCAGGGACGACGGTACGTGATGTCGTGAATCTTAACTGTGCTGCATTAAGGCGATAATAGCCTGGCGCTCCAGCCTGGGCGGCAGCGCGGAGCCGCAGCACGTGGCGCCCGAGCGCGTGCGCTTTGCCCGCGACACCAGTCACTACTGGTACAAGCCCAACATCTCCAGGGACGACGGTACGTGATGTCTTGAATCTTAACTGTGCTGTATTAAGGTGATAATACTTAGCATGGATCTGAGACGTGGTCACTTGCTATGGGCATCATAAGAAGGCTCAATTTCACCCAAAGGGTGATGGAACGTGCTATGCTCGGAGTTTCCCTGCGTGATCGAATGGACTCTTTTATCGAATTATTTTTACTCTTTCATAAGTCTTGGGGATAAAGTCAAGCTGTAGGTCATAGTAGCATAAAATTGTACTTTGCCAGGTACTAACGGTTACCACTGTTAAAATAATCTTATGTAAAATATCTAATAGTCTGCTTGTTAGCGCTAACTGCAAGAGTGATTGGTGATAATAAATCACACAATTACACATTTAAATAACAACTTTGTATGTATCGACACCTCTACATTACGCAGACGTGGGTGTAAACAGCTGCGATTCTGTTAACTAATGCAGACATTAGCATGCAAATATTTATTCTAATTAGGCAAAGTGGTTTCCAAAGTGTTGCTGTATTTTTATAAAATACCGGTTAAAATATCTGCCTTTAATAAAATCATATGAAGTATTTTACAATACTCAAGTAGGTACAAGTTTCCTTATTCATAAACTTGACTAAGCATAGTAAAAACATTTATTTCCATTCATATCAAAGGTCAAGTCTAATACTTAAGTATCTATAAGAAACCAAATTGATCGTCGTACTGCATGCATGCTATTGTAGGGAGGAAGGAGCTTTAGACCACGGCTCACCTACTTGAATGCCCCTTGCATCTCAACGCCTGTACAAGAGAAGACTTGGCTAGGGCATGCAGTGGGAAATGCGGCCTATCGCATTTTTCGGTCGGGGCCATTGTAGTGCTGATTATGAAAGTTAAAAAAGACTGAAACCTAACAGAACTTGCATTGCCTATCTGTAGTAAGTAGTAACGATCTGCACGGCCTTTAGAAGTTTAGAAGATGACTGATTCAACATACGCGTCTTAAACTCATTAAGCGACATGTTTGTCAGATAATTATTAATAGCAGAACTGCTTTATACAGCTGTAGCAGCGCTGCAGCCGCTAGAAGAGGGTTCCTTCATCGTGCGCGACTCGAACTCGTTCCCGGGCGGGTTCGGGCTAGCAGTACGAGCTGGCGGTGGCGTGCGCCACTTCTTGGTAGAGCCGACGGCGCGCGGCGTGCGCCTACGAGGCTGCCCCGACGAGCCTGTCTTCGGATCATTGTCGGCGCTGGTCTACCAGCACACGGTTACGCCGCTTGCGCTACCGGTCCCGCTGCGGCTGCCTGACAGGTAAGCTGACAAAATGTCTTACACCAAAGCGAATACTCCATTCGCCTCTAGTGAAGTGGAAGGAGTCGTGTTTCTGCAGTGGAGACTAAATGATCTGATTCATGGCTGCCGTCACTGAACAATGAATCCATTTTTATTGACCACCATCATAGGAGCAAATTAGGAAACAGTAATCGGTTTACACGGACTCTTCTAAATACTCTATCGACAATTTTCAATGTTCCCTCAGAATCTTGACTAGGTACATTAATACGATTAATGAGCTTTAAAAGTTCCTTCTTTGCGTTTCTATTGTAGGTAGTGGTTTTAAAAATACGGTACAGTCCTGTTGTCCCCCCTGCTTGGCCCCCCTAGGGGAGCCAACAGGATTTCGAAACCTAGCCAGGGGGGACAACAGGACTAGATTTTTAATCAATGATTTGAGGACTGTTGTCCCCCCTGGCAAAAATTGTTTAAAAGCCATAAAATTTTNACTTCTAATCTAGTTGTGCCGTTTAACGACCTTTAAGCGATGTAAGGTTTTTGTTTTTTGTATTTAGCTGCCTTTTAAAAAAAAATATCTTGAGAACGGTAAAAGATAGAATAACCGTTCCTAGACAGATCGATAGAGAATTTTTTTTAATACCATTACATCAAAAAAGTGAAAAATGACCAAATGTCATTTAGCGGCCTTTTAGCTTATAGACGGCAGACCTGTAGGCCTAAGATGCGCGACGCGATAAGCGGTTATCACGCCATTTTATCGATTTTTCCCATACATTTTGACGTCGATAAAAGTTATCACGGCGCGCATCTTAGGCCTACTGGAAAGATGCTGCAGCCCACCCTCCAGTATTTTGATTGCTTAGTCGGCTCTTACGACTCACATGGGAAGATCTGATGCTTTTTAGGGTCACAACACATGCCTGAATATTGTTTTTAATTATAAACATCTTTACTGGATAATAATTATACTTAATTTGAGACAATCATCCATAAAATTCCGAATTCCGCTGATTTTATTAGTCGCTTATAAATAGTTATTGTAATAATTTTGGTAGAATTTAAAAACCCATTATTAAAATTAAATACTTTACTTGATTACTTCCTGGACATTGTTGCAGATATTAGAATGGTTTTAGAATTTATTCTATATTATATTCAATTACATATTTCATGTTTATTATTTAATGTAATTATTTTAGAATTTTTATTGTATACCATTTTTTTTTATGCATAACATTTTATTTAGTAATTTAGAAATAAATTGTTATTTAAGTATTGATTTTGACTACTTCCGGGGCATGCTGTCGATAAGTCGTTTCGAGCCGGTTGACTTTGACGAATGGAAGGGGAAGTTGCCTTATCGGGGGCATGCCGCCGGACAGGCAGTTCGATTGGAGCATTCAAAGCAAGAAGTACTAACTTTAAGGTGTTATAATGTTGGAAATGTATAAATTAGTATCTTGAACAAATAAGGAATTGATCAACAAGTAACTTTTCATTATAAATCAGAAGTGACTCTGGAGAAAAACCATGATTTTGAAGTCATTTAGTAAGAGAAATTTTGGTAAATGGAAAATCCATAAACGCGGGTTTAGATTTTTATAATGAGAGCACTCTTTTACGCAAAACTGACGCTGATGTACTTAGTTTGGCGAAGCATTTTGACAACATTTCAGTTGCAAAAGATTTAGTCAATTATCATTCTTACTTATAGATAGAACTAACATATAAGCATGAATGTTGATAAGATTGACGTTCTTGTAATGTTAGTGATCAATGATGTATAGGTATGTAGACCACTGACAAATGGTCGAAACTTCTCGGAACTGTCATTTCTCACGGGTTTGAATAATAGTTCTACACTAACATTCTATTAAGGTCCTAATCAGAAGTTAAAACAAAATCAAAAACAAGGAAGAATAATTACCTAGGTATATGCGACTTCGTTCAAAATTAATTGTTTTTGAATAAGCGATTCCTTCATGGAAGCTTTAAAACTTAGCAAACAATCTTTGCTTCGCATGGGTGGAGGAAGATTGTTCCAGATCTTTGATGCCGCATATTTAAAAGAACCTTTAAAGCCTTGTGTCCTGTGTATGGGTATACACAATTTATCTCCCACTCTGCCACGAGTGTTCAGACCATGTGCGTTCTTTGTCCACTCAAGTTTCTCGTAGAGGTAATGAGGTGTATGACTTTTGACAATTTTATGCATAAGAGTCATAAAATGTAATTCTCGTCGTGCTGACATCTTAAGAACCCGTTCCTTATTAAGGTAAGGTGTAACATGAGAACGTTTTGGTATTTGGAAGCAGAATCTAGCGCAAGCGTTTTGAACACGCTGAATGGCCTTCTCAGTCACAACCAGAATGCGAGGGTGATATACTACGTCACAGTAGTTGAACTGGGAAAGAATTAAGGAGTCTACCAGTATAATCCTAATCCGTACGGCCAAAAAGTCTCTAATGTGGTATAACATTTTGAGGCGATAGAACGCGCCACGAATCTTAGCACTAACGTGCTCGACGAACCTCATCTCTGAGTCCAACATTAGACCCAGATTCCTTGCGACATTTACGCGTTCCAACCTCTCATCATTAATAAGGATAGCCGGATTATTTTGACATATTTGCCTACACTGATGTCTCGAACCTAAGACCATAAATTTTGATTTCGTGGGGTTGAGTACTAAATTGTTTTTAGCTGCCCATTTAAAGATGCTGACCAGATCCTCATTGAGTTTTAATTCGGCTTCTCTGATGTCAGTTGGTTTAAAAGATGTGTAAATCTGAGTATCATCAGCATAGAGATGCAGCTTCGAATGTTGCACACAATTCAGCAAGTCCGCCGTAAAGATGATGAAGAGAATTGGACTCAGAATTGAGCCCTGTGGTGTACCTCTTTCCACTCGTTCAATATTTGACCTGATCAAAAGTCCATTTTTGTCCTCCAACTCAACAAACTGCCTCCTATTTGTCAAGTATGAGTGGAACCAGTCACATGCAGGCACCGAAATACCGTAAAACCTGAGTTTGGCAAGTAGTAGTTCAGCACTCAGACAGTCAAAAGCTCGAGAAAAGTCCAAGAGCACCAGAAAACTACCCATTCCCAAATCGGAAGCCGAGATGATATCATCAGTGAGTTGTAACAGCGCTGTAGCCGTACTATGACCCTTGCGGAACCCGGATTGGACCGATGGTAAAATTTTTTCTTGCTCTAAATATTTAGTCATCTGTTTGCATACTACCCTCTCTATAATTTTGGATAAAACAGGTAATATACTAATTGGCCGCAAATCCTTATATTCCTGCACTGAAGATCCTTTTGCTATGGGTTTTATTTTGGCCAGCTTCCATGGCTCAGGAAACACTCCAGTAGTGATTGATTTATTAATTACATGGGTAATAAAAGGCAATGTAACTGGAAGAGTCATACGTAACATGTGAACTGATATTGTATCATGACCAGCAGCACCTGTTTTTATACCAGTTATAGTATTTTTCACTTCTATTTCAGAACAAGTACTTATATTGAAAATACCTTCACCGAATTTATTTCTCTGGAAGAACTTCATAGTGTCCTGATCAACGTCAGAATTTCCCGGTACATTCAAGAAGAACCTATTTATCTCGTCAGGTTTGTGTAGGTCACCTGGGATTATTACCGAGCTCTCATCTCCCAATAGAGAATTACTCTTTAAATTTTTCCACATTTCATTTGGATTATTCCTGTTTTTATTCACATAGTAAGTGAAAAATGCAGCCTTTTCCCGTCTCAAGGTACTGGTAACCAAATTTTTTAATGTCCTATAATACTCCCATTTAGAGTCCTCCCCTGTCTTACGAGCCCTGGTCAGAGCTTTATCTCGCAGTGTCATCATTTTCTTAATGTTGTGAGTTATCCAAGGACAATTTTTATTTGCATTTGATTTTTTGTAACGCAGTGGTGCATGTTTATCGAATAAAATTGTGATAAGCTCATTGAATTTGCTAACCATCGCATTTACATCTCCACAATCATAAATATCTGTCCAGGGTAGGTCGTGGAGATCAGTTATAAACGAGCGTTCATCTATACCTGCCAGAGAACGGGCCAATACATATCTGGAAACGGGCCTAGGTTTACATATCCTCAGTTCTGTCATTACTAAAGCATGGTCACTGAGTTGAGGATTGTGATGTACAGTACAATTTTGGACCAGAGGTGGACTATCCGTAATTACAAGATCTATAAGAGTGGAAGAAGCATCATTTACTCGGGTAGGTTCCCCAACTATCTGATAAAGATAAAGATAAAGATAAAGATATTTATTTGCAAGAATAGGTAAGTACAGGTTATTGTTGATGTTACATGTATTAAGGACTCTATTCTGTTAAAATATTTTAACATGCAAATTTACGGGTAAGGAATTCCCGAACACTGTAGAAACAAACAGTAGTCAGCCATTCCCGAAGCTTTTTCACCATCAATTTTGTAGGGCCATTTTTATATACATCAGGAATTTTGTTATACACCTCAACACACATGCAGTAACAATTTTTCTTAATAAGTGAAGTTCTTGGGCAAAAGGAAAGAGCTAGCCTATCTGAAGACCTTGTGTTTCTGGGGTACACTTCAGCCGCGGTTTGGAACAGTTCTGGATGTTGTCTTACAAACTTAAAGATTTCTAATATATACATTCCAGGTACAGTAAGTATGCCCAGTTTGATGAATAATGGCTTACACGGTTCATATGGCCCTTTACAGCATAAAGCTCGCACACATTTTTTCTGAGCTATAAATACCCTCTGTATATCCGTGCTGTTACCCCAGATTATAAGCCCGTAATTTATAATGGAGGCTACATAGCCGTAATAAGCACTTAATGATACACTCAGTGAAGTGATTCCTGTTAGTCTTCGAAGGACGTAAACAAATCTGTTTATTCTTTTACATAAATTATCCACGTGGCATGTAAAGTTTAAAGTTTTGTTTAGCGATATTCCTAAAAATGGCGCACTGTTAACGCTATCTAGAATTTCGTTACTATAATTTATATTCATTTTGATTTCCTTACGTCCTTTTACACCAAATTGTATGTATTTTGTCTTAGAAAGATTAACATTTAAATTATTCATATTTAGCCAATTAATTACATTATTGATAGTTTTATTAATTTCATATTCATACAAATTCAACATGTCAGGATTACATTTAATAATTATAGAAAGGTCGTCAGCAAACATAATACACTTATGCCTAATAGTAGGTGGCAAGTCATTTATATAAAATAAGAATAATAATGGTCCCAATACACTACCTTGGGGTACCCCAAATTTATTGTGTTTGTAGGTAGACCTGTAAGTAGAGTTGTCGTCTGATCCAGCTATTTCAACACATTGATACCTATTTTCAAGATAAGTTCTAAGCCACTTTAATGCGTTTCCACGCACACCATATCTTTCCANGATCCTTTTTCCACATTTCATTCGGATTATTCCTGTTTTTATTCACATAGTAAGTGAAAAATGCAGCCTTTTCCCGTCTCAAGGTACTGGTAACCAAATTTTTTAATGTCCTATAATACTCCCATTTAGAGTCCTCCCCTGTCTTACGAGCCCTGGTCAGAGCTTTATCTCGCAGTGTCATCATTTTCTTAATGTTGTGAGTTATCCAAGGACAATTTTTATTTGCATTTGATTTTTTGTAACGCAGTGGTGCATGTTTATCGAATAAAATTGTGATAAGCTCATTGAATTTACTAACCATCGCATTTACATCTCCACAATCATAAATATCTGTCCAGGGTAGGTCGTGGAGATCAGTTATAAACGAGCGTTCATCTATACCTGCCAGAGAACGGGCCAATACATATCTGGAAACGGGCCTAGGTTTACATATCCTCAGTTCTGTCATTACTAAAGCATGGTCACTGAGTTGAGGATTTAAAGTTTTTTGTCACTTTGTAAGTGTTGAGTTTTATGGAATTGGGAAAGAAGTACCGAGTTTGAAGCGTTCATGAGCAGACATTGTAGTTGAATATTCAAGTTCAGAATTTGATTATTGATGAATAATAATAAAATCCTACTTGCTCGATTGATGGTTTCATTTAATTTATTTAAACCAGGTTACCTTTAATAATATTTTTCGTTCATTTATGAAAATATCAAATTAGCCCGTAATCCTGAATCCTGATACATAAATTTAGCCTATTAATTTAACACATGTACGACTGTACTCAGTGTTGCACTATCAAATGCAATTGAAGCGCCTCTATGCCAGGGTTTTTATGTTCCTGGTCAGGCTATACAACAAATAAACAATTTATCTATCTATCTCACGCCTCTTCCCGATTGGTAGGGAGAGGTCATTTCCAACCGCCGCTCGTTCGCTTAGGCTGGGCACTGNCCTGCCAGAGAACGGGCCAATACATATCTGGAAACGGGCCTAGGTTTACATATCCTCAGTTCTGTCATTACTAAAGCATGGTCACTGAGTTGAGGATTGTGATGTACAGTACAATTTTGGACCAGAGGTGGACTATCCGTAATTACAAGATCTATAAGAGTGGAAGAAGCATCATTTACTCGGGTAGGTTCCCCAACTATCTGATAAAGATAAAGATAAAGATAAAGATATTTATTTGCAAGAATAGGTAAGTACAGGTTATTGTTGATGTTACATGTATTAAGGACTCTATTCTGTTAAAATATTTTAACATGCAAATTTACGGGTNTTTTTTGTATGTCTGTGTCAAGTTATGTCCAATAAAGAATTCTTTTAAATCTTCCGTTTGTCTTCCACGTCCCAAAAAGTCAATGTTAAAATCCGTTAGAATAAAAATGTGTTTACAGGATCTGAATGCGTTAACCGACTCACCCAAATCCTCCAAAGCTGTTTTATATGGAATCGATTCTGGTCGGTAGGCCGTGCCTATTGCTATCTTCCCAATACCTGGTAGTCTTAACTCTAACCACATTTGTTCCAGGCTCGATGCCGGATGGGATCGGATTCTTATTTGTAGGTCTTTTTTAATGAAGAAACCAACTCCTCCACCCCTAGCACCTCCCGACCTTGACTTGTGTTTCAAGGAGTAGTCTGGTAAGACTATGGTAAACTTATCTTCTCCTTCCTTGAGCCAGGTTTCATTTAGTGCCAGAACATCAGGCTTATGCATATCAACACACGCAAATAATTCATCCCTCCCCGTATTAAGTGAACGTACATTTAGTAGTCCCAATTTTAAATTATAATGCCTCTTACGAGTCATTGGCTTGACGGTAGAGGAGGAAAATGAGACAGATTGTGTTAAATTTCACCCAGTAGTAGAAATAAAAAAAAAATAAAAAAACCAAGATTTTACTATTCTTTAGTGTTTCTGTGTGATGAGAGATGCATGCCAAAATGAATACATACAAAAAGAAAAAAAAAGTCACAAAACATCTAGTAACATTATTATCTATACTTATAATAAATCTGTAGAGAGGTCAATTCTGTACATGAAATATATTTTCAAAATAACTATCAGGGGGTGATTAGTGATCGATACTGATGCCAAAAATGCAATCAGTAAAATTTTTGTCTGTCTGTCTGTCTGTCTGTCTGTCTGTCTGTCTGTCTGTCTGTATGTTCCTTATAGAAACAAAAACTACTCGACGGATTTTAACGAAACTTGGTACAATTATTTTTCATACTCCTGGGCAAGTTATAGGATACTTAGGAATTCCCACAGGACCGGGAATTAGCGGGAAAATCTTTTTGTATGAAAAATCTAAACTGCTTAAGTTAGACGCTTGAAATTTGGCATGCAGGTTCCTTAGTAAACTTAAAGCTCAGTTACAACAGGATATTGCAAAATTCCCACGGGAACGGGAGTTAGCGGGAAAAAACATATGTATGAAAAAATCTAAACCGCGTAAGATAGACGCTTGAAATTTGGCATGCAGGTACCTTAGTAAACTTAAAGCTTAGTTACAACAGGATATTGCAAAATTCCCACGGGAACGGGAGTTAGCGGAAAAAAACATTTGTATGAAAAAATCTTAACCGTGTAAGATAGATGAAGGGGGTAAAACGGGATCCACGCGTACGAAGTCGCGGGCGGCCGCTAGTCTATAATAGGTACCTATCTATTTAAAAGAGGCTAACAGACCCGATAATGCCCTGAAACATTTGGACACTGGAAACAAAATAAAATAAAATATATCTATGATTAGTCAAACAATAACTTTGTAAATATTTTGTAAATTAAATAACACATAGCAATTTTGAAAGTTTCGTTTTTAAGTAGCTTTAAGTCTTTTGTAAGTAGAAAAAACTTTTAATACAACGTTATCTCAAAAAATAAAATCCTAATAACTTCCCTAAATATATTCAAACAATATTTAAAATTAAGTTTATGATGCCGCCATAAAGTTTAGTTAATCAAATTGGTAAACATTTTACATTAATTTAAACAGTCATTGAAGTAATATGAACTACTAGCGGCCGCCCGCGACTTCGTACGCGTGGATCCCGTTTTACCCCCTTCATCTACCTTACACGGTTAAGATTTTTTCATACAAATGTTTTTTCCCGCTAACTCCCGTTCGTTCCCGTGGGAATTTTGCAATATCCTGTTGTAACTAAGCTTCAAGTTTACTAAGGTACCTGCATGNTCGCTTTCGGGTAGTAATATGTCAAAATTGTTGGTTCTTAGGCGAACAATGTATGGAGAACGAACATTGTCCTTTCACCCAGTAGTAGAAATAAAAATAAATAAATAAAAAAACAAAGATTTTACTATTCTTTAGTGTTTCTGTGTGATGAGAGATGCATGCCAAAATGAATACATACAAAAAGAAAAAAAGTCACAAAACATCTAGTAACATTATTATCTATAACAGGTACCTATCTATTTAAAAGAGGCTCAGACCCGATAATGCCCTGAAACATTTGGACACTGGAAACAAAATAAAATAAAATATATCTATGATTAGTCAAACAATAACTTTGTAAATATTTTGTAAATAACACATAGCAATTTTGAAAGTTTCGTTTTTAAGTAGCTTTAAGTCTTTTGTAAGTAGAAAAAACTTTTAATACAACGTTATCTCAAAAAATAAAATCCTAATAACTTCCCTAAATATATTCAAACAATATTTAAAATTAAGTTTATGATGCCGCCATAAAGTTTAGTTAATCAAAATAGTAAACATTTTACATTAATTTAAACAGTCATTGAAGTAATATGAACTATGTAATAACATTATTATAACTCATTGAAAGTAGGTACTTTAGTTCCAGTGTCTTCCTTCAGAAATTCATTTTTAGAAATTAGTTGCGGCGTTACATTCATAATAGCTACTCGTAGGTACTTAGCAATCTCCACTTACATAATATTATGTAGTTCGAGCACTAAAAAGAAATAACTCCAGTATGTACTAGTAATTACCCCTAAAACACAAAAAAAAAGAAATAAATAAATCTATATTCATTTAGTACGTGTGCTCATACTAGTTTCATTTTCATTAAATATCTGGTTTAAATCTTGGATGGTTGAAATTCGATGAACATTTTCGCCTTCACTTCTCCTGGCTAATATTTGACCATTCTTTGTCCAGACATACTTCCACTGCAATCGCCGCGCCTCTTCCTTCGCTTGATGAAACAAATTCTTATTTAATTTAGTGAGACGCTCATTCAAATAAATATTGGACCGCGGGCCCGGCAAGCCCATATCGGTTGTAGACAGAGATCGCCGCGTTATCGCTGCTATCGGCGATTAAGCGTCGCGGACCCGACCGGAACACATCTGCCACATCTTGGTCTTGTATGTCAACGCCAATCTTAGAAGCAATTGTTTTCACGATATGGAGCGGGCTTTCATGTTCATTCTCTGTGATTCCCGATATCTCGAGTTCGTTCGATAATAATAGCTGATCCCGATTATCAATCTCGTTTTTGAGTTCAGTGATTGTCAGTTCCAGTCCCACATTTGAGCCCTCAGGCTTTTGCTGGTTCTCCAGGGCACCTATTCGCTGGTCCAAGGCAGCTACGGATTTGGAGATTTCCCTTACATTTGACTTGCATGTCGAAAGCTCAGTTTTAATTTCTCCTAATTCGATACGCAGGTTGGATATTTCCTCACGCAGGTTCTTTGTTTCGTCCCGCAGTGCACTTATCGCTGCGACCAACTCTTTACCCCAGTTGACGTTTATTTCAGACGTATCACCGCTGGGGCTGTATTCTTGACTCTTAGCTTGGCCTGGATTAGAACCTTCGTCATTCAAGCCCTTCACCGGTGTGTCCGTGTTGTCCTGCCTTGGTGTTTTAACTGCGCAACAAGGACAAATCCATGCTTTAGGGCTATTTGTTCCCAAGGCAACGCACTGCTTATGGTAGATTCCCTTACATTTCAAACATGTTGCGCCACCTGCCGCCGTCATGAACTTTTCGCACGCACCGCAGTTTTTATTGCTTGGCATGTTTATCAATAATTGTTATTGATCGTTGTTTACGTTGAGATCGAGAATGAAAGTGCGTTCGAGAGATAGCGCTGTTCGATATAGTAATTTATTACGGTGTTTTTGAAGAAAAACCCATACAAATAATACTTTCCTGTGTTTTCTTCTCGAGTTTATATCATTAACAATCGTGAGCAGCAACAAATACTGGATTATCGATCACCATTTAGCAAAATTATCAGCGTTCGAGTCACAGGTTGAGAGGTAATTAATTAGTACACTTCATATCAAACCAACATTTCACTTTCAAAGTTTGCACTCCTTACATCACACAGAGTCACCTTTTTAATGTTATTTAAACATCTAAATATTTTTAAAATGAAAAATAAGTGGAGCTGTATATTCACACTGTGACTACCCACATATTTTTTTTGTCACATACTACTTTTAGCATCGACGATCGGTGATTTATCCGCATTTTAGAAGCTAAATGCAGCGCATACACTATAAAACGCCAAACACGGCGTTTAAGTCGCTTTTTGGAAGCTTATTCACACGCGATTCCAACACCGCGTCCAAACGCATGAAGTCACGAAATCACGATGCTGCTTCGATACAATCGCAAAATCGCCAATCACCGATGTTAAAAGTAGCATGTCTGCTCTGGCCCTTATCTCATATCCTATTTTAAGCCGTGGGTTTTACATTAAGACCTATGCTTAAGGTAATATCGCTCTTATTAAAAACTTACATTGGCAACTTGGTCGTAGTGCGTAGCAACCATGATGACGGGTGAACCGGGGGCGCGCGCTTGTATCGACCTGTAACAACATTTGATTTATGTAGTTTCCACCCTCTATACACTAATGAGCTGTAAGTAATGGCTAATTAGAAGATATGATAGGTCAAGTATACTGCTAGATAATTCAACAAAACAGTTTTTTAACAATGGTCTTTAAATGACAATTTGTATATTATCAATAGTGTGTGTTTCATTTTAGCTAGTATAAGATTAAAAATCGATAGCTGGAAATCCGTAACATTGTAGTAGGTAGAATTATGCTCTGACAATTTTTAAATCAACAATGTTCACCACCGTGATCTAAATTACACACAGCGTCATCTATTGATAGCATCATGAACTACTATCATATCTTCTCAAGTCTCACCTGAGCCACTCGATAGCGCCGGCGAGGCCATTGCGGCCGTCGGTTGCTTTCCATACGACCAAGTATAACGACCGGCGGGACAGGAAGTATTGGTGTGTTGCATAGTACCTGCGGACGAAGTTAGCAAATGAGACAAGATAAACTCAATGGATTGATGATGAATGAACCGGAAAGCGAAGCATAGGACGACCACCCACAAGGTGGACCGACGACCTTATAAAGGTAGCAGGAAGGTGCTGGATGCAGGCCACTACCAAGCGGTCATTATGGAAATCATAGGAGGAGGCGTATGTTCAACAGTGGACGTCCTGTGGCTGATATGATGATGATGACCTACTTATAAGGCCGGCTCCTTACGTTGGTTCTAACGCCACTCCAAAGTATGAATTTAGAAAATAGCTTGGCCCAACGTTGGTGTCAATACTATTTTCTAGATCCTCACGTTGGACGGTTGGCGTTGGTGTGTGGCTTTAAAATGGTGGAATTTTTTCATAGTAAACGTTAGGTTGAAACGAAAGGTCTGAAACGCGGTCACGGCAGTTCGAAAAACTTTTGCACGTAGGCTGCACGCGTTGGTTTGCCCGAACCTCAAATGTGTCTCATTTCTACTCACTCCTGCTGGCCGCCGAAGTCCCACGTGCGAAAGGTGACGGGCCCACGCGTGGAGCGATGTTTCTCGTACACCCACGTGCCGATGTCCACGCCCACGGTTGAGAGGTTCCCACGCCTGGGTGTCTTGTTGCCCATGCGCTTGGCCCAGTGCTGGGAAACGATTATGTGGTAGAGTGAGTGTAAAATGCATAGTTAACGCACTTAACGCCCTAAAGAGCGTTCTCATTGAAAATAATTTCAACAATAAGGTTTACATCAAGCAAAATTAAATTCATAAAATCGTGTACATTTACATTATTATTGAGGTAGAGAGCTAAAGGACTCGTTAAATTACGAGTATAGCACTCCCACATTGCTATGAAATTGTTTTAGTTAGTTTTGCAAGGCAATCGAATCGCATTTAGCCTCTTGATTAGGCCATTGTGCGCGATTTGTGGTTTATCTTCCTCCAACAATCCCAGATGTAATATTATTCAAAACCAATAGTACTTTATTCCAATCCAATAGTAAACTCAATGGAGTACTTACATCTGTCGGTTTTCTTCGATGATGTATGGCAGACTCCTGGCGCAAGCATTCCAGTAAGCTTGTCTTGCCGATGCCCTGCGGGGAAGAAAAAATATGTATCAATAAGTATCCATCTTTTCTGAGAATAGGGATGTTTCCTGGGTAAAAAAGCAAGAGTTTTAAAGAGCCCGTCAGTTAGCTTATCAAAAACTACTCGACACGTATTTTTCACTTTTTAAAACTAATGAAAATGTAAAGAGATAAACCGTGCCAAAGTTCTAAAGAAAAGGCCCGTGACGTCAATGAGTGCGTAAAAGTGCAGCACTTTTTGACGTCGCGCGGAACTTCAACGCACTTCACTATTTGTTTGATTGACAATTAAAAATATACGTGTCCAATATTTTTTTATATTAAAATTGACGGGACTAAAAATTTTTTTTAGGAAACTAGCCTATTCATGCACCGAAAAAACGTCTACGGAATTATCTAGAAAAACGTTATATCACTGCAAAGCAAACTGACCTGTAACCCCACGAACATAAGCTTGATATTGGTGTACGGCCGCGCCTCCTGCAGCACCGACTTCAAGTATCCGACGACGTCGGCGCTCTTGTAACGCCCGCCACGAAGCATGGAGCGGAGAGGCTCTTGGAGCGAACAACCGCTAGCGTTCAGGTTCCATAGGCGGGATAGGAGACCCATTTGTGGAGGGAGGTCGGTTATTTCTGGAACGATGAGCAAACCATTTTTATTTTACAGTATTATTTGTAAATACAAATTACCACTAAGGCCCGCCATATACGGGCAGCTTGAAGCAGCTAGTATCCGACAGCTTCAAGCTGCGACTGCACAGTGAACTGCAGAGTTCTATGGACGCACATACACGAACCGCTCAAGCAGTTGCAACTGATTCGGGCGGTCGACAGCTCTCGCGCAGTTACCTCCGCCCACTTTCTTCATTCCACGGCGCGCGCGCTTGTGATTTGTTGAGCAGTTAATACCAACTGCTCGAGCAGTTATCACTGGCAGCTTCAAGCTGTTGACTCTTGACTGCAAGAGCGGTCCGTGTATTGCCGGCCTAATAATCCCTTTAACCCCTCTCGTGGTTAATTAAATTATGCTTGTGTTACGAGTGGGTTCACCACAAAGCTATGATAGCCGAACGGAGAAGGGGTCGGAGTGGCCGACTCGAGATCCGAGGAACGCGGGTTTGAATCCCACCCCCACTCGACTATTGTGGTAAGCCCACTCGTAACTCAAGCTTATTTAGCTTACCACGAGGGGCTCACGGGACTATTAAAAAAAGCTCGAGCGGCGGCGGGGATCGAACCCGCGTTCCTCGGACCACAAGTCGACTAGTCCAACACCTTCACCGTTCGGCTATCGTCGCTTTGACCACTGAAAACTTCCACTCTTCCCGTGGAAAAGTAAGTGGCGATTGTGTGGCGTCGGGTTTGGACAAAATTACTGTGGTCCGTTATTTCTGGTAATGGAAATGGTATGGACCCTTATTCCCACTGGTACCAACCCTCGTTCTCACTGGTACTTACCCTCGCCCCGCTGTACTGACCCTGGTTCCCTCTAATACTGACCCTGATGGTTCCCACCAGTACTGACGCTAGTTCACTCTACTACTGATCCTGGTTCCCTCTAGTACTGACTCTCGCCCCGCTGTACTGACCCTGGTTCCCTCCAGTACTGACCCCTGTTCCCTCTTTATTCTTTTCTACTGACCCTCGCCCCTCTGTACTGACCCTCGCCCCGCTGTAATGACCCTCGCCCCGCCGTACTGACCTCCATTTCCGCTGTACTGATCCTCGTTCCCTTTATTTTACTGAGTATTGCGCTCTCCCGAGATTCAGTTCGTACGCCGTGAGGCAGGAAGAACCATGGGTGGTGGTGGGATTTGTACTAACTCTTGTTCCCGCTGATGTTGAGCACGGAGAGCCCGGCCAGCGCGTGGATGGCGGGCGGCACCGACCGCAGCAGGTTGCACGACACGTCCAGCATCGACAGCAGGGAACAACAGACGGCTCTTGAAGCAGTAGGTCAGTTGTGTCGCGACCTTTGTCTCGCTGGTACTGATGCTAGTTCCCTCTAGTACCACTGACCTTCGTTGCCACTGTACTGATGCTAGTTCTTTCTAGTACTGACCCTCGTTCCCGTTGTACTGACCCTAGCACTGACCCGCTGTACTGAGCCTTGTTCCCTCCAGTACTGGCCCTTGTTCTCTCTAGTACTGACCATATAGTTTCCTTTAGTACTGATCCTCGTTCCCTCTAGTACTGACCCTCGTTTCTACTTGTACTGACCCTTGTTCCCGCTGATGTTGAGCACGGAGAGCCCGGCCAGCGCGTGGATGGCGGGCGGCACCGACCGCAGCAGGTTGCACGACACGTCCAGTATCGACAGCAGGGGACAGCAGACGGCTCTTGAAGCAGCAGGTCTGCTGTGTCGCGACCCTTGTCTCGCTTATACTGATGCTAGTTCCCTCTAGTACTGACCCTCGTCCCCGTTTTACTGACCCTCGCACTGACCCGCTGTACTGACCCTGGTTCCCTCCAGTACTGACGCTGGTTCCCTCCAGTACTGACCCTGGTTCCCTCCAGTACTGACCCCTGTTCACTCTAGTAAAGACCCTGGTTCCCTCTAGTACTGACCCTTGTTCCCTCTAGTACTGAAATTGGTTCCCTTTAGTACTGACCCTGGTTCCCTCTAGTACTGAACTTGGTTCCCTTTAGTACTGACCCTGGTTCCCTCCAGTACTGACCCTGGTTCCGTCTAGTACTGACGCGGTTCTCTTCAGTACTGACCCTGGTTCCCACTTTCTTCTTTCCCACTGACCCTCGCCCGCTGTACTGACGCTCGCCTCACTGTACTGACCCTCGCCCCGTTGTACTGACCCTTGTTCCCGCTGATGTTGAGCACGGAGAGCCCGGCCAGCGCGTGGATGGCGGGCGGCACCGACCGCAGCAGGTTGCACGACACGTCCAGCATCGACAGCAGGGGACAGCAGACGGCTCTTGAAGCAGCAGGTCTGCTGTGTCGCGACCCTTGTCTCGCTGGTACTGATGCTAGTTCCCTCTAGTACCACTGACCTTCGTTGCCACTGTACTGATGCTAGTTCCCTCTAGTACTGACCCTCGTCCCCGTTGTACTGACCCTAGCACTGACCCGCTGTACTGAGCCTTGTTCCCTCCAGTACTGGCCCTTGTTCTCTCTAGTACTGACCATATAGTTTCCTTTAGTACTGATCCTCGTTCCCTCTAGTACTGACCCTCGTTTCTACTTGTACTGACCCTTGTTCCCGCTGATGTTGAGCACGGAGAGCCCGGCCAGCGCGTGGATGGCGGGCGGCACCGACCGCAGCAGGTTGCACGACACGTCCAGCATCGACAGCAGGGGGAACAGCAGACGGCTCTTCAGCCCTGAGCCTGAGCCCTGTGTGGTAAACGTAAAAAGTAATCTGTCTGTGAGCACTTAGAATTATGTCCAATGACCCCAAGCTAGCCATCTTATCGCTCGCGCGTAATTATGTTGCAGTCGCGACGGCAATACACGCGCGAACGATAAGAAAGGGTAGCTTGGGGTCATTGGACAAAATTCTACGTGCTCACAGACCGGGCTTTAATATTATAAATGCGAAAGTAACTCTGTCTGTCTGTGTCGCTTTCGAGTGCATTACCGCAGCAAAATTTTTATAAATGTTGTGAGCTTTAGAGAGTCGAGAGTAGGTATAGCAGATAATNGTCGCTTTCACGCCTAAACCACTGAACAGATTTTGATGTTTTTTTATGGCAGGAGGCAAACGAGCAGACGGATCACCTGACGGTAAGTGATGATATTTGGCATAGATAGAGATAGTTTGAGTCCCGGGAAAGGACATAGGATAGTTTTTATCCCGGTTTTTGAAACAGGGACGCGCGTGAAATCGTTTATCTGTGACAGATAAAATTTCACGCGGGCAAAGCCGCGGGCGGAAAGCTAATTTATTGATATTATAATTAACTAGCGGCCGCCCGCGACTTCATACGCGTGGATTCCGTTTTACCCCCTTGGGGGTTGAATTTTGCAAAATCCCGTCTTAGTGAGCACCTACGTTCTAAAAGGAACCCCCTTGCAAAATTTGCGACTCCTAGCACTTCCGTAGTTTCTGCGATTTCGTGATGAGTGAGTTAGTCAATCAGTGACCTTAAGGCCCTAGTGGCCCCTAAGGCCCGGTTTTCACCAAGGCTCCGTCCAGTGCGTGNGGACTTAACTTGATAGAATTCTTAAATACTAAACTAATCGCAATATTTTCTCAATTAACTATGTATTTAGACGACGAAATTGCCTAACTATTTATGCCTATAACATATTTGTAATATTACTGGTTAATGATTGTAACGAGTTGAAAAAGTACTGTTTTTGCGCCAAACGGCGTAAACGCTCTTAATTGCGGCCTTCCTTGAGCTTAGCCTCTAGATGGATTGAGACATGCGATGTATCGTTTACGCTTCTAATTGGCACAAAATCGTGTCAGGATTATTTGTTTTGTATTAGCTGGTTTTGGCTTTCGCACGATTCGTTTTCACACCCAGACTTAAGTTGTCTTGAAATGAGAAACTAATGCCCATTTTCAACATCAATCCCTAATTTTTAAGTGACCCCTATGGTAACACATAACAGAAATTTTGTTTCCATAAATATTATATAATATAAAAATTTGGGATTGATGATGAAAAGTTCGGATTGGATTTTATTCCAATGAATTAACCAAATGGCCTAGAGGCACCCGCTGAAAATTATTGATAATACTTGCTATTAGTTTCGACGTAATTGTTGAACAAAGATACCCCTTCCCAGCGGTTTCCATAGTAATCGGAATAGGTTGTGTGATTCTTTCAGGCAGTGCATTTTCGCATGTCGCGTGCGCTATGGAAACCGCTGGGAAGGGGTAGCTTTGTTCAACAATTACGTCAAAACTAATAGACGTAGACTAATAAGTTTACATTAGTTTTATAGAATAGCTCAAATACTAATAATACAATGCAAATAAAATATACCTTAACGATCTGGTTTTTCTTGTGTTGGAAAATAACTGAAAAAGAAGTGAAAAACGTCATGTTTTTTTCTAATTAAATCCATTCTTACTCCCTTAAAATGTATGAAACTTGTATCTGTTTTCTACTTCTGCTAATAGATAATTTTATTGGCTATCGCATGATATAAAATTTTTGCTTATTAGTGTTAAGTTACCCACGCTATCACTTGTTTTTGAAGGAAGAGGTGAAAACTTAAAATTCAAAACTTAATCCTTGTAATTTTGCGAGAAATGGGTCAAGCCCTAAATTTGAAGCATTTTCATCGATAAAAATTGTCCATAGATTATGCCCTTAAAGTTTGATCACTACAAGCCCGGACACATTGTATAAGTCTAGTAATAATGATCTATGTTGATTTTGATCAATATAAGTCTAGTAATAATGATCTAAAACCTTAAGGCAGGGAAAGATTTTAGAGATAGTCACCAGCTAGTTTTACAAATATCTAACAGAATACTGTTATTTAACAAAACTCGGTTTATACTATCAAAAAGGTACTTCAAACTGACAATATGCAGCGGACTCTCTTATCTTGTTACTGGTAGAGAGAGACCTTGTTTATTGAATTACGAAATTGACTTTGTTTTAATAATTAATTGATATCCAGCCGTGTAACGCTTCATTCGAATGTACAATAGCCGCCGGCCGTAGATTGGGATGAAACGGGTACGGTTAAAGGAATAACGATCAGAACCATTATAATTAAACTCGCACAAGCATAGTGACGTTACGTGTATATTTGGAAATACTAAAGTATACAAAATGTATCCAAAACATCATCAGTTCAGCCTATGACAATTCACTGCTGTATATGTAGATGTAGGCAGATATATGATGCGAGATAGGACTATCTTACTAAGGTCGTCGGTTGTTTTGTTAGTTACCAAGGAGAGGAAATCCTTTATACTTCTTTACTTCTCATTACTTACATAAACACTAGCAGTCGCCCGCGAGTTCGTACGCGTGGATCCCATTTTACCTCTTAAAGGATGGAGTTTCGTAAAATCTTCTCAGTGAGCACCTACGATCTAAAAGGAACCCCCATATAAAAGATTCCTAGCACTTGTAGTTTCTGAGACCCCGTGATGAGTGAGTGAGTCAGTCAGTCAATAACATTTCGTTTTTATAGCCTAAACACGTGTATTGAAGGATTCAAAACACGGTGAATGAATGAACCTATACAACAATAATTATAATACTTGGAAATCATTTAGAGTTAATTTCCGTAGGAAAATATGTCCAAATTTTCCAGGAATCAGAAATTTTATCAGTTTTGCTTGATCGCAAGATTCTATAGAATCTAAAGGTCGAGTACCTACATATTTGGTAGCAAACAATTATTTATCTAAATTAGCCAACACATTACGGGGATGATTTTTCACGTAAAATTGAAGTGTATTAAGCTGCAGAAAATTATTAAACAGACACTAAACTTTATTTGTACCACATGAAGCAAGAACGTTATTATGATTATGATCATACTTTAGTATTAAGTATTTGAGGATTGTGCATGTGCATCACTAGTTGCCCTAGTGGCAACAGGGAAACATTTAATTTCGCCTTTCCAGATTCTATCTTTTACAGCGATTATTCTATTAACAAAAAGATCAAACAAATAACTTTTCTAGGTATGATAATACTTACATAAGTTCGAAGAAATGCCGAAGCTGAGGTGAAAATTTCTAGAATTTCAATTGTGTTCGCGTAATTTTTGGTAGCCCCAACAATTTGGATTATAACAAGATGTTACATATACAGAAATCTGTGAATAAACAAGACCTCGACCTTTCGTTATATTATTGTACAAATTAATTACCTACGCAATGAGAAATTTGACTTATCGCATTTTATTAATATTATGCTGTACTGGAATATTCCACGCATGAAAGAAAAATGTGAGAGTAATTGCTATCCAACACGTCAATTTCTTCGCAAATTGGCAGTAGCATGTACGAATAATATTTTAATAAGTTTAGGAGACTGTATTAATTATATTACAGTTATTTATTTTATAAAATAAATGTCACAGGGTTCAGATGACCGAACCTACGGACGAATACGAGTGAAATATTGTATGAAAAATACTTATCTTAGATAACGAAAAAACTAATCAATAACGCAAGTATGTGTGCTAATCTGTATTGTCATACTGCGGCATGTTGTATTAATATAGTTCAAGTTTTATTTGCCAAAAAACTTACTTCTAACTCACATTTTTCTTTCCATTATTAAAAACAGCGTCATGTTTGTTTCTCATATCCGTCACGGCGTATGATGAATTGAAGTATTTTTGGCACGAATTAAGTTTATTTTGGCTCTTTTTGTTTTGTTTCCATTTGTACTACTTTTATACCGAAAAAGAAGCTTATTTTTGGACTTAGTTGAAGTTTGTCGACCTGCACGGTTTTGACGTTTGACTTTGCAAGTCAATCTCATAGTTAAATTAAATTTTTAGCAGTGTTATCACAGTATCTAGCAATCCTTGCATTATTTACAAGGACTCGAGTAATCATCCGCTGTAGATTGCAAAACTTTATTATTAAAGTTGAAAATTAAAGGTTCAGGGGTCTGGCGGGGCGTACGACAGGCCAACATTCTTCAGTTCACAGTCTTCTTGCATCAGATCTTTGAGAAGAAGTTTCTTTAGAGCCGTACGACGGACCTGTAAAATTGTTCATAATTTAATTCAACTATTTTATTGCATTCTACAACTACTTGTCGAGGCATTGTCTACCAGACTTTGTTTCACAAAACTCTTTAACGCTCGTCACGCGGTCAATGGAATGGAGGCCGCGTACCGGAAAACGCAGCGTGGGACGTCCACCCACAAGGTGGACCGATGACATCATAAAAGTAGCAGGGTAGCGCTGGGCGCAGGCCGCTACCAATCGATCAAAGCATTGGCGGAGGCCTATGTTCAGCAGTGGACGTCCTATGGCTGAGATGATGATGATGATGATAATGTCGCGGTCAATAACGTGCGTTTCCCAATTTTCCCATACAAACTTTCATAAGTTTTTTTGCAGCGTTGCGGGACTTACGGGCGTAAACTCTTTGACTAAGAATTATCACTTCACGGGATTTATTGCAACAATATCTATTTTAACGGTAAATAATATTTACCCTCCCGACGTTTGACTTTCTTTGACTAAGTGTAGGTTATTAGCGGTTTTAATGAGCCAATGAAAGCACATTATTTAGTTTCTTATTTACTATCACTATAATTTAATTAGACATACACGTACATAATTATTAGGATACTTGTCATGTTTTCATCAAGATTTATTTTACTTATAAATGGATAATATAAAGATTACAGTAATATAAAAAGATTGTGACGAGGAATGGTCAAGCAGATGCCACTAGGTATTGATCGGTATTTATTTATCATGGCGTTACAAAGGAATCATTAGATTGAGAATATCCGTAGGTGCGGTATAATCATGAGCCGAATACTGATAGATTGGTCACAGTAAACGGGAACAGTAAGATATGTTTCAGACAAAAAAGTGAGTTTATGAATCACTAGCTTTCCGACCGCGGCTTCGCCCGCGTGTAATTTTGTCTGTCACAGAAAAACTTTATCGCGCGCGTCCCTGTTTCAAAAACCGGGATAAAAACTATCCTATGTCCTTTCCCGGGACTCAAACTATCTCTATACCAAAGATTTTATCAAAATCGGTTCAGTGGTTTAAGCATGAAAGCGAGACACAGACAGAGTTACTTTCGCATTTATAATATTAGTATAGATAGAGTGCCATGATGATATTGCGCTTCTCACCAACTGGTGTATTTTCCCCAAGATGTGTAAAAGTTTGTTTGTTTTCAATAATTTTTCTTCTTCTACTATAGGGTGGGTAAGACTGAAATTTCGATAGCAGTAAGTAAGTATCTTATAGAGCCGTTATGCCCATTGTAGGCATCAGAAATATTCATTTTTAATAAGTACTTGTTTGGTAAAGTGGTTTGGATTTAAGAGTTTTCTTAGCCCTTCATAAATATCGCGACCATTTACGACGACAATCATCTTGTATTTTAAGAATAACTTTACTAACCATTCCTTTTTACTGTACACCTCATTCCTTCACCTTCATTAATACCAGCTAGACAGCTTTCTATAGGCCGGTCTAACGAGACTGTGATAAGGTGCATAGGTATAATAGCTATCCACAAGCTATCCGATAGAAAGCCCTAGAATCCCCTGTCAGGAGGATGAAGCAACTTGAGCTTAGTAAGTCTAGACTCATTTGTTTTAATTAAGGATCTGACATGACTTAACTAGCGCCACCGTAAGTATTATTCTAAAATAGGTCAAATAAAACTCATCATCGTCAATTGCTCATTATCTCAATAATTTGACTTGAAATGAAGTGAAATAGTTTATCAGTACATAAACCCTTTACACGTCCCAAATATAGCTTACCCTACCACCACTTCCAGACAACATAATATGGTCTGTGATATGGTAGGCTGATGCTGAGAAGAAGTACTTGTACGGAAATGGGAGTACCATTGTCTCCGTAGTTCAGTGGGTCAGAGTAGTTCCAACAAACGATAGGTCCTGGGTTCAAGAAGGTACATTTTTACAAGTGAAAAGACATCACTATTGTTTAGTTAGATTTTTATTAGGTTTGTCTTAGAGCTTTTAAGTATGTAACAAGAAGTTACTTTCAAAACTACAGGACCATTCTGAAAAGTTTTCACTAAGAGCAAGGTCAAGTTTAGGTGTCAGACTCATGCCCGTTTTCACCATCAATCCCTAATTTTAAGTGACCCCTATGAAAACAAAATTCTTGTTATGTGTTACCATAGCACTTAAAAGTTTGGTCTCGAAGCGCTGGTAGGGTAAAAAGATAATGAGACATGTAGAGGCTCCTTAAGAGCAAAATGACGATTTGTAAGAACTATTTATTAGTCTAAACAAATAAAGAAATTTTGACTTTGACTTTGAAAAAATTAGGGTTTGATGGTGAAAACGGGCATCAGACTAATAAATGATTCCTGAAAGATGTAGCTATTAAAAAGACATTGTAGCTAAGTCCGTTCTACCATCCCGGCTCTTATTGTTCCATTAACGTACTTTATACTGCCCTTTAACAGTAAGAAGATACGTTCATGAAAACGGAGCCCGCCAACAAAGTATATTTGTTCCAACTTGGCACTTACTTTATAGGATTTTAATGGAAATCCCAATAATGAATAAACTGAATAAGACAATAAACGAGGCGAACTATGACAATTAACAATGGAATATGATCACAATAGAAATTGTATTATCAAAGGCATGAAACAGGGAGCATTAACCAGTTGTACGAAGAGGTATTCGTAATAACTATTTCAGAAAGATGGGGATAGGATAACGACACGTTTAGCTGCTACCAAAGGGTTATTATGGGGCTCGGCTTTTGAGTTGAATTCTCTTATTTTTTTTTTAAACATAACAAGTTTCTTTAGTCTTTTTTTATTAGTTTCCGATATTTTTAAATTATAGCTATTCTGATGTTTGGGTCGGAGACGAATCTACAAAATCGGGGCAAGGACATAGGATAGTTTTTATCCCGGTTTTTGAAATAAGGACGCGCGCTATAAAGTTTTTCTGTGACAGAGAAAAGCTAGTTACCTACACATAAACACTGAGGTCGTAAATCGACAGAGACAATAATTTTACGGTTAGCTGGAAGCCTTGTATTCACTAAAAGCCATAGCCCACACGTACACTTGAATGTTGTCTGTCAGACATACTGAACCCGGTGTCAAAACGACATTAAAATGTATGAGTTTTTTTTTCAAATACAAATTCCTTAATATTGGTCTGAGTACCACATGATAACAGCCCATTTGGAACGAGTCGCAGAAAATGAAAATCAATTTAAAATTCATTCGTCAACTCGCCCCATGTTAGTTAGTTCGTTCGTTTCAGCCGTAAGACGTCCACTGCTGGACAAAGGCCTCCCCCAAGGATTTCCACAAAGACCGGTCCTGCGCCGCTTGCATCCAGGTACCTCCCGCAACCTTCACCAGATCGTCGGTCCACCTAGTGGGAGGCCTGCCCACGCTACGTCTTCCAGCTCGTGGTCGCCACTCAAGAACTTTCCTGCCCCAGCGGCCATCAGCTCTTCGAGCTATGTGCCCCGCCCACTGCCACTTGATTTTAGCGATTCTGCGGGCTATGTCAGTCACATATGCCCATGTTAGTATATTTTCAACCGACTTCAAAAAAAGGAGGAGGTTTGTTACGCGATAGCTAATTATGAACCGATTTGAACAAATCTTTTTTCAGCGTATAGGTAATATCACAAGGGTGGTCCCATTTAAATTTAATAATAAAAAAAACAACCCCCAAGGGTGGAAAATTGGGGATGAACTTTTTTATACGCAATATCTCCGCCGATTATAAACCAATTAGAACGATTACTATTTTGTTGAATAGGTATTATCAAAAGGGTGGTTTCATGCGAATTTGAAGAAAATATTTCACCCCCAAGGGTGGAAAATTGGGGATGAACTTTTTTATACGCAATATCTCCGCCGATTATGAACCAATTTGAACGATTATTTTTTTGTTGAATAGGTATTATCAAAAGGGTGGTTTCATGCNCACGATTATTCTGGTAAATAAATTTCCGGGAATAACGATTCAATATCCATAGTGTTTTTGGTAAATCAGCCAGTTTCAAAGATAAAATTCTGAAAAAAAATCACAAGGTGTATAGGGACCCCCAGATTACGAAAATCGCTTAATCGGAAAACTGCTGCTATGGCTATTGCGGCTTTATTCCAGGCACCCATCGAGTTAATCTATTTTCAACCGACTTCAAAAAAAGGAGGAGGTTTTCAATTCGACCCGTATGTTTTTTTTTTTTTTTTTTCAACCGACTTCAAAAAAAGGAGGAGGTTGTTACGCGATAGCTCCGCCAATTATGAACCGATTTGAACAAATCTTTTTTCAGCGTATAGGTAATATCTCAAGGGTGGTCCCATTTAAATTTAATAATAAAAAAAACAACCCCCAAGGGTGGAAAATTGGGGATGAACTTTTTTATACGCAATATCTCCGCCGATTATAAACCAATTAGAACGATTACTATTTTGTTGAATAGGTATTATCAAAAGGGTGGTTTCATGCGAATTTGAAGAAAATATTTCACCCCCAAGGGTGGAAAATTGGGGATGAACTTTTTTATAATATACATTAAGAATATGGTCTCAATGTACTGCCTACCTTCAGTGGTAACATCAAGGTAATAATTAGTCAACTAAAAAGCAAGAAATGCAGGCAAACTTTACATGTTTCATAATCTTGGCACCGACTCCAGAAGTATCAATCATGGTATACCTACATAAATATTAATAATTCGTCCTAATAAATAAGTAGGTAATTAGTAATTATTATTCTGCTTTTTAGTGTAGGTTTTTTGGAGTCGGTTTTATTTTTTATTTATTAAATAGACACTTGTCTTAGCAACTGTTCCAGTCGTTGATGAGTTGATTAATTTAGATTTACAGCAACTCGTACCTACTGCATGTGGTCTGAGCTGGTGAATACTCCCTCAACTTCACGAGGCAAAAGGAAAATTCAGAGGACTTTGAATCTAATAAACAACGAAATGAGACGAAAGAAAAGCGTGAAGTGTGGCGTAACATAATAATATCAGTCTTTGACATCTACCTTTCAGGGCATACAAGCATAAGGAAACTTCGGGAAAAATCCGAGGCCAATCTGGGTCCCAAGACGCAGCTTCACTTTGTTCCAACTACAAGTGCCAAATTATATTAACCAATTTACGGTTTTCCTCTTGCTTATGATGTGCCGACACTGGCACTTGTTGCCAATCTAATCTGACTAATTGGCAAAATCACACAGGTGCCGACCGAATATCGAGTGAAAGGCAAATATAGGAATTGATGGTATTTCAACCTGTATACCTAACTGAAGCAAATACCCCGAGCTAATTCAGGCAACTGAAGCAAACACATTTTGTAAGTATTAAAACTCAACATGTACCTACTAGGTAAACTCTTTGTAATGAGATTTGTGCTTATTCATGTGTCTGAGGAGTTCTTCGAAGCGCACCTATGTTATGTTGCCCGTTGGTAGGTACTTTTAATTCATCTTAGTAAACATGAAGTTTAAATCTTTATTAGTAAACATAGGTGCGCTTTGAGGAATACTTTAAGTGCGCTTCGAGGAATACCTCAAGCACCTAGTACTCGTAACATAATTAAGTGAAGATAGAAGTTTCTAGCAATAAAGTTCCCAACAAGGTAGGAATGCTCTAGCAGAAAATAAATTGCATAGAGCTATTTAAGGCACAATCTTTAAAGTAATGCTTTTCTTACAAACTATGAGTAGATGGAACATTTTAAATACGAAAAAGTTCACCGTGTACCAGTAGTTCCTGAGAAGTTCTAAACTATCTTGTGCCCACAACTGCAGGGAAGTCACAAAGTTTTTGAGACAGGACTAACTAGAAAATTCCAATCAAACTGAAAATTTATCTGTAAAGCAAAGCACCTTAAGGAAAGTCAAAACAAAGATAAATCAAATGGAGCTATCCAATCCAAGCCCAAGACAAGCACAAAGTCAACAAAAAGTTTTGAAACTGCCATCTAAGTCTAAGGTTCCTTTTACGGACATTAATAAATTACAATTTGTTTTTTTTTTTTGGTTTATACAAATTTCAAACCTGTTAAAGAAGTTTTATTTATGGTTCTTCCGCAGCACCAGATTACATTACATCACATTTTTGTATCGTTAGGATTGGAGTCGTAAATCCTCGTGCTCACGCTGGCATTTGCCGGACATTCGTTTATGAAATGATGAAAATGATCATCACATCGGTCTTATTTCCACAGCTGAGTGAGATGGGTAAATTGTTCGAAACTGAAACAATCTGTGATTAAGTTCCTGTAATAATTTAAGCTTTAAAAGCATGTAGCTAAGGTAAATTTTTAAATGTTGTGTAAATACAGCGTTACACGTGCGAAACGACATCTCTATGCAATTAACACTAATGTTCTGTCGAACTTCTCGGAGGGTCACATACTTCAAAAGCAGAATTTACGCTGTGGGAAAGTTGAGTTACACGAGCATCAAAGTCTTTTATTTCATTTTAGTTTAAATATTTACTGAATTGCGAATGAGTGCCAACTCCGTAAAACTAATTTGGATGTGCAACAGCTGTCTCTTTCCTTTCATCAGGGAAATCGAATGAGTGAAAGAGGCGGATAGTTGCAATATTACCAGGCCTTCAAGCGTAGTCGACCAGTTGGATGTGTACACTGCAAAATCAAACTTTAACTGGAATGTGTCGAGTGTAGTAATGTTGGAGTTAACATTTCAAACACGAATGTACGACGACGGAACATCAAGGTAAACAATGTGGCACCTTATGCGGAATATATTAGGGGAGATGTTTGGGCAAAATGTATAATCTAATGTGTTGTAGACTGTACGTACCTACAACACGGATGAATTAATCTACGACTGCACCTTGCATTGGCGACTCGTGTGCCCCGTGCCCAGGGTACAAAGGCTTGTTTGACTGAGTAAGCTTGTCCGGCACAAAACTCAAGTAAATAAACAACTTTAGTTTGCTTTTATTTACTGTCGGAAAAGATCATATTATTATTTTAGGAGGAGGTCCTGTAATCTATAAATTTAACTACGTCAGATTATAATCTGACGGAATTCACAATTTTACGGTGACATATAGGTATTAAACAGGTTGATTTTGTTATCAGTGTCCAATTTTTTTAAAAGCAATAAATAAGTGCTTTTCTTAATCTTACATCTCGCTGAAAGTCGTGAAAAATGTTTTATACAGATAACGCTTTTCTTTCAAGCGTACCTAAGTTCTAACAATATTACAGTTTTTATACATCGGCCAAAAAGTTGAAGAAGGTAGGTAATTACTTCATCTTCTATTGCCCGATCGACAATTTTAACCACATCATTTACTCATGTGATTTTAACACAATTTAATGTAAAATCAAATAGGTTCAACAAACTAGTTTTAAAGTAGACTACGATAGAGCCTTCACACGTGGGTTTTCTCACGGCTCGGCAGTAACAGACTCCGTAAACAATTTTACTGTACCTAATCAGGAAAGAGCCTGCGGCGCGAAACACACGTAGCAACTTCGAAATCCCAGTTTTGGCAACATTTCACCCTTCAAGAAGCAATTTATAGCTCATTTTAAACCTTATGCTATCATAATAAAGTCCAAATATGCCAGCAAAAAAATAAGTAAAAGGGTTTACAACAGTTAAAAGCTGTCAGCGCATTCGTAATGGAGTTTCGTCTATAGCTGTGTTGAGAATTTCCAAACTTCTTAACTACTACGTGCGACTAAAGGTTCTTACTACCCCAACAAGTTACTAGTTAGGGCTAGTTGAGAAGCTACGACTGAACACAATGCTGATTTCCGTAGAGATTTAAAGTGCCTACAAGTTTCTATTTTACCTTTGCAGAAACTTGAAAAGGGTTTGGTTTGCTTCTGCTAGATACGATACGCGCTTAATATTACTAAAGGCCATTTTCATCGGTTCCTGATACTCGTATTTATCTGACGTAACAAAATATCTAACAAATAAAAGGATTGTGGAAGGAGAAGTGACTTAATATTATATCAGATCTATGAAATGAAAAGTTGTGCTTAGTAGTTTAACTGACAGATGAGAAAAAGAGAAGCTTTCAATATACGTTGGGACTTTATTAACACACGCCAAAACAAAAAGCTCTGGGTCTGTATGTGCAGCAGACTTGATGAAAAGTGATAATCAGGCCGAAAGGTAAGGTAGAGCTTATTAAGTTTCACTGGAGGTCAAACTGTAGATCCAGGATCTACCTTTACAGGAAACGCAATGAACCAATGATTCTTGGACGGTTAGTGGTGAAAACCTCGTTATTTTCACATACTTGTGCTATCAGGGTCTATCATGAACATGTAAAGCCGGTATCTTTCACTTTATCATCTGGGTGAAATCAGCTGGGTGTCCATAGGCGACACTTTAGAGTTCTATGATTACCATTGGATATAATTAGTGGGTTATCAGGGACTATCAAGAACCGGTAAAAGGCCATAAAACTAGGAGTACTTACAGCCAGGGTCTGCCACTTGGCTTGACGCAGCTCTTCGCGTATGAACATCATCTCGGGACGCAGGTCGCGGTGGGCAAAGGGGTCCATATCGATCTTGAGCTTGGGGTCGATGCCCGCCAGCTGCTGGTCACTGTGGAAATATTTGCATGTAAAGAAAGGAAGATAATTAACTTTTTTAAAAAAATATAACCGACTTCAAATGCGTGAACACAAAAAAAGACTAAAAATTAAAAATATTGCGTATAAAAAAGTTTATGTTTTATGTTTTTTTGAGGAGGAGCCTGACTCTCGTTACACAGGTTAACCTTATACGATAGCGGCACATATCTTGTAATTGTAAAGTGTTTATTCAATAAAAGTATTTTCATTTTTCATTTTCATAGCCGTATAAGACGCTACGTAAATTGTTTAGGTGCTCTTCTTCTACTATGGATAGATGTCTTTTATTTATTTATTTTAGATAGCTAATGTATGCCATGGAATTATTCATTTACGATATCATCTTTGTTTTATATTACTTTTAAAGATTTTTAAAATCCTAGCATATTTTTTAGATAATTTATGCCATGACATTATTTCGATAATGATATCAACAAGGTACCTTTGTCAATCTTCGTTTTATATTGCTATGAAAATTATTTTTCAAAAGCCTTGCAAATTGTTATAAAATTTTAAATCCGCCTTGATTCCTTCTCTTTAATGTTCCCTAACTGAATATTTAATCATTATCGCTGATTCGCTTTCATAAAGCAATTTTCCCCATACATCAAATGGATGGAAAATAAAATATTTAAACTCATGGATCTTGTTTACGAACGTGTTGTTACAGTTACAATTTTAAAAATACAGTACAACTGAATAAAATCTTCAAAACAGTCCACACAACCCCGAAAAGCTTTTTAATTATTAAAAATAAAATTGTTCTCTTATCACGATACAATGTTTTTTGACAGTGTGGAAGATGTTAATTAATATCAATTCGGGAATACAGAAATGAAACCTTTTTCACCATTTCGTCATTCAATTCAAAAACCCACGAATATGAAGTTCTGATAAATATAAAACGAAAACAATTAGTTTTAATTCTGGAAAGACCATGTTTTACTCTTTATTTTTTCAATATTACTGAATGTAAAAGGACGGTAGTTAGTACTCAATTTATAAACATTTTTGCTTTAACGAGAAACAAAAAGCGGCCTGGAAAATTAAACCTTCAACACTTAGATAAGAGCTTTAAGCACAAAAGCAATCAAGGGAATCTTTTAAGGCCCTATTGTTTAAAATCGGAAAAACCTTTTTACAGTCCATTAAATAAAAGCATTTTAATGTTACTTAATTAGTATAAGGTCTGTATAAGCAAAAAATAAAAAAGGCCGACACAGTGAAATGCGTGCCAGGAGGATCGCGCCGTATATTGACGTTTTGCCTTAAGCATTCCGGCCCAAAACATCCGGTAATAAAAAAGATCCGATGTTTATTGTACGTATTTGCTCCTTTAGGCTTCTGTTTACACAGGCTTGAATTATATTACAAACCTAATTCACTAGATACCGCCTTTTTACGTAAGACTTAGGTTCGTATTCTGAGACGACACTCAGAACTAGAGCTTAAGGCATTAAGTTTATACGTATAAGGAATAAAAGGCTAACTCCCTTACTGAAAGTAAAACACTTGTTGAACGCTGTTTTAAAATGATATGCCGTTACTAAAATTCAAAATAAATCACTGTTCAGCGAGCCTGTAATTTTAATTACTAAGGGGGCAAATAAATAACTAGATTAAAACCTACGAATGGAATGCGAAAGGTCTAATTTATAATTGATTGGATTTCCATAACTCTTTAGACATAATTGCACCTATAATTGCAGGCTTCAGTTTATTCTCGGTGTTTATTCAAATTCGATCACATTCGATCGTTTTCAGAATCAAGGTTTTTAAGTTCCGTAATTAAAAAACAAATCTCAACACTCAATTCAATTTCCTTTGTCATGTTGCATTTCAATTTTAGACCAATCACATCAACCCAATTGAATTCTGTGGCTTGGTTCGCAATAAGGGCTTATCCAGTGGCGGCGTAGCATAGGTTGTCACCCGGGGCGGCACGTACAGTCCTCTCAACTTAAGCTGAGAATTGCATTTGTGTGAGTGCACACCGATAGTGTAGAGTGTCAATCGGCTTGAAGCGCGGCGCGCGTCCCGCGCATGGTTTAAACCGGTTTATTTATAGCAAGCGGCCTGAAGCGCGGCGCGTCCGCCACGCACCGCTTCATACTTCACTTCACCCCCGGTACTGGTAGCAGATACGTGTAATTTTATGTAATTGTGTTCCAAATATTAGTGAAATGGCTCCTACTGTAAGTGAATTTCCTGTACGAAATCCATTAAGCAGCCAAGTGAAAGAAATTGTATGCAAATTGAATACGTATTTTAAAGGTGTGAACGAAAAGTTTTTAGTCTGTTTTTATTTTGTAATTTTATAAAGTTTGTCTTTTTGTTGTATTTTGTAAGGCTGGCTGGACGCCCTCTCTATAAACGGTGCTCGCAGAATATCAGCGTCGAGGTACTTCGTGCCTTGGCATATGCTGAGCGAGGACCTGTTTTTATTTATTTATTTATTTAAAAGGATGTGTCAAGTGTCGTTACATTGCATCGGCCCAATTGGTAGCAAGTTTTTAATGACTTCCTTTTAATAAAACATTAATTTTATTTGTATGTGTTTTACTAACGGTACTTTTGGCGATCACTCACACAAATGCAATTCTCAGCTTAAGTTGATAGGACTGTACGGCGTACGCCGCTACTGGGCTCATCTGCGTTTGACATTAATCTTATCTGATCTGATGAACAGTGAGTTCTACGATGAAACGCATTTCCTCGAAATCACATCACAGCAGCCCCCTGGAAAAATGTTGTTGACGTCTGAGCGTTATAATTTCGATAAGTCAAAAATACACAAAATGCTTGGGTTACCCATGAAAAATTTAAGCAAGTACTTTTAAATTACTTCTGTCAAGTGCAACAATCCTTATTTATTTCAATTTACTGCGAAATTTAATATTTCAAAGAACCCTTACCGAGCAAAAGTAACCCTTGCTTACTTTGATTACGGGATCAAAAAAGCCTTTTAGTGCACGATCACAAAAAAATATTCAACAATTTTGCCTGTTCTTAGTAATTGTTAAAATTCACTCACGAGGCGGGATACATAATTTAATAAACATTTGTATGTTTTCTGCTAACATTAATTATTAAAATCAATTATTAGGTACTTACTAAGTACCTATTAGGTTATTCCACAAAACGAAAGAATATCAAAAACATAAAGTAGCCACTTTGATTAAAAGATACTTTCCTATTCAGTGCATGCAATATAAAGTTCAATAAATTAACAATAGTCTGATTTTAATTATTTTTTAATTTTTTTTTAACTAAATTTATTGCTAAAATATCCCTTTAATATGCAAGATACGCAGTACTCTTGATTCAGCAGTCTTTGATAGATTTTTAACATTGAAAAATATGTACTCTTGTAAATTCTAGTGAACTTTACTAAGTTTTAAAATGTATTGCACTTGAAGCTTGTTGTTCTTTGCCGAGAACTTAAATCAAGAATCGCAAGACGTTCGGATTTTTTTTAATATGTAGGTATCTAAAATGAAATACGAATCCTCTTATTTAAATTTTTAGTTTACTGAATTATTTAAAACTAGCTTTCCGCCCGCGGCTTCGCCCGCGTGGAATTTTGTCTGTCACAGAAAAACTTTATCGCGCGCGTCCCTGTTTCAAAAACCGGGATAAAAACTATCCTATGTTCTTTCCCGGGACTCAAACTATCTCTATGCCAAATTTCATCAAAATCGGTTGCGAGGTTTAAGCGGGAAAGCGTAACAGACAGACAGACAGACAGACAGACAGACAGACAGACAGACAGAGTTACTTTCGCATTTATAATATTAGTTGGTGTTTAATACCTCCATGCTCAGCATACTGGCTGATTCGATATTTTTTATAAAATAAAAGAAAAAAAGGAAAAAAAGCTGTCAATTGTTTTTACTTCTTCGCAGCTCGGCTTTTTGTCTGTAACACAATACAATTTTTCTGCGTCGTATCAAATCAGATATTATCATCGTCGTTTTCTTAGACCTACTGGTCAAACGTACTCCATATTTTTTGTGGTCATTTCGAGCACGAATAGCTCTTTGGATTCTACAGTCAATAAAAAACGCTCATCGAAAACTCTAAAATTTCCAGGTAGCACTTTTTAGCACGCCATTGTTAATTTCGTAAGTCGAAAATNCCAGATATTGTACCCGAATTGAAACCGGCGGCTTCTCATACCTTAACTGCGTCAAAGGAAACTAATGTTGATGCGATTAGCGAGCTTGTGGAAAGATCTTCATCTTTTTTACATTCTCAGCGAGTTCTAGCATGGTGCCTTCGGTTCATCGGCAACTTGAAAAAGAAAAGGGACGACCGTGAACATAACACGGATTTGACTACCACGGAACTTGAGAACTCACTGGTTGTTCTTATTCATAATGAANTAAAAGACGAGCTAATAAACTTACTCGATTGTGGAAAATTCGAGCTACGTAAATGGAGCAGTAATTCTCTTGATTTTCTTTCACATCTTCCAGCTGATCATCGTCAAACACCTAAAGCGTTTTGTGATAAAGAAAATCAATGTACACTCAAAATTCTGGGCATTCAGTGGGACCCACTCAATGACAAGTTTACTTACACTCATTTAGAAATGAACCCGGCTTGTACCAAGCGGATTGTTCTCTCGAGTGTGGCAAGAATTTATGATCCACTCGGATGGCTAACGCCAGTGGTATTATTGGCCAAGATGTTTATACAAGAACTGTGGCGTCTACAACTGGACTGGGACGAACCAGTTTCTACTGAAATGTTACAGAAATGGCAAGATTTCGTACGAAAACTGACAAATTTATCTAGTATCNTACCGCGGACTGTGCAGGCTCATAATCAGTGACTGCGGTAGAAATTTCATAGGAGCGAAACGGTATCTTAACGAAACTCAAAGGTTTTTTTCCCGCTTTGAGGTGTATTATGTATATAGTTCTAGGGAAGTTTAATTTTTGTTTCTTAACTAATTAATTCGTACATTTTGTTTTAATGCAGGTGCTTATCCTTGCGACTTTTAAGTTGTTGCTAGAGTGCAATATAATTTAATTTTCACTGTCCCTGTAAGAATGCGTGCAGTGTTTTATTATTTCTTCTTTTCCTCTTGAAGAGGTTTAATTTACTTTTTTTTGAAATCCCTAAGTGATTTCAAGTGGGGGGGTATGTTTAATACCTCCATGCTCAGCATACTGGCTGATTCGATATTTTTTATAAAATAAAAGAAAAAAAGGAAAAAAAGCTGTCAATTGTTTTTACTTCTTCGCAGCTCGGCTTTTTGTCTGTAACACAATACAATTTTTCTGCGTCGTATCAAATCAAATATTATCATCGTCGTTTTCTTAGACCTACTGGTCAAACGTACTCCAGTTGGGAAGTTGGGATGGGATTAGTTGGGATGGGATGTATTGCCGAAAAATGTAATTCCATTTTAATTTAAATGTCTTAAAGGTTTTCATCTAAGTACCTACCAACTTATTTTTAAAGAAAATCTACTTAATTTTATTTTGTTTCTTGACAAAGGATGATTCTCGGCTCACGCAATGACAAATCTTTAATTTTAGGACGTCGGAAATTCGGAACGCATTTTACGCACCGTCTCCCAGACCCTAATAGGATCATCATCATCATCATCTCAGCCATAGGACGTCCGCTGAACATAGCGCCTCCCCCAATGCTTTCCATGTTGCCCGGTTGGTAGCGGCCTGCGTCCAGCGCCTTCCTGCTAACTTTATGATGTCGTTGGTCCACCTTGTGGGTGGACGTCTCACACGCGTTTACCGGTACGCGGCGGCCTCCACTCCACTATTAGGTACTATGGACTATGATATTGGGCTACTACTAAACATATCCACCTACCTAGGCTAGGATCTACCTAATCTACGAGAGACACAAGTACCTAAGCTGTATCTTACAAATATTTTCGCGTCATTGAACCTTAACGTCATTCCCTTGTTAAAGGTTCGCATTCTGAGATCCACTCTCAGGATTAGTAAGGTAGGATACAGAGCAGAGTGAGCAGGTTTAGGCATTAGACAGTCGAATGATTTACATTCGACTGTCTAATGAGAAACAGGATTTCGTGTTCCCGAGAACAATTACTTAAGCCCTCGATATCGGTTACAGCCACTAAAAGTGTTCCTTCCTAGGCACATATTTACAGACGTCTATATCAATAAAAGCGACAGGTCACTGACTCACTCATCACGAAATCTCAGAAACTACAATTGCTAGGAGTCTGAAATTTTGCATGAGGGTTCCTTTTAGAACGTAGGTGCTCAATAAGACGGGATTTTGCAAAATTCAACTCCTAAGAGGGTAAAACGGGATCCACGCGTAGGTACGATGTCGGAGTATAAACGGACAGGCGGGCTCGCGAAGTAAGTTTAGTAACAGAGTATTATATTATCTGTGGTAACAGGTAGGGATATTAAATGTGCACAAACTGTTAAAAGCTCGCAGGAACAGTTCTAGGTACTAACATCTAATAAAGTGGCTTAAGTTTAATATGCATTGAAGCTTAATAAAATTTATAAGCTTAGTTACGAAAATTATTTGAGAATAGATACGTAGAAACTATTGGGTATGGGCAAGTAAGTACCAACCTCAACTTTAATGTCGCTAAAATAATAATCAAAGTTTCCAAAGATAACGCCATAATAGTACCAACCAGGTCGTATGGGACAGTAGGTTTAAGTAGTTAAATCAAGAACATTAAACGATTGGGGCGCAGCTCAGATCATAGATGAGACTACAACCAAGTGTTATGAGGCCTTAGAACTTCTTGTCCTCCAGTTGGTGTCGGAGAGGCGTTGTGGTATGACTGAAAATGAGTGCACCCACAGAAAAAAGATCTATGTTCTATGAGTGATGAGTGAAACCGGCTCATCAACACACGCACTTACCGGCACCGGCACCGGGTGAAAACTTGCTTGTCAACACACGCCCTGAGTGTGGGTCCTGCTGACTGACCCATAACTCTCTTAGCCCCCTGCCGCCGCCAGAATTCCACAACCATGACTTTGCGTTTAAGGGACCAACACACAGGTAGGTACTTAATGACCCCTCAGGGCTCACCTTATTTGACCAAACTATTCCTTGGAAGAGTGAGGCTTAGTACTTAGGTGTCACCCTCGACCAGAGATTATCGTTCGCTCCGCACCTCAGACGCATCTTGAGCATCGTTCGCTCCGCACCTCAGACGCATCTTGAGCCGTGCGAACCACCGACTCTACCACCTAGATGGAAGGAAAAGTAAATTGTCACTTAGAAATAAGTTGACAATTTACAAAACCTGCATCCGTCCAGTGTTGACTTACGCCAGTCCGGTGTTTGCTCACACTTCCTGCACAGTCCTTAAGAAATTCCAGACCCTTCAAAACAAATTCTTACGCCGAGCAGCGGATGCCCCGTGGTTCGTGCGTAACACGAATCTCCATAGAGATTTCGAGATCCCATCGATTGATCACTTTATGAAAGAAGCCTCTCGCCGCTACTTTGATAAAGCGATCAACCACAAGAACCCTCTTATCGTTAGCGCCTCCACGTATACACCCCAGAAAGATGTCGCTGCCCAATACCGACGACCTGGGCATTTCCTAGACGACCCGGACGATCCTATTACCGAATTTCTGAACACAGACATCACTGCCTTAAGCACGCCAACTACTCCACAACACAGTAGCTCGTTACACCGTACTCGCCGGCGAGAACGAGGCCCTATGCCTTCCATTTCATTTTCCAGGTTCTCCCCTATTCGTCCTCCGGACACGGCCTGAGCGAGGTCCGAGCCTACCGTGGCGCCCTCAGGCCACGTCTGTAGTCCCCTCGATCGGGCCCACTAGAGTGAGCCCGCCGTAGGCTGGACTTTGGTCCAACACCGCGGTGGGCAACCCTCTAGTTGGGTTTGCCACTGATCAGGCGCCTTATGCGCTCGATACGGCCCGATCGCGAACGTCGGTCTGCGACGATCGCCAAACGGCTAGAGTACCTTCTGTACAACACACTGGCGTCGTTCGAGTGTCGGCCAGCGCCATGCTGGGTCCGGGATCGGGATTGTTATACATATATAAAATGTAGGTACCTATAGAAACGAAAACCGCACACCGCGCCTATGCGTAGGTGGCGACGTGTGGCCACTTACAGTCTAATTTTTTAGAAATCAGCAGAAATGTCATCAAATATGGCCAACTGACATAAAAATATTTTTAGTCTGTGAACTAGTGATGCGACAAAACCTCTCGTTAATCGCGAAGTGAAATGTTGTAGTACTTGCGTATCATCGCCGGGTGATCGTCAAAATACTAAAAATATGCAACAAAGTCGCAACATTGAATGTGAACTGATTATCAAATTTTCGAGAACAGGAAACAAACTGTATGCACAGATGTAATCAAAAAGCACACTGGACAGTAAAACAATCAATGATATCCGTAAAGTTATTAAACTTCTGTTGCTTGCTGTTGCTTGCTGCGTGATTGGTGGATTTTGACATATCTGTCAATGTCATGTCAAAAATAACCAATCATGCAGCATTTGGACCTCGCGTCTACGTATTGCCATCTGGCGGATTTTTCAATCGCGAAAACCCTCATTGAAAGAAGTTTTTTATTTTCTTAAAAATAAACAATGGAACAATACGTAAGCATAATTGCATAAAAAAGTAAAATAATTTCGTTTAAATAAAACCGACTAAAAATTAAACTGACTCCGAAAAAGTAAACACTAAAAGTAGAAAAATAAATTTACGTTATCTCCAATATTGTCGAAGTTATCGCTGGAAAACTAAGCAAAGTATCGTATATTTTTTATTTAAAATTAATCAGTAATCGGAATAAGTGAATGCTTAAAATAATATCGATTAAATTTACAGATTATTGTCTATGACTCACAGGTTACGGCACTGATGTGTCAGAGACAAGTCATAGACAAAATGGAGATAACACATGATTTTAAACGTCAAGTCAATTTGACAATGTCACAAATTTTCATCGTCCACGTATTTTGCTAAAATAATTTGTTTCAAAGATTGATTTCAAACTTGTATAAACGTGAAAATAAAGTTGGTTTCATGGGCTTGTTATATAGTGTGTATGATATTATGAACACGTAAGTGATTATGGTGTAATTGTGTATGAAAGTGTTTGTTTACATCTCTGCTGGATTCTAAAAAATCAAGGTATAAACTGGTGTCTGCGGCTTAGCGCACACTGCGCACAACGTCCATGTTTTGCGTATGGTATTTAAGTACCTAGGTATGTTTGGGTATTTAACTATAGCTACAGAAACATAGTTTCAAATCTTGAAGGCTTACCTACTTTACTTACTTTTTCTGTGGTCTGTTGATGCTATTGGATTCTAATGAATCGTCTGGAAATGTGATGTCAGTAGAACAAAATAACAGAATAATACCAAGAAAATAAGTATAAAAGAAACGCTTACAATCTCGCCCCAACATCAGCCTCCAGCACACCTGCTTCTTCCAAGGTTTCGGGAGCAGCCTCTTCATCTTCAGCCATTTTAGTGACTCTTTCCTGCACACTCAATTCAATAAAGACTTAATTAATAAATTTGTTTTGAAAACAATTTTTTTTCATTCGCAGAAATTCGATTGATTGACAATATTTTTTTGACATTTTTAATTTTAAATGTTTTTGTTTTTTTTTTTAACGGAATTCTAGCAACAAACAAACAAATAACTTTTATGAAGTTTAAACTTAAGTTTTCTGGATTTCTCTAAATTATTATTAAACATTTTACAAAAAGAAGAATTACGTTATTTTTGAGTTAAATTATTTTTTATTGCGTTGTAACGACTAAATATATTTAACTAGCGTAAAACGGACTGCGTTGCAAAAAAAAACTGTCACCGTCAGCGTCAGCTGCACAAACGTCAAGATTGTCAATCCAAAAATTAAATTGCAAAACAGTTGTGGGAAAAGCGCGGGAAACGTCGGTTTCGGTGGTCGTCATTTTTTTTGAGAAATTATTTTTTCNACTATGCAGATGAATGCAAATTCCACAAAAGTAGGTAATGCAGGAGTTATATTGCGCGATGATGCGGCTCCCGTTGTTGTATTATGTGTGAATTGCAGGAGTTCTGTTGCGCGATGATGCGGCTCCCGTTGTATTATGAGTGCGATTTCTTGATGCGCACTATATGAATGCAGTTTCCACTGTATGTAGGTACAATTGCAGGAGTTCTGTTGCGCGATGATGCGGCTCCCGTTGTATTATGAGTGCGATTTCTTGATGCGCACTATCGGCACTATGTGAATGCAGTTTTCACGTGTATGTAGGCACAATGCAGGAGTTTTGTTGCGCGATGATGCGGCTCCTGTCCCACTTTATACACAATGGTGCAGACCAGGCAGTTCGAAGCTCGAAGGACCATGTAGGGCAGCGAAGACTATATTCGTATTAAATCGTATTTTAACATTAAATTAATTTGAAATCTAACGTGACAGAAACGAATCGCTGCAAAACCGACTCCACGTAGTCTTGTCTGCCCTACCCCTAGAGTGTAATTTAAAAGCCGGAGGCGCGGAGGGAGGGCAGCCCTCGCCCGCTGTAACTAGGCTCAGGCGCCCGGGTGAGCTGGAGCGGCTGAGGCTGGTCGCCGAAGCTGCGGAAGCAAGCGTGGGTGCCTGAGCCTCGTTACGCAAGGGCGGAAGGGCTGCACATCCCGCAGCGCCGGAGACGAGGAGATACCAATGCATGCTGCATGCTTGCTTTCATGCTGCATGCTCTGCATGCTTATCTACTCTATTAAATTATAATATATGATTTTTTTAAAGATACGAGTATGTCTGTTATAAAGTAAATTATTCTGAACAAAAACATTACGAGTTGAAGTATGTTCTTAGTAACAACATTATTAATTAAAACAATATGATCAATGAATGTTATGAAGAAAAAAGATCTGAAAATAAAAATTATGTGTTTTAAATGGTTCTTGGTAGTAACAGTATTGATATAAAAATTATGATTACTAATTGTTATGAGCTCCGATGGTAGTAATAAAAATGTATGAATAAAAAAAGTATGAAAAATAAAATTATGAAGAGAGATTATTATGAACACAAATCGGTAGTAAGACAAAGAATAGGATTTAGAATTTTATGTGAGCCAATATAGAACCGTATTATTGTTTGTAGGTTGATGGACAAACCAGTAAAAATGGTCTATGAAGGACAAGCGCAAAAGGTAGTTACAAAGGCAGGACAAACATAACCTCAATGTGAGACGATGGGGAGTGTATTATTGTATGATTTATGGACAAACCAGAAGAATTAGAGCCAGTAACTAATAACAGAGCAGATACTTTAAAGAAGTGGGCCAAAAACAACCTTCGTCTGAGCGGGATAGGGAGTATATTTGTCTATTCCACAGCAGCGGATCTACAGAAGCAACAATAGGGCGAATTATAACCCACAGGTGATGGAATAGGGTGTGTATTTGTTTGCATATTAATGTTAGAAGTGATCTATAGTAAGTCGAAGATGTATTCTTTACCAACATAAAAACGTGTCTTTTATGCCTCTCAAACATCCGTTTGATTTAATCCCGAAACATAGGTTGCTTATCTAGGCTACCTATGTTTCGGGATAGCATCAAAGAACAATATTAAACTACGCTATCTTTTGCAGGAACTACTGTTAGAGCACGCAGACTTGTTTTACCACTTCAAGAGCATATCGCCGACGGGAACCATCACCCAGGAGGACATCAAGGAGATCACCGACGTGTTGCAGGATGACTCCAGGTAATACACAATATTATATTATGTAAGAAAGACCTTATTATGTGGACCGACGATCTGGTGAAGGTCGCGGGAAGTACCTGGATGCAAGCGGCGCAGGACCGGTATTTGTGGAAATCCTTGGGGGAGGCCTTTGTCCAGCAGTGGACGTCTTTCGGCTGAAACGACGACGACGACGATGTAAGAAAGAAAGAAATTGTTATTTGGCACACAAATTATTCAAAATCTGACATATCTCCAAACAAAAAACTCTGAGACTTAATTAGATCTTCCTGTGTCATAAAGCTGAGTAAGATGATAAGGGTAACTTTTTCTGTCATTTACACGCCTAAATCACTGAACTTTGAAAATATTAAAGTAACTCTATTTAAGTACCGAAGTAAAGGAGCTAAATCGTGTTCGAAAATTAGTGGTCCTCCGAGCCGGATTCTTATCTCAAATCGTCTTCCAGATACAAGTGCTGGACCTGCAAGGTGATGTTTTTCATGAAAATATATCAATTTCCCCTTCTATCTACAAAATTCTATTATTGCATGAAGCAAAACCGCATGCTGATGATTTAAATTTTTAAATGGTCCTTCGAGCCGGATGTCTTACCCCATTTCCCCTTCCAGATACAAGATGCTGGACCGCATGGAGCAGGACCGCAAGCTGATGCTGTTCCAGCATCTAGGCTTCGTGCACTGCCCGATGAGGGAACACTGTCCCGCAGGATCTAACTGTTTGGACGCGACGTTGCCGGTCATCCTCAACACTAGGGTTGGGTATGTTGATGATTTGATATTTGATTCAAGTGGTGTTAGGGCAAGCTATAATTTGAGACGTGTACAAGCGCCCTGAAAAGGGTCTAAGTTGGTACTGAATATACTGACAGAATTCAAGTTCTTTAGGAAAAGTATTTTGAAGTTAAAACTTGCATGACAGTAGGCAGAAATCATTACAGCGATCAGTAACAAAGGGTTTTGCCATTAAAAAGAAGGGACAATAATCTATGGATAGTAAGATAAAGTTTTTATTCTGTATCCAAATATCTGTAACAGTAAATGATTTAACTTGATTTGATTAGATGGCAGTAAACAATTACCAAATTATTTTGCCACTTTCAACTCCTAAAATCAATAAGAATTAGTCTTACTACCTCTTGGTTCAGAAAGCAAGTTATGTGTCCGATTGAGCCATGTCATACGCCTATGGCTGCTCATTACAGAATAGCTGCTCATTACAGATATATTGTCGCTCTAAACTCGATTCAGGCTGATTGATTAAATTTCATAATTTATACCAATAAATAGAATATCCGGACGCCCGTATTCACAAACATTACTATGAGGTCTCATAGTGCGCGTGGATACACAGGATCACACAGAGCTGTATTCAACGCTGTGCGGTCGATTTGCTGCTTCACATAAGTAAGCATCGTTTGTAAATACGGGCATGTGACTGTGACTTGAGTTTTAAGCATTGTTTTGTTATACACAACCAAATCTGACACCAAGGGTGGTGAAAATAATTGTAACAACTAGGCTTGTTCTTACTCGGATACTGAACGGATCGCTCCGAACTAGTACAATCGGTCAAATGAACTAGTTTGGTCTTCTAGTACTATTAGTTAATTTTAGTACACTGATTCTATTAGGTAGATCGAACGAAAAAAGTATTTATTCCTATGTATTTATGGCCCAATATCGAAATATACTCGCAACAGAGTTACAGAGCCGTACCCATCTCACTCGCGCTCACATGTCATTAATCTCACGTCTCATTCTAGCACTATTAGTTCATTTTAGTACATCGATTTTTTAATCAAATCGGACGAAAAACGTCTTTATTACTATCACCTTAAAGCACAATGTCGCAAAATACTCGCAACACACTCACAGAGCCGAATCCATCTCACTCGCGCGCGCTTGTCACCAATTTCACGTCTCGTTTACACCTATTCATTCGTGATCGGCTGTACTAAAGTGAACTAAAAGACCGATTTGCAGGACCAAAAAGGAATAATTCGTTCTTGTTCACTTAAAGGAATTGCTTCCTATTAGTACATAGTACATGTACTACACAAGCCTAGTAACAATCCACAAATTGCAAAAAGACTTCAAGTAGAATGGTTTTAAGTTTGTTCGTATCTTTTTTTAGGTCTTTGACGTCCACTGGGGAGTCTCAGTGCCACGCCGGGCCGCCGGCGGCGCCGTGGGCGCTTACCACCGATTCTAACCAGATCAACGTTATCATATTAGGGGTGAGTACAATGACATAACATAACACATATGAATACATTGAAGAAATAAGCCACATCAAAATGGGAAACCACAAAAATTAAGACTAGATCAGGGACTTCCTACCTGAGTTCTGCAACGAAGCTTTTTTCTAAGCTCTAAAAATGTTTATCCATTTTGTATATCACGAAAATGGACGACATATTACACTTATATGTCTTTATCACGGAAATTGATACCATATTATACGTAGATGTAAATCCTTGAATTCAAAATCTACAAAAGTTGTTCAGACCATTTAAAATTTGGTAGTTTTCCAGCTGTAAAAAGATAATTATGATTAAGTATTTTTCCGAAGCAGTGGCTGAATAAGTCTAATTGCAATAAATAAATAACTTATGACTATAACTTTGAATTCGTCAGGTGGAAGGCATAGCAGGCGAGTTCGGCAAACGCCTGCTAGCCGGCTGCGACTCAGAACGGCGCGTCAGCGTGCAAGGGCTCACGTGGCGTGTGGAGCAACGAGTACGGACCGATGACTTCAGTGCTGACACTACTGCTATCGATGAGTTCGCTCCCAACGGTAAGTTGTGACTTCAGATCCATTTTAGGACCGTTGTCCTGTTTAAAAAACCGGGATAAAAACTATCCTGTCCTTTCCCGGGATTCAAACTATCTCTATGCTAAATTTCATCAAAATCGGTTCAGTGGTTTAGGCGTGAAAGCAAGACAGGCAGAGTTACTTTCGCATTTATAATAGAAGTAGAATAGAATAGTTTATTTCAAATAATAATAAATTCAAATAAATAGATATTAGGTAGTATAGATTATTTTGTTTCCAGGCTACTTCTGCGTTTACCAAGACCAGGAGTCGTTCGAATACATTCGAGGCTGCGCCGAAAAGACCCTTCTATCCAGTTTGGAGCAGGAAGACAAGCTTCCATTTCAAGTATGTATTTCATAGATTATCATCATCATCATTTCAGCCATAGGACATCCACTGCTGAACATAGACCTCCCCCAATAATTTCCATAAAGACCGGTTGGTAGCGGTCTGCATCCAGCGCCTTCCTGCTACCTTTATGAGGTCGTCAGTCCACCTTGTGGGTGACGATTTCAATGTCATAAATATAATGTTATAATTTCTGTTCCTCTAAAGAGGGATAATATGCGTGAGAGAATTTTACGTATCTTTTCTTATGTTACTGTTGTATCAATGATATAAAATATGTTTATTTCCAGGGTTTGCCATTGGTGGTGATGTTCGTCCAAGACGAAGGTATGGATAAGAAGGAACTTGCCAGATTACAGGAGGAGGGACAAAATCTTGCCGACAAGTAAGTTTTTAATAGCGTTACCTTCTCTATTGCTAAATAAAAGCCCCTACATAAGTATAATGATCACTTACAAAAGATGTTTCGACACAAATGCAGTTAATTGATATACGTTTATGAGTGGTCTCAATGCTGTGTATATGCATTCTTACGAATACAGGGTGACAGGGAAACTCGACTTATTCCTGGAATGGAGGAATACTACTAAAGGTCATTACCAACAAATTAAGTCCAGTGAACGGTGGTGACGGTTCTAATGATCTCTGGAATAACCCTTATCAAGGAATAGGTCGAGTTTCCCTGTCAACCTGTATACTTAAATGATGAAGTCACCTGCAGTGAAGCTATAAAAATATCTGTTATTGTACAGTCGCACATTGTGGTCAAATACCTGCCTTGTTATGCATAAAAAAAACAATCAGAATTTTATTCTCATTGCAAAATAGTACCTATTTCAAGCACATCAGTACCACAGTATTTGTCGTGCTGTCGTCTGAATATTCCTTTTTTTCTATTGCAGTCTCCACTGCTCATACATGGAGGCGTCTGTCAACGAGCTGGGCACTGAAGCTCTGACGTCAGACGCGATACAAGAGCTCATCCGAGCTAACAGAGAGAAGGCGAGCTACGCACATCTGTACAGAGACCTCATTGTGTGCTTCGACTCGGATATACGGTGAGTGTATCTCTACACCTGGACAAAGAAGGAGTATGTCATAGGACGTCCACTGCTGAACATTGGCCTACCCCAATGATTTTCAGATTGGCCTGTTGGCAGCGGCTTGCATTCAGCGCCTTTCTGCAACCTTTATGAGTTCATCTATACAGTTTATTAGTGCCTAAAGTAAGCGGTCTATCGTTGTCTCTCTCTGTTGATTTTATTTCAATCTTTTAAGATGTCCATTACTCAGAAGTTGAATCTGGATAGTTACCTTCATCATCATCATCATTTCGGCCATAGGACGTCTATTGCTGAACATAGATCTGCCCCAATGATTTCCATGTTGATCGGTTGGTAGCGGCCTGCGTTCAGCGCCTTTCTGCTACCTTTATGACGTCGTCGGTCCACCTTATGAGTGGACGTCCCACGCTGCGTTTTCCGGTACGCGGTCTCCACTCCAGAACATACTTCAGTTCATTTACGGGTCTCCTCATTTCTGATTCGATATCGTAAAGAACTGAGCATAGCCCTTTCCATAGCTCGCTGTGTAACTTTGAGCTTCTGCATAAGGCCTATAGTGAGAGGCCACGACTTAGGCCCAGAACACACGGTGAAACGCAATTGCAACAAAACTGCCACTTCTAGTTACTTTTGAATTGCATCTAAGTTGCAGTTTCGTTGCAATTACGTTTCACCGTGTGTTCTGGGCCTTACGGAACTCAAATAAAACTATTTATTTTGATGCAGGATAATGGTGTGCATGTTCTGCGACGACCCGTACTCGCCCGAGCGGGTGCTGAGCCCGCTACTGCTGCACAAGGCGTGCTTCCTCACCGGCGACCGCTCCATCGTCATCGAGACCTTCCTGGGCGACTCCAAGCGGAAGGTCGAGGTGAGTGAGGGAAGACAACTATCTTGGCCTGGATACAGGTCATAGTACAAATAACAACGCGAAACTTCTCGTCACTTCGCCGTCAATTAGGCGTCAACCTAACGTAGCGGATCCATATCGAAGCTGGTTCGATCACTGAATATGATTTGAATGTAAAGCTGTAATCAGTGTACTTACCATGAGTTTACGTTAGGTGTGCTCGCTAGCGAAAACGTCAAAAATCTCTATGGAGATTTTGTTTCTTGAAAGTAGCCGCTAGGGGCGCTGCACAATATGTCATACAATTAATGTCATTTTTTTACGCAGTCGCTAGCGAGCACACGTAACGTAAACTCATGGTAAGCACACAGTTGGCTGGATAGTACTATCGAACGCGCAAATATAAGAAAGGACTTACGCCCGTATTCACAAATTATGCTTAAGTGGAGCAGCAAATCGAACGCACAGCGTTGAATAGAGCTCTGTGATTGGTTCGTGTGAGACCCTGTGCGTCCACGCCCACTGTGAGACCTCATAGTAATGTTTGTGAATACTGGCGTTAGTTGCAAACGAAGCCTTTCAGACTTCAGGTGAAGGCACAGTATAGAAGATAATAAATTACTCATTTAGGTACTTAAAATAGCAAAATGAATATTGAATTGGTTATCAGGACATTTTAAATGACTCAATGTAATAAGACTAATTTTATGTATTTATTTTCAGGTCATAATATCAAGTTTTCACGGCGCGACGCAGTTTAGAGAAGAGCTAATACATGGTTTCATACTAATATATTCAGCCAAGAGGAAGGCTAGCTTAGCTACGTTGAAGTAAGTTTCATTCACACTAATTTCACCGTGGTATTCATAAAACTTCCTAACTTACTTATTCTTATTTATTTACTCGTATTTATATGAAACTATTTTGTATCGCGGGATATCAAAATCAAAAATCAAAAAAATCAAAATCAAAAATATTTATTCAGTTTAGACCACAAGTGGCACTTATGAAATCAAACCAATCGTAGATCCAGGAACTTATGCTTACATTATACATAGAACTATATAAAAGCGAAAGGTCACTGACTGACTCACTCACTCATCACGAAATCTCAAAAACTACAAGTGCTAGGAGTCTCAAATCTTGCATGGGGGTTCCTTTTAGAACGTAGGTGCTCACTAAGACGGGATTTTGCAAAATTCGACTCCTAAAGGGGTAAAACGGGGTCCACGCGTAGGAAGTCACGGACGGCCGGTAGTTATAAATCATAGTTTTTTATAATCCAATAAACTATTGATATTTAGTATTGAAGGATAAGTTGCTGTATTATTATCTGTCTACTGTCGCTTGTTTTTCTGCAAAAATCAACTTCAACTTCACTTCCAGCGCATTCTCAATGAACATCCCGAACCTACCCATCCAAATGGTAGCCGTGACCGACGGCGGCGGCTCTGCAGCCAGTGCCTTCTTCGGGACCGACGTTGGTCATGCGCTCATCACCGACGGCAACGCGACCGCCGACCGTCTCGCTGCACACTTCACAACTTACACATCGAGCGCGGAGAACAAGTGTGAGTACTAGAGATAAACTAGTAGTACTAGGGTACTAGTACTGAATACAGTAGTGAAACTAGTGGCGCTAGCAGCGCATTCTAGTACTAGAACAACTAGTGGGACTAGTGGCGCTAGCAGCGCTTTCTATTACTAGAGTGACTAGTGGGACTAGTGGCACTAGCAGCGCCTTCGGGACCGACGTCGGGCATGCACTCATCACCGACGGCAACGCGACCGCCGACCGTCTCGCTGCACACTTCACAACTTACACATCGAGCGCGGAAAACAAGTGTGAGTACTAGAGATTAACTAGTAGTACTAGGGTACTAGTACTGAATACAGTAGTGAAACTAGTGGCGCTAGCAGCGCATTCTAGTACTAGAACAACTAGTGGGACTAGTGGCGCTAGCAGCGCTTTCTATTACTAGAGTGACTAGTGGGACTAGTGGCACTAGCAGCGCCTTCGGGACCGACGTCGGGCATGCACTCATCACCGACGGCAACGCGACCGCCGACCGTCTCGCTGCACACTTCACAACTTACACATCGAGCGCGGAAAACAAGTGTGAGTACTAGAGATTAACTAGTAGTACTAGGGTACTAGTACTGAATACAGTAGTGAAACTAGTGGCGCTAGCAGCGCATTCTAGTACTAGAACAACTAGTGGGACTAGTGGCGCTAGCAGCGCTTTCTATTACTAGAGTGACTAGTGGGACTAGTGGCACTAGCAGCGCCTTCGGGACCGACGTCGGGCATGCACTCATCACCGACGGCAACGCGACCGCCGACCGTCTCGCTGCACACTTCACAACTTACACATCGAGCGCGGAAAACAAGTGTGAGTACTAGAGATTAACTAGTAGTACTAGGGTACTAGTACTGAATACAGTAGTGAAACTAGTGGCGCTAGCAGCGCATTCTAGTACTAGAACAACTAGTGGGACTAGTGGCGCTAGCAGCGCTTTCTATTACTAGAGTGACTAGTGGGACTAGTGGCACTAGCAGCGCCTTCGGGACCGACGTCGGGCATGCACTCATCACCGACGGCAACGCGACCGCCGACCGCCTCGCCGCTCACTTCACAACTTACACCTCGAGCGCGGAGAATAAGTGTGAGTACTTCAGCACCTAGTGGCACTATAGTCCGGTCGCCGAGCACATAGAATTTCGTCCAATAACCCCAAGCTGCCCATTCTTATCGTTCGCGCGTAATATTACTGACGACGGGCGCCATAATTACGCGCGAGCGATAAGGATGGGTAGCTTGGGGTCATTGGACAAAATTCTACGTGCTCGGAGACCGGACTTTAGTAGTGTAGTAGCAACCAGTGGGACTAGTAGCAACAGTGGGACTAGTGGCACTAGCAGCGCCTTCGGGACCGACGTCGGGCATGCGCTCATCACCGACGGCAACGCGACCGCCGACCGCCTCGCTGCACACTTCACAACTTACACCTCGAGCGCGGAGAACAAGTGTGAGTAGTAGTAGTGTAGTAGCAACTAGTGGGACTAGTAGTACTAGTACCAAATTATTGCAGCGAAACATAAAAGCTAGTCTTCGTCAACTGTATTGACAACAAATGTGAGTACTGCAGCGACTAGCGGGACTAGTGGCACTAGCAGCGCCTTCTAGTACTAGAGAAACTAGCGGGACTAGTAGTACTAGAGACTAGAGAGACTAGCTAGCAGCGCCTTCCCCGGGACAGAACAAGTGTGAGTACAGCAGCGACTAGAGGAACTAGTGGCACTAGCAGCGCCTTCTAGTACTAGAGCAACTAGCGAGACTAGTGGCATTAGCAGCGCCTTCAGTGTGAGCACTAAAGTAACTAGCGGGGCTAGTGGCACTAGCAGCGCCTTCAGTGTGAGCACTAAAGTAACTAGCGGGGCTACTGGCACTAGCAGCGTCTTCCGGACCGACGTCGGACATGCGCTCATCACCGACGGCAACGCGACCGCCGACCGCCTCGCCGCTCACTTCACAACCTACACCTCGAGCGCGGAAAACAAGTGTGAGTACTAGAGATAAACTAGTAGTACAAGGGTACTAGTACTGAATACAGTAGTGAAACTAGTGGCGCTAGCAGCGCATTCTAGTACTAGAACAACTAGTGGGACTAGTGGCGCTAGCAGCGCTTTCTATTACTAGAGTGACTAGCGGGACTAGAGGTACTAGCAGCGCCTTCTAGTACTAAAGTAACTAGTGGGACTAGTGGTACTAGCAGCGTCTTCGGGACCGACGTCGGGCATGCACTCATCACCGACGGCAACGCGACCGCCGACCGCCTCGCCGCACACTTCACAACTTACACCTCGAGCGCGGAGAACAAGTGTGAGTACTGGAGTAACTAGTGGGACTAGTGGCTATAGCAGCGCCTTCTAGTGAAGCAACTATTCTAGAACTAGTGGGACTAGTGGCAGCGCCTTCGGGACCGACGTCGGGCATGCTCTCATCACCGACGGCAACGCGACCGCCGACCGTCTCGCTGCACACTTCACAACTTACACATCGAGCGCGGAGAATAAATGTGAGTACTGCAGCGACTAGTGGCACTATAGGCCGGTCGCCGAGCACATAGAATTTCGTCCAATGACCCCAAGCTGCCCATTCTTATCGCTCGCGCGTAATATTACTGTCGCGACTGTGCGACGGGCGCCATAATTACGCGCGAGCGATAAGGATGGGTAGCTTGGGGACATTGGACAAAATTCTACGTGCTCGGAGACCGGACTTTAGTAGTGTAGTAGCAACTAGTGGGACTAGTAGCAACAGTGGGACTAGTGGCACTAGCAGCGCCTTCAGGACCGACGTCGGGCATGCACTCATCACTGACGACAACGCGACCGCCGACCGCCTCGCTGCACACTTCACAACTTACATCTCGAGCGCGGAGAACAAGTGTGAGTATTGGAGTAACTAGCGGGACTAGTGGCACTAGCAGCGCCTTCTAGTACTAGTGGGACTAGTGGCAGCGCCTTCGGGACCGACGTCGGGCATGCACTCATCACCGACGGCAACGCGACCGCCGACCGCCTCGCTGCACACTTCACAACTTACACATCGAGCGCGGAGAACAAGTGTGAGTATTGGAGTAACTAGTGGGACTAGTGGCTATAGCAGCGCCTTCTAGTGAAGCAACTATTCTAGTACTAGTGGGACTAGTGGCAGCGCCTTCGGGACCGACGTTGGTCATGCACTCATCACCGACGGCAACGCGACCGCCGACCGTCTCGCTGCACACTTCACAACTTACACCTCGAGCGCGGAGAATAAATGTGAGTACTGCAGCGACTAGTGGCACTATAGTCCGATCGCCGAGCACGTAGAATTTCGTCCAATAACCCCAAGCTGCCCATTCTTATCGCTCGCGCGTAATATTACTGTCGCGACTGTGCGACGGGCGCCATAATTACGCGCGAGCGATAAGGATGGGTAGCTTGGGGTCATTGGACAAAATTCTACGTGCTCGGAGACCGGACTTTAGTAGTGTAGTAGCAACTAGTGGGACTAGTAGCAACAGTGGGACTAGTGGCACTAGCAGCGCCTTCAGGACCGACGTCGGGCATGCACTCATCACTGACGACAACGCGACCGCCGACAGCCTCGCACACACTTGTGTGAGTAGTATAATCTAGTCGCCGATCACGTAGAATTTCATTCCATGACCCCAAGCTACCCATCCTTATCGCTCGCGCGTAATTATGTTGCTGTCGCGACTGTGCGACGCGCGCCCGCAGTGAGTGTGCGAGCGCGTCAGCAATATAATTAGGCGCGAGCGATAAGGATTACCTAGTACCGAATTATTACGATAAAAGACCCTGGTCACATACATCTCTAGTACCTCTACTACAAGGCACTAGTAGCAGGCCTGTTCATCTCCGCGAGTTTACATCGAAAACAAAACACGCACGATGGTCCACCTACAGGATACTATTCGACAAGGCCTCACATACGAGCGAACATTCACTCACGCACGCGTATTCTTGTGTATGATGGAAGAAAATAAAGAAAATGGTGTACTAAATACTGTGCAGTACATATTTAACTGCCTAAATAATAATAAAAACACAATGTACTTTTTTAAGTTGCCTCAAGACACTGAGAGGTAAATAAGTAGTTAATATTATTCATGATAATTCATGCTAAATCATGTATTTCCTCCGCCATTTTCCGCAGTTTGGCACCTCACGTCACATCATTTTACCGAAGTCAGCCCTATAGCTTCGGCGCAGTGCCGATCACTGACGTTTGTCAACAAAATGGTGCTTGACTCTTGAGACAGGCTAAATTACACCATATTGTTAATGACATTGAGCATACATTTTTTTAAATACCTTCGCGAAGTAAAACTTCTGTACGTAGTACTTATTATTATTCTATGCTAGTAGTGCCAAATGCTGGCACTGATTATTATCAGAGATGAGTCTTCATCATCCACATACATTACAGTGCGTCGAAAAGGACTGTGAGTACTAGCAGTACTCCTATAGTCTATCCAATATAGCTTGATTAGAATGACAGCTGCCATCAAAAGTAACGACATAACTTTGTAGTAGCGATCAATGAGAGCTAAATATTGGCGGACAAGAAATAATTCACGTCTGACCTACAAACAATATTTTCGACGACAGTGCTTCGAATAAAAATGTTAATTTCGTGTAAATGCAGCGTTAAATTACTCCAATAAGTAGTAATTCGAAATTATAAAAATCAAGCTAGAGTATTAACGACGTCTCTACAAGGTTATCTCGAGTTACAAAAATGTTAGTGTTGGGACATATCGACAAATTTCATATTAAATTAAAACTAATTTTTTAACATATTTAACAATTTTTTTTTCTAACTTATTTTTTAACATATTTAAGTCAAGTTATACTTTTTGCTAAATGTTCACTATTAAAAACCAAAAAACATTTCATTCTTAAATAATCAAACATCGGAAATCAATCACCGGTATTTTTTTGGGTATTCATAGCACCGTTGCTCTAGAAGAGATGCCCACCGCCCTCTAGCGAGAGGAAAAAACCACTGAAGAACACTGATGATAATGACTACGACTTAGGTTGTACACCCTTGACATGAATTTTAAATTTTACTGTCTTTAAATTTAAATCATAATTGTCATTTTTATGAATAAAGATATGAAGAAAAATTGGGTGCATTTTTTTTATCATTTTTTCGAAAACTTATCGATACATCTATGTGAACCGTACGAAACATACCCAGCACTAGTCACATTCGTTTGACAGCCGTCATTCTAATCAAGCTATATTGGATAGACTATAGTATTCGTACCGAATGATTGTGGTAACAAATCATCTTTTAATCGTATATAATATTTAGGGTACGAGACCACTAAGTGAATTGTGTGTAATTGACTTTATTTCTTTTATCCACAGCGGCATTCTACACGCCGTTCTTCAAAGAAGTATGGGAGCGTAAAGGCGAGATCGAACGAGCTTTCCGAATGGAACAGCCACAGAAACACGCCCACAACTTGCCCGATGTCGCCGCCGCCCGCCCAGCGCCGCCGCCCAGGAACCATTCTTATCATACTGATCATAAGTACGTTTATTGCTTGACTGAGTATCTTTTTTTTTTGTTGCTTGGCTGATAATCTTTTTTTAGTTTGCTTGTAGCCTAGTAAAGTCACTCTTATCACGCTAATCACAAGTACGTTAATTGCTTGGCTGAGATTTTCCTATTTTACAAGCTTTTTATTACTTTCACATGTCTGGTGTCTGTCGTCAAATCTTGCAACTTAAAATTGACCCACTTCCCGGTTTCCTATTGAGCTGAAATTTTGCATACATGTGTAAGTCCGATGACAATGCAATATTATGGTACCATTGAGCTGGTCTGATGATGGAGTCGGGAGGTGGCCATAGGAACTCCTAAACAAAACGGCGGAAACTCATCGAGTTTGGGTTCGTTGGATTTGTCTTTTCGAGCACTTTAGTGTTAGATAACGTCCAGGGTCCTGAGATTAAGATATAACTAAAAAGTGTAAAATAAAATTATAATAAAAATAAACTTTTTTAAAAACAAGCTTATATTCTGAATTTCGAAAGCTTGTAACGCAAACAGAGAAAAAGAGGAATAAAATCCATGCGCGATACAAACTTTCGAAATTCAGAATAAAAGCTTGTTTTTAAAAAAGTTTATTTTTATTATAATTTATGGTACCGTTTGCAGCCAGTGTCTAATAAAATATGAAACACTCTTACCATACTGATCATTAGTACGTTTTTTTGCATGACTGGGAATCTCTCTTTTTTAAATTCTTTTTTAAATCAGTGTCAAGTGCAGACGACAGCACGAAAGAAATATAGTCTGATGTGCTATCGACTGTATAACATTATAATAAAATTTGTGATTCAAGTAACGATGTATTGAATGATAGAAGTTGTGACGCACTGCTCATGCGGGCTTCGACAGAATGTGAAGCGAGTTTTCACTGTTTTATTCCAGATTTATGCATATAAGATTTATTTCTTGCTAACAGTACAAAACACATACATTTTTGATCAAATATGTGACATTTCTTGGTCTAATTTTCTTGCCATTTTTACGTTATTAATACCTACTTAATTTACTTATACTACTTATATTTTCCAGCAGGATGGATCACAAGCTAACCAACTCCCTAGACTTGCTGATCGGTCCCGACTCCCGCGCAGACATCGATTCGGAATACTCTGACACTATGAACAACAAGAATAGAGGGTTTTTGAAAGGTAAATTAATCTCTATTGTGCTGATGTTTAGGTACAGTTTCCAATAAAGCGGAGTGTTATACAAGTTTCATTTGAATCGGCTTAGGATTTCCACCAAAGCGGAGCAGAGAAATGTCTTGAATAACCAATCAGATTTCATTCTATCTGAATGTCATCTGATTGGTTGTTCAAAACATTTAATCTGAATGACATTTGTTTGGTTGTTCAAAACATTTCTCCACTCTGCTCCGTATCGGTGGAAACTGGGCCTAAGGTATGTATTGTGTGTTAAAATAGAATATCGTCTCTTATCTTCTCTACATTTTGGTGGAAACTCCGTTTCTGAGCTAAGTTATCAAGAATTACAAAAAATTCTGTGTTTAATCGAGTAAGGGCTGATTTTTCCTCCGTCGGATAACTATTAACTGAAGAATAAGTTTGGCACATTGACAGTTTCAGTATGGGATACATGTCAAAATGACCTACTTCCCAAAATACCCGAAATGATGAATCAGCCCTAAGATAAACAAAGTATCCACATCAACAATGTGTTTGTTTTCTTGTCCAGGTTTTAGCGTATACCCTCCGCCAAGCACTCCTCCAGAACCGGCGCCGCCGGACCACAGAATGCACGCCGATCTATCACGTAAGTTACAATTATTTATTTTGTTTTATAGTATAACTATAAAGAGTGTGAAACACGAAATAGGATCTTTCAAATTAGTAGTTTTGAACAGACGCTAATCGTGCGTTTGCAAACCGGACTCTGATGCCCGTTTTCACCATCAATTCCTAATTTTTAAGTGACATAATTCCTGTTATATGTAAACGGGCATAACCGTTGTTAATTGTCATTTTTATTCCAACGCAGTTGTAATATTACTTTCCGTATGCGATTCTGCAAACGAATGGCTAACCTCCAGATCAAAATGTCTTATTTGAAAGAACCCTAACAAGTCTTATGAAATAAGACGTTTACGACTACCCAGTCGTAACGTCTTATTACACACTGATACAAAATGGACTTATTTCAACGACTTAAAAAGTAATTTCAGACTTAAACATATTTTAATAATGTTCTTTACTTACTTATTCAAAAAATTTATGTTATGATTTTTGCGCAAGTTAATTTTTGAAACCAGTAATTACAAAACTTAGTTATTTTTGTCAAAATATAAACATAAAGTTTTGCGCAACGCAGCGGATCTCAACTGTTCGGAGGACTCCCTCAGCACGCACGAGTCAGGTGACTGCATGACCAGCGAATACATACCTTATTTCACACGGATATGGTTCAGTTTTGCGTGTAGATTGCGTATCCTTCAATAGTTTTGTTTATGACTGCTTGCTTTAAAATTAGTCTTAGTACGACCAGGGTCATTAAGTCAGTGTAATTTGGTTGTACATAAAGCAGACGTGTTTTCAAGCGAAATCCAAATTTTATAGGAACTAACTTGTCAAGTATTTTTTTTAAAGTAGTGTGTCAAAACGTCTGTTTTAATATTATCTATTGAAGGATATTGATTTTATGTTTTTGATATTACGTTTTAGAGTTTTACGTTTATGTATAGTCGACAACAAATCAACCTGACACAAAATGACACTATTCTCAAATGTCCTCAATGGATTTTAAACCGTATAAGGTTTAAAATCCATTGGATCGGTAGTAGAAGTCTTCATTTTGTGCGTTGTTGATGCCAATTTATATAATTTTTGCATGTTCGTCTGAAATTGTAGATAGATATTTATTTATGTCTAAAATTGTGTTAATTTCTGTTTTTATGGTAGAGGTACAAACATGCACGGTTGACTGTATTTCTGTTATTTTTGTTCATGTTACATTAATTTATAATTAGTTTTATGATAGAAAACAGCATGCAGATTTTTTCGTATCATTGTAAATTATAATGGACATTGTAGATTGATAGAATTGATTTAATTAAATTCATGGAAATCAGAGAGTTAAATAAATTACTTGAACTGGAGGTGGGAATGTAACCTAATTTGTTCAACTCAAAAGCAAAGGTATTTTTACTTAACCACTAAAAGAACTGGCTATCTTACCTCCGTTTCAGCTCCAGCTGTTTTAACATTATTGCTGTGGCGACACACATAGATTAAATGGCTGTAGCTAGCGAAGTCCGTTAGTTAGCTGCCATCAAACGTAAATAAATTTTGCCTCCGATGGGAACCAAATACGGGACTTATGAAGATATAACGCCAGTGATGTAGATCAGAGGGGAGCCCATTTCGTTAATTCCGTTGCTCCTACACCCAAGGGTGTTTGCTTCCGTTAGGAATCGAACCCCACCATCACACCTCTCGGTTGAAAATATAATGCTGTTTTGTGAGTAGATGGCGGAGGACTATGGCAGCCGGCTAGTTACGGGCACCGCGCGTTTACAATAACATATGACGTCACCATTCTATAATCAGATGGGATATTTAGTGGTAGTTTCTTACAAGTCTCTCTAATGCCCAAATGTATGCTTGCTCCCGCTGGGAATCGAACCCTGGACCCAATATAACGTTGTTTTTTGATCAGATGGCGGAAGACTGGCAGCCGGCCAGATACGGGCACCGCGCGTTTACAATAACATATAACGGCGGTATTCTATGATCAGACGGGATATTTGGTGGTAGTGTTTGTTACAAGTCTCTCTAATGCCCAAATGTATGTTTGCTCCCGCTGGGAATCGAACCCTGGACCCAATATAACGTTGTTTTATGATCAGATGGCGGAGGACTATGGCAGCCGGCCAGTTACGGGCACCGCGCGTTCACGACGGGTCGCACGCGTCCGCACCCGCCGCCGCCGCGGGCGCGCCATTCGCAGACTCTAAAAGTGCACGTAAGTATTAATTAAGACGATTAGCAGGCTGAATTCTGAAGCAGAAGCCACGCACAGGAAAGTGCAGCGTAGGACGTCCACCCACAAGGTGGATAGACCTCATAAAGGTAGCAGGAAGGCACTGGTTGGCAGACCGCTACCAACCGGACCATCTGGATATCATTGGAGGTGGCCTATGTTCAGCAGAGTACGTCCTATGGCTGAAATGATGATGATGAGTATTTATTTATTTAAAATCATTTGATCATCTGATAAATATCACAGAAAGACCGAATAAGGCTGGTGTCTAGCAACAGTAGATCTTTTGGTTGTAACAAAAGATTATGTATGTTTAAACTTATTATGTCTTATTTTACTTATGTATGTTTAAAATTGCTCGCTCAAGGCTTTGTTTATTTGTTGCAGCAACCCGGCAAACTAGACATGAACAACTACACGATGGTGAGCGATGCCCTTCAGCACATCACGATCGGACCTCCGCACAGGGAAAGAAAGGTATTTTAGAGATTTTCCCTTGCTAAATGTCACCGATAATTTTGTTCCTCTTCCTTTCTATCAACTCTGCCATACCTATGTTTGTCGTGAAGCACTACTAAGGCCTAAAATATAGAGATACTAGCTTTCCGCCCGCGGCTTCGCCTGCTTGGAATTTTGTCTGTCACAGAAAAACTTTATCACGCGCGTTCCTGTTTTAAAAACCGGGATAAACACTATCCTATGTCCTTTCCCGGGACTCAAACTATCTCTATGCCAAATTTCATCAAAATCGGTTCAGTGGTTTAGGCGTGAAAGAGAGACAGACAGAGTTACTTTCGCATTTATAATATTAGTAAAGATGTAAAGAGTCCTTTATGGTATTTATTTTTATTTTGCGACTTTCTAAAAGAATATAATTTTAGTTACTTCCAAATTGCCTTATCACATCATCTGCAACTCACAAATATCCTAAGAAAGGCATAATAGACTTTATTGTAATGACTTTTAGAACTATTCTCAATAAACTCTTAACCCTCAGTCGCAGAGATCCGGCTGGTCGCACTCAAGCAGTCAGCAGAGCGGCCACCACCATCCTTCTGGCGTCAGTTCGGAGACAGAGTTAGATGCGCAGTACGCTCAGGTAAATATCTACAGACTAACGGAGATCTAAAGCGTACCCTTTGTTTCTTTGGACACATTATGCGGTCTCCAAGTCATTATCTGGAGAAACAAATTATCTTGGGGCAAATGGAAGGCAGACGTGCTCGGCACGGCACCGACGAGATGGTCGGACGCGGTGAGGAAGACGGTGGGCGGGAGCTTGCATCGTGCGGTCCACACAGCTCATGACCGCAGTCTGTGGAGGAACACTATCTGTGGTCGCGATCCTCATCAGTGACGGACCGAGGAAGAAGAAGAACGGAGATCTATCGTGACGGAGCATACAAATCTGAAGTCTCGCTGACGTTTGACGTTTCAAAAACAACTGACAATCAAGTTACTCTGTTCAGATATTTGAAGTCCACTGCAGGAGCACGAATCTCAAATTTTAAATCTTTTCAGATAAAAGAACCGAACGAATACATGGAAGCGCCGTCAATGATGAGATTAAGGAGACATCGGAGGCACGAGAAAACCCCGTTGCATCAACCTTGTAAGTAAAAATATTTGTTACATAATTATTTTATATTACTATATCTCTATGAAGATAAAGTCCTCCCTTGCTATTAAGCAAAATATAGCCAAAGAGGGCATACGCTCCTTTTGGATATCATTATGATAATCGTACGTGAGCGGTGAGTCCTACGTTGTCTCTATACTTTGTGCGTAAAGCAAGCGGGCTTGATACATAAAGGACACTTGTTACTAATCTTTCGTGTTGCAATACTTACAATAGGGTATTTGACACCCCCTATCATTTGACATACCCTATAAAACTGTCAAAACGAGACTATCCCATACATTTTGTAACACAATACGAGCCGATGACGTCACTATTTAGCCATCTCAATGAGGGTTTTCGCGATTGAAAAATCCGCCAGATGGCAATACGTAGACGCGAGGTCCAAATGCTGCATGATTGGTGGATTTTGACATATCTGTCAATGTTATGTTGGACCTCGCGTCTACGTATTGCCATCTGGCGGATATTTCAATCGTGGAAACCCTCATTGACTAACATTTTATTAATTACAAGCAACCAAAAATCATAATTTACAGTTGTTTTTAAATTAATTGAGTTATTAAGACCAGAATGAATTGTGTTATAAGTTTTGCTTTAGAATTTTTGGTGTTAAATACTCAATTCTTCTCTTGTCGATAATCCTTTGTCGGCCGTTTGGTGTAGTGGTTCAGAACGGACTACTATGCCGAGAGGTCCCGGGTTCGATTCCCGGCCGGTCAGAAATTGAAATGATGAATTTTAATTTCTGTGACGGGTCTGGGTGTAAATATGTATAATATGTATGTATTTAATAAAAAAAAAGTATATAAGTAGTATATCCGTTAAGCTAGCACCCATAACACAAGCATTAAGTTGCTTACTTTGGGGCTAGCTGGCGCTGTGTGAAATTGTCCAAAGATTTATTTATTTATTATTTATTCTTCTCATGGCCATATCAACCCAAAGTTTACACCCTTTGTACTTGTGGTTGCAGCGTTCTCTGAGACGGACAGCTCTGGTTCGAGCGAGGCGTCGGGCGGCGCGGGCGCGGCTCGCCTGCACGCGCGCCGCCGCCACAACGCGCACCACGCGCCGAGGCACTACAAGAAACGGTACGCCAATGACAACATTACAAATCTCTTATTTTTCGTCAGGAAATGCATTAAATTGCATACCCACCCATTAGTCCAGGGGTACCAGTAGGTTATGTGAGGCTCTCCCTTTCAGATATACAGGATGTACTCACTAAAACCTGAATTTATCCTCCAAAGTATTTGGGACGAAACTGCGAGTTATTGTCCGGGCTAAACGGTCTAGACATTGTTTCGCGGCTCCGCTTCGGACTGGCTCGCTCTGTTTGAGCATGCGACGACTGACTTCCGGGGAGTTGTACCTCCCCTGGAAGTTACGAATCCTATCATATTATATCCTACTAATATTAACGAGTGAAACGTGAGGATAGAGCCTCTTTCAAGAAATTACTTCTGAATGAATTTTGATGCAAACATTTTTAGTGAACAAAAAAGCTCGTGCGGTGACACAATCCGCTAATCTCTTTAGAATGCTGTTCCTCACTCTGCCCATCAGGGAGCTTATTTTTTTTAGGATTGATAGCTTCGAAGCATTAGTTTGGTACGCTGCTAACATCTCTGAGACACCCAATATCATCTTAAAGGCATTGTTGTACTGCATTATTATGTCTCCAGCGATTTTGGTGTATTTGCAGCTCTGTAATTCATTAGTTACATAATTGAATCCTTTTGGCCCACTTGGAATAAAATCAGTTTGTGTATTGCTTCCCAAAGTGACAACCATCATAGATCAACCTCCTGTGACATAAGTAATTTCTGTAACAATTGAAACAACCAATTTACAGGGTGTCCCAAAAACAATGGATAACCCTGTAACCCTCGATAGGCCTCGCCATGGTCTACCTAACGTCCAATTTTGACCCCAGTAAAAATATCACCGTTTTCAAGATTTTTAAGTTTTTGTGCATTTTTAGAAAATTGCCACCTGCGATTACTTTTTCTCATGCCATTTCTACAAATGAGGATACTTTTCAACCTAGTTTTTTTCCTTATCACAAAAGATAGTTGGGCTATCAAAAGAAAAGATTAAAGTTCCACAAACTAGTTTAAAAGTATGAAAATTTTAAGAAATTGCAGTGAAGAAGGAAAAATTAATTCTGTTTTGCACTTTTGATCAGCCATCGTGTAAAAAAAAATGTAGAAAGACCATCGTACCCATTACTTTAAAAACTTCCTTGGTTAATTGAAATTCTAAAAAAGTATCACAAGCCTATGTATTCTGTATTATTTTTATCTTAAGGCTACTTGAATAGCAACTAGTATGAAAACTGCAAAAATGAGTTTTTCTCGTAATAGTTAAACTAGGACTGCATAGTGGCATTAAATACAAATGGATAATTTTTGGCGTAGGAATTTAAATAAAGCAACATTTTATCATCATCATCATCATCATTTCAGCCATAGGACGTCCACTGCTGAACATAGGCCTGTACCCCAATGATTTTCATAATGACCGCTTGGTAGCGGCCTGCATCCAGCACCTTCCTGCTTACCTTTATGAGGTCGTCGGTCTACTTTGTAGGTGGACGTCCTACGATGCGCTTTCCGGTACGTAACCTCCACTTGAACCCTGCTGCCTCAGTTCTGCGAACTACTGTGCCCTGCCCATTGCCACTTCAGCTTGCTGATCCGTCGGGCTATGTCAGCCACTAGTTCGTTTACGGATCTCCTAATTTCTGATACGGTTTCGTAAAGAAACCCGAGCATATCACGCTGTGCAAAAAATCCACGTTTCCGAGCCGTGTATAATCACGGGTATCTGTCTATAGGCACATTTATAAGGTTTAAAACAAAAATTAAGTAATCACAAAAACGCAGAACTGACGGCCAATGGGGCAACAGGGAGGCTACGTAACGAAAAGCGCATTGTAGGACGTCCACCTACAAAGTGGACCGACAACCTCATAAAGGTAAACAGGAAGGTGCTGGATGCTGGCCGCTACCAAGCGGTCATTATGAAAATCATTGGGGTACAGGCCTATGTTCAGCAGTGGACGTCCTATGGCTGAAATGATGATGATGATGATAATAAAATGTTGCTTTATTAAAATTCCTACGCTAAAAATTATCCATTTGTATTTAATGCCACTATGCAGTCCTAGTTTAACTATTACGAAAAAAACTCATTTTTGCAGTTTTCATACTAGTTGCTATTCAAGTAGCCATAAGATAAAAATAATACAAAAAACATAGGCTTGTGACACCTTTTTAGAATCTCAATTAACCAAGGAAGTGTTTAAGGTAATGGGCACGATGGTCTTTCTACATTTTTTTTACACGATGGCTGATCAAAAGTGCAAGACAATGAATTAATTTTTCCTTCATCTCTGCAATTTCTTAAAATTTTCATTCTTTTAAACTAGTTTGTTGAACTTTAATCTTTTCTTTTGATAGCCCAACTATCCCTTGTGATAAGGAAAAAAACTAGATTGAAAAGTATCCTCATTTGTAGAAATGGCATGAGAAAAAATAATCGCAGGTGGCAATTTTCTAAAAATGCACAAAAACTTAAAAATCTTGAAAACCGTGATATTTTTACTAGGGTCAAAATTGGATGTTAGGGAGACCATGGCGAGGCCTATCGATGGTTACAGGGTTATCCATTGTTTTTGGGACACCCTGTATATTAAAATATCTCATCTGCAGGTCTTTAGGCAACCTAGTAGCAGTACAAAGTCCTCGGGTGCCCAAACTGGGCGTGTTTGTGGGCCCGCCCGAACTGCCCACTGGGTATAGGGCGAGGACACAGGAAGACAAAGGTAAATATAATTAAACGTCTACCAAAAGTACTATATCTCTTTATCCAAGTATTCAATACAGCCGCGATTCTTTTATGTTTTACTTCTTGAATATCAATTAAGAAAAAAGAAAGAAACACGGAACACTTCAAAATAACAGACGGAGAAGAAAATTCTATATAAGTATGGCTCAATCATTGGCCACTCCTGGCCCATTTGGAAACGATTGACACTATACAGTTGAATTACAATTATTGACATCAATTTTAGCCTGTAGGAATATAATTTCTGCTACTAAATAATAAATAAATAAATAAAAGCTTTATTTCTAAGAAGTGTATCGCTTTTGTTAGTAGTAGTAGTAAGTTTTTTTTATTAGTTCTATTTTATGAGTAGACTTAATTCCTCAAGAAGTCTGTTAAGGGGGTCCTGCACAGAATCCTTAAAATTGACATATTTTTAAATCACGAGTGCTCTGCGATTAGTGACTTAAATACATCAAAGTAACTTGTGTAGGGTAGCCCAATCCTTGATCTAGGTCGCCGCCTTTTCGAAATTTTGAATAAATACGTAAAAAATTGATAAACAACATTTAAAATGCAGACATATGGAAAATTTATTTCTTCGAGAACTTTGTTAAGGACAATGACCAAAAGTGGTCCAAATGTCCACCACTAATGAGACCTATATTGGCTTATTGTCCATTAAATAGAGATTAACTTTCAGTATGGGACGAAAAAAAAATAAGCTGTCAGTAAAAAGTTATGACTGTACCTATGTAAAATTGTAGTAGTTTACGCGCTAATCTCAGGAATTACTGGTCCGATTTGAAAAATTATTTTTGTTATGGATAGCCCATTTATCAAGGATAGTTTTAGGTAATGTAACATCACCCCTGCAACCAATAGGGGCGGAGCAGTAAAGACAAATGTTGTAAAAATGAGAAATATTATTCAAACTATTTTCACGCGTAGATACAAAGTCGTAGGCACAGCTAGTATAATATATGTATGTATAATATAATTCATCTACACTTGCGAGCAAAAGTATGGAATCACTTACATGAAGTTGTTTCCACGCGATCTTGTGTACTAACCAATTTGTTAGTAACAAAAAAAGTAGCACCATTTTAAAGATTAAACTTTTAACTTTAAATTGATACCAAATTCATTTAAATCACACCAGTATTTAAAAAGATATCCCGGCTGATGTGAAAAAGTAAGGAAAAAGGCATGTATCAACTGTTTGATACGTCGCGAGTTGCGGCCTATTTACCCCCCATAAAAGCAAGTGTTTTCGGATTTTTGCTTTCACACGTTGATCCATACACATCTCCGCTTCTTTTGACACTTTATCTGAGATTCTACACCTTCAGAAGCAGCATAAATCGTTGCACTATTGCAAGAAGGGCTCAGCCAGCGGGCTGTCGCACGTGAGCTCCACATAAGCCAGTCCTGGGTTTCGAAAGTTTTAAGACGCTTTCGGGATACCGGTGGCTTTATCCCGAGATCAAGTTCTGAACATTGCCAGTGCACATCGCAGAGGGAAAACCGTTTTTTCATGTCAACTTCTCTACGAAATCGTCATTTGACTGGTATCAACGTCCAGCAAGAGCTCAGANTACCTACTATAGTTCCAAAATACTGGACTGTCCTGTCGATGACATTGACAGTGGGGCGCCACCGTCAATACCGGATCGCTGGTTCAGATTTTTGCCATGTTGGAAACCATATAGTTGAACGATGGTAGCGCCCCCCTGTCATTGAGTTTGGCGGGACAGTTCAGCGTGGGTCATCTATACACCACTTACACTTGACAAGAGTGTGAAAAAGTTAGTTTGATACTTATTCAGTAAAATATGGAATTAGATTTAAGAGTATTTTTATTTCTTATTACTTAAATACGAGGGCTGCACTAAAAGTATCGGGAATGGAATATTTCCACTGTTCCAGTCATATTAAAATCTATTTAATTGCAAAGTCCAGGGTTTTAAAAATCGTATACCATTTATTTATTTAAAAAAAGATTCTCTGTCGTATCACAAGGTCTTGTCAAACTTGTTTAGTCGTTGAGAAAATGGAATTGACTCGAGAAAATTCAAGAGCGATGATTTATTATGACTTTTGAAGTGGTTTAACACAAAAACAGTGTGTTGACCGGATGATTTCTGCATTTGGTAATGAAGCCCCATCCAAAACCACAATTTATCGCTAGTTTCCTGAATTTCAACGTGGACGTGTCAAGCTCAGTGATGATCCCCGTCAAGGTCGTCCAAAAACTGCAGTCACCTAAGAAAACGTTGATGCTGTGCGTAAGCTGATTGAAGAAGATCGACATGTGATATACCGCGAAATTCAGGCAACTTTAGACATTGGCATGAGTCAAATACAAATAATCTTGCATGAACAATTAGGTGTAAAAAAGTTGTTTTCCCGATGGATACCGCATTCGCTCTGTGAAGAACTAGATTTTTAACACTCTTGCGGGTAAGTGGTTTTTCAAAATAAACTGATTAGGTAGGATTAAATAAATAAATCGATAACATTTTTATTTAGAGTAGTAGGTACGCAGTATTTGCGTAACTGCTCATATAGTTTGGAAGAGTTTAGTAAAAAAAAGTTATTTCCAAACTATACTCGATTAGTTTCACACCCTTGCGTTCTGGCCATGTATAGAATGGAAAGACGCTACGTTAACAGCCTATTTGAATTGAACGTCTAGGAAAAATACTCTTTTACGAAACTTTTTTAACGCCTTTGTTCATCAGAAGAATCAATATTAGATAGGATTTTTATTGTGTAAGAATTTTCGCAGCAATACCAACAAAAAATCAAATCCTTCCTTTTTCCTAATTAAAGTATTATAAACTCACGTTTTGTTTAGCAAAATTAGTGAAATACGTGTTTTTACTCTGTATTGAGTCTCTTTTGTCTCTACTCTGTAAAGTAGTTCGTGTGCGATCGTGTTAGTTCGTTGCGCCACCGCTATCTCGGCTAGCAAATCGTAATTTTTCGTCGGCGCTGCACCCCCTTAACAATGCTAATATTACATGTCTAATGTATATGTTAACCTTTCAGCAGCCAGCGAGTCCAGCGAAGGCAGTTCGGACGGTGAGACGAGGAGGCCCAGGCCTCTGCCCTTGCCACCACACCACGAGCCTCCCCATAAGGTGTGTTTGAATACACAATTCACACTATTTTCAGTTCAATTTATGTATTGACTTCCACCTTGGGCCTGATCATCACTTTTCATCAGGTGTGATGCAGGCCAAGAGCTTCCTCGTTGTAGATAAAAAAAAATACGCTAAAAATACTCTTGTAGGGGAGAGTTCGGTATATTGTACCGCCGGGTAAATTGTACCACCCTCATATTTCGTAAAGTATTTATTGAATGTCTGTAATTGCAACACTCAGCGATATACAACTAAAATCAATTAATATCGGCCATGTGGTTTTTGCCGTGACAACAAACACGTGTGTTTTATTTTGAAAAGTATTTTTTCATTGTTTTCAAGTAACTTTTGACAATACATGTTAAGTTTGTAATTTTGTTAAATTTAATCACAGGGTGTTTCTAATATATTATTTAGTAGCGTAAATTAGTGTGGATTACAATTATTTGAAACATTTTTCGGTATTTATAAGCTATATTTTTTACCGATTTTAAAAGCACTATCACCTAGTCGGCTAAATTGTACCACATCAAGTTGTATGGAACTTTACCAAATGATTTTGAATTTTTTTTAGTAAATCATATTTTGAAGTTATAATAGCGTAGTTATGTTTGACTAACAATAAATGAAAGCAAAAGACTGGCAAAGTAGATTAGGTACAAGTGTGCGTTACGATAATTGGAATTACAAAACTTGTACTCAAAATCGTGATAACGTGTAAAACAATATCGATTGTCTATGTTATTAACTACTGTTCCTTTTCGTTTCCTAATTTGTTAAGAATGTATCGTATAATATTTTGCCATAGATTTTTTATAGGCATGAAATTAATTGAAATCCAATTTAGTAACCCTGTGGTACAAATTATCGAACCGGTTGGCTAAATTGGACCGAAGCTCTGAACTCGTACTTTGTTGATTTGTGCTAAATATACAACAATCATGTTAATTAATACTTATGAAATAGTAAGTTGAATAATGTATCTTTTATTATATACCATGGACATTAGGAAAACAAAAGAAAACTATGTTTAAAATGGGATTGAAAAAAACTGGTCCAAATTAGCGGACTCTCCCTTATAGCAAAGTTTTGGGCTGACACTGTGTTGGTAGTTGTCGACACGACGAAAACAAGAACACGCGCGTCTATTTACGCGTTTTTATCACGAAATTGCTTCGAAAGTTATGTCTCTATTTTGTCCTTGGTATTTTATTTTGTCAAATAAAGTTAAGAAAAAACATTTATTTGTTATAGTACTATCGTAAAAATACTCAATACTTTATTGCTTTACGACATTAGCACATTAGGTCTTAATTAACAGAACGATCTTAGCAGTTTCAATATAATTATTTGTTTTTATTAGTTACATTCTGTGTTTTTTTTGCTAAATACATTTTATTTCTTTATGACTTTACTTGATGACTTGCTATGTTATATTTTTTGCTATGAAATTGTTGTGTTTTTATTTAAAACAATTGTTTATCATGAGCTTATTACATTGTCAGCAGCCGAATATTTTTAAGCAGATGCTGGGCGGCGACTACCCGTCGTCCGCGCAAGAGAACTCTTCGTCTAGTGCCGCGGATTCCCGCAGGAGGGCGCATCCGTTCTCTAAACATGATAGGAGGCATAAGGTGAGGATGATAAACACCATCTTGTATCGTGTAGGCCAGTTCAATATCGTCATAAAGGTAGCAGGAAGGAAGCAGGCCGTTACCCACCGAGCGATGTGGAAAACATTGGGGGAGGCGTATGTTCAGCAGTTGATGTCCTGTGGCTTAAATGATGATAAAAACCTTGTTTAAAAGATATCTTAAAATTCTCAAGTTCGTCAGCTAAAAGTTTTTTCTTTCTTTTTTTTTAATAACTCGTTTCCTATGGTAGGTCCCTATCTTAAATACTGTCCCTACAGTTTATTATTTTGTTTCAGGAATTTTCGAAGAGCAAAGACTCTAAAAAGAACTCTTCACAGTTAGCAAACACACAGTCGCAGCAGAATTGGGGCCCTCAGGTAATATACATTTTAGTAAAGAAGTTGTCTCCAAGTTAGCTCGCATTTAAAAAAAAAATAAGTAATAGCAACAAAAACCTATGAAATCACTTGCCAATTCAGTTGACATTCTAAAGACGATCAATAAAAATTATCAGCACAAAGCATGCGGGAGCTGATCAAAGGAAGTCACTTAAGCAACATATCTCAGTTACATCTATGCCAAAATAAAGTAAAGTAAAAGTATTTTATTTGCCAACAAAAAATTACAGTCTGTTTATCTAGCAGTTGCTGCACTAAGCTGTGCTTGTGTCGCGGCAGCCTTAAGTAACACAGGTTAACAATTTTGATTAAAATATAGTCAGGACAACACACGGTACATGGCAATTAACAGTTATTAAACTCTCAAGATAGCTAGAACATGTTTTTTTACTTAGACTAAACAAAACTAAACAAAAAGTAACTGAGGTAGTGTGTGTAATGTGTGTGTGTGTTGTGTGTGTAATGTGCGTGTAATGTGTGCGTAATGAAAATTAAACTCTATCTCCATTACTCAGGGTCCCCACGGAGTGCCTCTATTCGTTGAAAAGTGCGTGGAATTCATCGAACGGGAGGGTCTGGCGTCGGAGGGATTATACCGCGTGCCCGGCAACAGAGCACATGTTGATATGCTCTTCAACAAGTTTTATGAAGGTAAGATAAAATAATTCATAATGCGAACAAATAAGGACTGGAATTCACTGGCTGCTGCTGTCTTTCCCAAACACTATAATCTGGGCCTCTTCAAGGCGATAGTGAATACGCACTTTCAGGGCATATAATTATGTACCATCCTAGACTGTATTTCACTTAACATCAAGTGTGATGGGAGTAGAAGATCGAATCAGAAATGAGGAGATCCGTAAACGAATTAGTCGCTGTCATAGCCCAACGGATTCGCAAGCTGAAGTGGCAATGGGCAAGGCACATAGTACGCAGAACTGGCAGCCGATGAAGCAGCAAGGTTCTGAAGAGGAGACCATGTACCGGAAAGCGCAGCATGATACGTCCACCCACAAGGAGGACAAATGACCTTATAAAGGTAGCAGGAAGGCGTTGGATGTAGGCCGCTACCAACCGGTTAGTCAGGATATCATTGAGGGAGTCCTATGTTCAGCAGTGCACGTCCTGTGACTGATGATAATGAAAATTGCTTCTGTTATAGAAGTTCAGAAGTTAGTTATTAATGCAATAATATGATGCCTTCAGATCCAAACGTGGAGTTGGAGTCCCTCGACATTCCGGTCAATGCTGTGGCGACGGCACTGAAGGACTTCTTCTCCAAGAAGCTGCCACCTCTGCTGGATGAAGCCAGTATGACGCAGCTGGAGGATATTGCGGGTGAGTTGCGAGCCGCTAACTTATAAATAAAGTGCTGAAAAGACTTTGAACTTTATGATCTTTGTGATGATTTTCAAGTCAATTACTTTTTTCGCAGCCCATTTCTTTTTGTTGTTTATAAGCTGTGAAGATTCATTCTTTATCTTTTAATCGAATCAGTCCAATCTAAGGGTCTATGCTTATAATTGCGCGGGCGCACGCACGTTCAGAAAATTAGTATGAGCAGAGGGCGCGTATGCCCGTATTATGTGCACCCGCGCAAGTTTTAGCGTACAGTCGACAGCATATAAACAAAATGACAATCGCTAAGCGGTAAGCGCTGTCACTGCTTAAAAAATGATACTATTGAAATTATCAAACGTGTAATCGCCGAAAACTGCCGTAGCGATCGCCACATTATTGCATTTCATAGTGTAGATATAAAGCCCGGTCTGTGAGCACGTAGAATTTTGTCTAATGACCCCAAGCTACCCATCCTTATCGCTCGCGCGTAATTATATTGCTGTCGCGACTGTGCGACGCGCGCCCGCAGTGATTGTACGAGCGCAACGCACAACGACACAACTCGCAAACCAGACTATAGTATATATTATTTTGCATCGACTATGCCCACTAAATAGAAATAATGAGGGCTATCGTTTTAGCGCTCACCAGTTAGCGCCACTGTAGAGTAAGGTCCTGTCACTTGCTAGTAGCGAAGACAGTGGCACCAACTGGTGAGCGCTAAAGTGGTAGGAGGACTATCGCATTTGCACTCATCAAGATGGCGCCACTGTAGAGTAAGGTCCTGTCAATCGCCAGGGGTGCCAACTGTTAAGTATAAAAACGATAGCCCTCCGTCGCTCAACAGATGGCGCTCTCAGCTGGTGACTGCTCGCGCTGCGCACGCTGCTCAATACTGCGCTCACGCCGCTCGCGCGCGCTACACTCGACTACGTGTTACACCACTTCGCGCGGTGAGTAGCGACTCCTATCGCCGCTAGACTTGCGCTCAACAAAGGGACCGCTTGAGTTCACGCCGCTCACGCTACACTCGACTACGTGTTACACCACTTCGCGCGGTGAGTAGCGACTCCTATCGCCGCTAGACTTGCGCTCAACAAAGGGACCGCTTGAGTTCACGCCGCTCACGCTACACTCGACTACGTGTTACACCACTTCGCGCGGTGAGTAGCGACACCTATCGCCTCAGACTTGTGGCTATCGTCGCTCAACAGATGGCGCTCTCAGCTGGCGACTGCTCGCGCTGCGCACGCTGCTCAATACTGCGCTCACGCCGCTCGCGCGCGCTACACTCGACTACGTGTTACACCACTTTGCGCGGTAAGTCCACCACCACTCAATTCTCTCGCTGGTTATTGTCTACCTACACGGATTCTACAGAGAACCATCAGAGATATGTCGCAGCTGAAGCCACGCTCTGACTAGTAACCACCACAGAACACCACTCCCCTCTTTTGTTGATGATTCACGTCTACACGTAAGGTCCCCCAGACCCATCACTGTGGGAGTCTGAACACCATTCTGTGCCTGATGGCATGATGTGTTTGATATAATAATCGCCAGCGAGGAAGATCCTTATTAAACCCATCATCAGAGGGTATACCATGCTCTGGGCAGAGCATTCTTTGCTGCAAATTACCCATAATTAGGACGGCCGGATGGATACTCATCACGGCCGTCCCTATTCATCTAGTCGCCTCTCAACTGCAGGAGCCACCAGCATCCACAAGCTTCAGCGGACTTTACTGCCGCTTGCCAATTCAGACAATAATCTTTACTTTACCTACTCCAGGGTGGCGGATAACTCCAAACTCAATTCAATGGACAGCAAAAACCTGGCCATCTGCTGGTGGCCTACCCTACTACCGGTACAATTCTCGGACATGGGCCGGTTCGAGATGACGCGGCCGTACCTCGAGGACATCGTGCAGACCATGATCGACCAGCACCCCTTCCTGTTCCGCGGGAAAGAGGCGTTCGTCATGGTGTGAGGACAGTGTGTGAGTAGATGGATATATGTTATTTAATTTATTTTATTTTGTTCGGAAAACATACAGTGAAACAAAAACAGACTATAAACCACTGCTTAAGAAACTATACACCATTTACAAGTTTTCGCATTTGTGTAACAATATAATTAAATAACGAAAGCCAATTCGCTCACATGAGAGAGTTAAGATCTACACCTACATTAATTCCATGCTAATAGACATTAGCACTTAAATCACAGATCACAGAAACTAAAGGGAGATGTGACAAGGGGGCGGGGCCGGTGTCGCAGCAATATGCCCAAAAATAGAACACATTGCTGCAGACGTCATAATGTAAACAGTTTACATTGCTTGCGTAGTACTAAAGATACAGTACTCAATACTGATACCGCAGTGAATAATGAGCACATACTTGATTACTTTGTGTGTCAATTTCTAATGCGACACTGAGTTTCGAACTCAGCGCACTAGTTGGCATTTCTATGACTTAAATACTCACAATAAGTCAGGCACTTTTATGGTCGTTTAGCTCATTTATCCTTTTTATTCTGTCATTCCGTTTTTATACCAACTGAACTGACTGATGAGGACGGCCAGGGGGTTAAGTGGGGCTCTCCCCGGCAGAATGGCGAGGCCTACCTACTAAAACCTGATGGTGTCCCCTGGAGCCTCCTATCCTGTCTTCAATAGGACGTGTATTTTTTAATCATTTTAGTCGAATCTTGAAGACAGCATGTTTTCTGTTTTCGTTCTGATACAGTGTGTACAAGTTTAATTACATTGGGGCGCTTACAGTGTAAAAATAACCAATGATATTTTTACTTGTTTTGTGAATGTTATTCGTCCCGTAGAATTCAGAATTCGATTAGACTCGTAAGTTATTTTCGAAAATTCAAGGAACTACTTGAAATAATCATGTTTTAGCATTAGTTACTTCTGTTTGGATTCTTCCATTCATCTTCTAGTTAGTGACCACCAAAACACAAAAATGCAAGTTTTTTCTCATTAGAAACATGTATCTTCCAGGAACCCACAATGCATGTTGCATTCGTGATGGACGACGTCTGACGTCAGCGAAACGACGTCATCAAAACGCAAAATGGCGGCTCAGAGCTCAGTGAGTTTGCAAGCGATTATCGGCCGTGCGGCCTTGCAATACGGACTTGCGCAGTGTCAGACTTTCGTCTTGGTTGTTCTAGTGTAACGTATACGGTTCGAACGAAATCGTGCTAGATGGAGGTTATGTTAACAGCTATTGTTAGTAGTATTTATCAAGTTCGCCGGTAGATTTTTCGTTTCAAAATTGTTCTCATATCATAACGCTTAGTGTTACCGCAAAGAAAGAGAATGCTTGCATTTTAAAAAAGTTTTTTTCTAAACCGCGAACTATTTTATAACGCCGATTATTTACCGCAGTATTTTAATGACTAGGTGTTATTGTATCTGCATTGTAATAGAAGTAAGGAATTCGTGCACAAAAGTATTTATCGGGATATAAAATGTTTTTAAATAATAAGTATTATCGGTAATGTAACGTTTATATTTGTATAATCGATGGCAACACCACGTAAAAGGACATTCCGTTCAGTCGAAAAGTAATTATGAATTAATTGTTAATTATGGATATTATAGTGATATTCGCGTATTGTAAGTTCGTCGGAGGCTTGTGTACATTTTTTGTTGTTATATTTTTGAAGTGCGAGGGAGATATTAAAATACGCCTTTATTTCTTTCAGTCTATAGAAACGATTGACCAAATTTATTTATTCATGATATACAATTTATTTACTGCCATAAATTGATCTATCAAATGTTTTACTGTAGAAAAAAAATGGCATCAAAGAAAAAAGAAACTTCAAGTTGTATATTGCTATCTCTCTGGCACTAACCCTCCCAATTTCATTAGAAAGAGACAGCTACATAACTGCGTCTTGTGTGACCATTATTATTTGGGCCACGTAATATCTTATATTCAGAGTATAATAATATGTTTGAGTATGATACATCACAATACTTAACACGCATATTGCTTTGAACGCATTTATTTATATTAGATAGTAATATATTAAAACGTATTCCGCTTCATGGATTCCAAGCTAATGATCTTCATAATTTAAGGAAAAGAATTATTTTTTACATTATTTTCTAATTCGTAAATAGCAGCTTATGGTTATTTTCTTGGTATTTAACCAAAGATGAAATGTTTTGCTCTCTCCAGTTTAATTAATATACTAAAATCGGACCCTTGTCCAGGTGAAAATTTAATATTTTATTTAAAAATATCTCGTATGAGATCTGTGTCAGATAGTGACTTGAATGGCTATCTGAATCTGTATAAAACATTATTTTTGCATGTCATAGACAAATTAGTCACAGGAGTGTAGTTTTTAAGCTTCTGATACACAACATAAACGTGGCATGGAATGATGAGAAATCCCGGGATTGATGGAATTAGGTATTTCACACTTTAAAAAAAAATTAAATTTAAAATATACACATAAACCTTGCCTCATGACAATTTGTTCGTCTCGGTCGTTTATATGGAGATTTTTGGGGAAGTTCGGAAATCTTGAGGATATTTCATGCTAACGAAATAATTATTTCACCAATATTTCTATTATTGAGATGTCATCAAAATAACAATGTGACATCATGCCTATCTGACATACGTTACTTAACCGTGTGCTGAAATGTTACGTCGTACTGTTATCTCGTGGCTGTGTCAGAAGCTTTAATTTCTAAATTGATCTTAAAAAGGCAGCTTTTTGATACTTTTCTTTCAGACTGATCGCACTTCCACAGTTTTTGTGTAAATTGAAAATATAAAATGCACTATTTTAAATTATAAAACTTTTCTTTTCGACTGCCAATTATGATAATCCTTCGTATGTGAGTGATGCCAATTATGATAATCCTTCGTATGGCCTACTGTATAGCTTTTAGATAGACTGACATACCTAGAGTATTTTTTTTTGTCCAAGCCAAGTTTAAACGCACTTTAAGATTGATAAATTGATAAAAAAGGTATAATTATGTTAAAATAACACTATTAAGATTGTTTATATCATTTTAAATATCTGTCAAAGATTTGAAATGATTCTTTTTGTTAAGTCTTTTAAAAAGTTATATTTTTATGCACATTTAACGCATTTATTTTCTTCATATAAATAAAAGCACATACAAGTACATTTTCTTATATTTACGATTATGTTATTTAATCTTCGAGAAACGAATCTTACACATTTTATGTGCAATTTTTATTACTGTATGAATGAATTGCGTGGCTTTTCGATACGTTGCAAAAATGCAATTTTAACTGATTCGTTTAACCCAAAAATGAAAGTATTTATAAGTATATTTAATATATATTAGATGTCTCCATTAAGCATAGTTAAGATGTATTTACGTAAGTTTTTATCGATATAATAATGTCATTATATCACTGTCTCTCTCGCTCACACGCTCTCCTTCACGTTTGAAGCACGAAACGTGTGAGCGAGCGAGACAGACAATATCATGTCCATTAGGGGAATGATGTGAGGGATTTTTTATATTTTACTATGAATCGAAAAAGACATAGAGCCTACCTGTGTTTAAGTTTTATTTTTCTAGAAATTTTCGCTTTTCTTAGATCTCATGTGGATGTGAACATTTGTTGTTTTACGAGACTTCCCCTAATGATTTTTAAAATGCAATTTATATAAATATTCGATGTAAATATTGTACATTCATTCATTTATTTTTGCATAATTTATTTATTGAGTTTTTTTTATTAATGAAAGAGTTTTAAAGCCATATGTTTGTTACTTGATACATTGTGTTCTTTTTGTTTTCATTTTAATATTATTTCCAATGCACAGTTCTTTTTTGTCTTCTAAAACTACGTGCCATTTGTGTTGACAACGTATGGTGATTCGGTGATTCCTAAAAGTTGTGTTGTTTAGAAATTTTGTTCGTCCGAATTTTCTTGTAGTTTCTCGAATGTTCTAAAGTAGAATCAATGTACGCTTGACCGGGCGGTGGCTGCTCGCCTGCCGCGCGATTGTGACCCTTACGTCGCTAGATTACTTTGTGATGATGGTGAAAATTGCTTGTATAGGTTTAGGGAATTGTGGGGATGGTTGTATGAGGAATGGTATAGGCCTTTCTTGGAAATTTGCCTTGATCGTTAGTGATACGACACACGGGAGGTTGTAGTACTATTCAGAGGTATTTTTGTGTGAGGGTAAAGGGATATTAAGGGCTAGTTAAATAAATCATAATATACTAGGACTACTAAATTAAGCCTGGAATTTCACACAAATTATTTTCTAAAGTCCCTTACAGTGGACTGATTTTTTCGGTATTACATTGACGCTAACTTAGTCTTATGAATGCTTCTCACTCGCTCGCAATAGAGATCAAGTGAGTCGCGATTATCTTTCACTATGTACTAGAAATAAATGCCTTTTGGAACAGACTTGTGAAGAAAAAGTCAATACAAACGGGTAATTTTGCCTCAGAAGTCTTTGATGGTCAATATAGTGTTATATTGTGAATTTACCCGACTGCGCCAGAAGGAGGGTTATGTTTTTTTAGAAATATGTGAGTTTATGCATTATTTAAAGGCGCATCTTCACTAGGATCGCACGTCTGACATTCGTGAACTTAGCGTAAATAATACACGACAATATAGTACACGACACGAATCTCCGCCATGATTACTAGTGTAGTCGCACCCTTATGTTAAAGTGTGGCAAGCAGTAATATTCCTTCTCCCTCACACAATGTTGCCAGTATTTTTCCTATTTGTAATGTAGAGTGTGATCAATGTTGTGATATACGGTCGGGTCGCGCGGGCGAGGGCTCGCCCGGTACATAAATTTTGCTATGTGCGTCTCAATTACTGTAAAACCCAGTTCAAAGGAATGTGTCATATTTTATAATAAATAACCATCTATGTAATGACCTTGCGTTTCATTCAACATACACACACTAACGCTCTAGTACAGTCAACGTCAAGTCAAATAGTTCGAGACACCCAAAGTGGTCAAAATGACAACACAACCTTATTCCAATTGTTGCAAATGTGTTGCGAACTTTTTGGCTACTTTGGGAGTCACAAACTATTTTTTTTTTATCCACAACGAGGAAGCTCTTGGCCTGTATAGTTCCAAAATAGTGAACTGTCCTATCGATGACATTGACAGTGGGGCGCCACCGTCAATACCGGATCGCTGGTTCCGATTTTTGCCATGTTGGAAACCATATAGTTGAACCGGTTGAACGATGGTAGCGCCTCCCTGTCATTGAGTTTAGTGGGACAGTTCAGCGTGGGTCATCTATATCTCACCTGTATCTTTTGACACTGACTGAACTAAGCTGAATATAGACCCTAATTTACAATCTAAAGTAGCAGAATAATCAAATAGTAAATTAGGCTTAAATTCTGTGCTCATTTATGGTTCATTGACTATGTTCGAACCATTTGCATGACATGAAACGCCACGCCCACAAAGTCATGGTAACGCCAACTGTATGCCACAAAGTCAATGGAATAATGTACCTTATGTCCATGTTATACGCGCAGTCTTTTACAAGAATATGAAAATGAAAAGCCAAATTACAAATAGAATAACGTTTATTTTCCATTCAACAGACATAAACATTTCACTACAGTGCATACGGAATCACAGATTAACTTAATATACATAATTATGTACACTTAACAACTCTTAACTGTGTGAAAGAGATAATGCTGTACGAGTATAATGTTTGTAAGACACTGTCTCTCTCACACACTAAAACTGTTCTGCATTTCTGCCAAAATTAACTCCAGTTTCACGATAAAAAATTAAAGTTGACCTTTGCTGCGTTTATTCTATACAAGAATCCAACACAAAGCAGCAAAAAATATTTTTATTTGTACTGTATACTTCTGGGCCAAAGAAATGCTAAATGAGTATTTATCATAGGGTCACTATGTCACTATTCTAAAATAATTATTGCATTTTTTAAACAATGTAATTATAATAATATTTCTTATCGCCTATTTGCATATTTTGCACTTTGATAACATTAATGTATAACAAAACTTGTTGCAATTTAATATTATTACTTAATTTTTTATATTATTCTCAATATCTTAAAACAAAATCAGATCACAGAAAGCAATAAAAATTTGAATTTTTCAAGACTAGAAATTGAATTTTGTAACGAGAGTGCGTTTTTTGTAAGTGGCAGTTAAATCAAGATAATTTTAGATATTATTTTTTAATGCACGTGCTCGTGGATTTTTCTTGCATACTGTTACACTCAGAATACGGAACAAACCAGAAACCGTCAACGGGCGTAAATGTGTATTCATATAAAGTACTCCAAATCGCACTACTTTGACTTTAGAGCAATCAGTCAATGGCCGGCGCGCGCATTGTTTACATATCCGTCAGATTGACACTTTATAATTAAATTATCCAACATGTAAGAATGCTACTGGAATTACGAAGAAAGTGCATGGGATCATGTTTTATCCGTAAGTAGCACATTTCCAATTCATTTTAATTAAATAATAATTTTCAAAAAAAATCACGGTTGTATTTTGTAAGTGTTGCCACAGGTCAACGGAATATTTTACCCTACTTTTTTATATTGAATTACATTTGTCTACTTATAAAAAATTCACGCGTTAATTTTGTTAGCGTTACCACAGAATAATGGAATATTTTCCCCATCCTTTTTGTTTTAATTAGTTTTTAGTGTAATTTCATCCATGACATGACAACCTGATTAATTAAATTATAAGTGCCACTTGTGGTCTAAACTGAATAAATATTTTTGATTTTGATTTGATTTCAATATATTGAATTAATTTATAATATTACTCCCTAATAATGAGGAGATAATAAATTACTATCGTGAATTTCATACTTTCCCATTTATTCAAAAGTAAGGCATTGGTATCAACAGATCAGCAGCAGCAATATTTGTATATTTAATAATAATTTTAAGTAATTAATTATTGCTTACATACTTACTCTGATTTTTTTTCAGGATACACAGCCAGAGTTGCCTCGCAATCAAATTTAAGTATTGGTGATGTTTTTGATTTGGATTCTGTTTTTGACTCCAAGAAAAGTTAAACTAAAAGCACTACTGCGCCGTAAACAAATGTTTTGTTGTCGATATGTTTACATAATAAAGAACCTTAAGTTTCTTTTTTGTTTTACTTGGCATTCTAAAATTTATATTCGACTTTTGTAATTGACTTTTAAATAACATATTATACCTACATAAAATATAGTACATATATTACACTATTTAATAGAAATAAATAATCATCTTACACTTAGTTACTTCGGAGTAAAAATTAAATTCATAGGTAGGTAGGTACTATCTATGCCTATGGCCAGTCATGTCGTCTCGTTCTATCGCAAAGAATCACCATTTGATAAGAGCGAGAGCAAAAACGGAAATGGATAGTTAACACTGGCCGTGTGTACTTATTTCACTTACTTATTTTTTACTTGTTTAACATCTCTTTAAAAAATTACATAATTTTACCCCAAAAATGGGGGTGTCACACGGCGCTAGTAACACTAAAGGGGGTAGAGGGGCGCGGGAGGGGAAGTATTTTGGACACAAGTTGCCGCGTAGAAATGTTATCGAACACTCCTTCTGGTTTGTTCTGTATTCTGAGCTGTTACATTAACAGATTTTATTATGAAACGAAAGTCGAAGCCCATTTGAGCATTGACGAAATGTTGAGCTCTCAAATCACAAGTCTTACTGAAGCTTTTTTGAAGAGAAACAAATGGGGGCTTCAAAAAGTACCTTGTCCACCTGAATGGTGACTGAAGAATCGAAATCCAATTTGAGCATTGTCAAAGGATTGAGAAGCTGGAAATCTCACGGTCTTAGTTGAAGATCTTTTAATGTGTGACGGATGGATCTGAAAACGGAGCTGCGGAGGATTGAAGAAGCAACTACTCCAGTTGGAGGCGAAGAATTCGTTCTATTTGAGCATTAACGAAGACTGCTTGTGACCACGGCTGTAGCAACACGACCGAAACGTCTAGCTGTAAGTACCTACTCATGTATTTAATACAAGTGAGGCTAAGAACTCACGGCGCGATTTTCACGCGCGCCCGCGGCGCTTGTGGAATTGCGGATTTATTTCAAAACTCACGGGAGCGGTTATTAGCGCGATTTTCACCCGAAAATCACGCCATGAGTTCTTAGCCTGAATGTCGCATTTGAGACCCGTTCTTCTCAGTTAACGAAGTGTTTAGAAGCTCTTGTAATATCTGTAGTCACACACATCCAGCGCCCCAGCAGCCACACCAAGGTATCGACCCGTCATTGGGTGGCGCCGAAAGTTTTCGAGACTTGTGCGTGCACGCAGACGCGAGCGAGTTTACTGACGAACACATGCTGTTCGTGTGCTCATGCTCCGAATGGGAGGTCGTCATCTCCTGGAAGAAGGTAAGATTACGTTAAATTAATGGTTTCTTATTTATTTGTAATGCTAACGAAATACCTACATTTCGAATGTGATTTTTTACTTGAGGTGATGCTTAATCCACAAATTTTGCTGTGTGACTGCTCTGACCAACTAAATACATTGATGCTTGGAGAACTTATGAAGTAGAGCTGATACTTGGCAAATTATTCTAGTTGTTCTTATTTTACCAGTAGGTACACATTTACTCAGATATTTAAAACGTATCGCGAAGAGCATGTGAGTAGAGATTAAGAATTGGAATACCAAAAAACATGACGTGATTAGGTATTATTACAAAACGAGAAAATATTTTTGATGGATCTTAAACTTAAGTTGTTATGTAGTTTATTCATAAAAGTAGCCTCACCGTAATAATATTCTTGAATCTCACCTGATAGCTGTCCCGCTTGTACCGCGGGCCCGAGCTAGACGACGATAGAGTGTTCCGCGGCCGATGCCGCGTGCAGTGCTTAGGCTTCTCTTGTTCCTCTATCAACCTCTCATTCTCACTTTCTACATTTGCCACTACACCGTTCTTCGCTGTCCCATTCTTCCCCTCTTTCTTCTTTTCCCTTCTTTTCCTCTCCCTCTTCTTAAACGTCAGCGAGAACCGTTTCCGCTTCTTCGCTTTTGGAGTTTCTGGCCGTTGAGGCACAGTCGACTTCTCCCTTTCAGATCGACTGGTGTCATCATCTGGTGGCGGAATTTGTGATTCAGAATCAGTTTTCAAAGTCATTTCAGTTCTGGTGGAAGAATCGGGCTCCCCGTTTCTGTAGGCTACTTCTTTCTCCAAATTGGCGAGCTCCATTCTCCGTAACCGCTTCGGCAGTTTGTTCACTGTGGCGTATATCGGTTCTTCATTGTCTCCTACTGGAGCGGAACGTGATCTGAAGAAGAAATCAAACTTTCTCGGTTTCACTGGGATTCTTCTTTCAACGAAGACCACAGTGCTGGCCACTTCTGTTGTAGTCGTTAATTCTTCTCCTGATTTCGGACTGGGACTGCCTGCTACTGGGGTAGATTTAGGATAGTCGTACGTCAGTTCTATGTTCTTTTCTGTGACGTACGATTTGGGCGGTGGTATCGCATCTCCATTAGGTTGTGGCGGCGTTGGAACAGGTTCTGGCTTTTGGCAGCAACATTGCCTTTGCATCACTCGTTTTGTGTTACACATGAATACGGAATTTTGTTGAATGAAAGTCGTCTGTATAGTTGGCGTTGATTGGACCTCTCCTAATAAATCTTCGACGTTGCCTCCAGTGTGGAAGCGTGGCGGTTGGTATGGGGCGACGACGAAACCGGGTGGTGGTGGAGAGGCAACGTGGTAAGGTGGTGACGTGACCGATTCGAAGAATCTAGGGATATCGGTGGGGGCATCGTGGACGAGTACATCTACGGTTCTTTCGTGTTTGTCCGCCTTTTTTGGAGGCGCGCGCGCATTGTTCGCGCTCATTTGGCGCTCGATGGCTATCTGCTTGGATGGGCTATTGTCCTCAGCTTCTTGACACTCATCACAAGTGCACGGGGACTCGATGCCACTCTGAAAGCAATAGTGTTATGAATTTGGAGATATTTTTAGAATGTTTTTGAAACATGCGTTGGGAAGGTGAATCATTTGACTAGCATTTGTGGTTTGTTATAGAACATTGTTTGAAAACTATGTTTTTGTTCACAAAAATCTTTTAGGTGTACGAGTACATCAAAGAAAACGCTATCTTACTCCTCACGTCACTTGAATGATTTCGTAATGTGGTCATTTATGCCTCTTACAATTTTATAACTCGGCCTTTTACTACTTTTCCAGACACGGTTAACCCTGAGTGTGGTTTGCGGCACATCCGACCATCTGGTGCTTCAGAAATATCTCGCACGTCATCCAGAAGTTTTGTCACGTATTTATTGCGTTATGGGGTGTTAGAATCACCGACAAAATTTGAAATTTGCATACGCTAATGTTGGTGGGCTTCCGAGAGACGTTAAGGATGACGTGTTGACGCTTTTAAAGCTGTCGTCTGAATTCTAAACGTAATATGAATGAACTGGATACATGGGACAAGTTTTAGAAGGATATTGCACGGTTAAATCATTTTAGTTAATTAATAGAAATCGCCATTTAACATGTGATAATAATAACAACCAAATGAAAATCATAAGTATCTATCTAAGCTACCGATTTTGCATAAAGATTATAGAATACTATCATTAACAGCTTACATGATGGATAGGTTCATAGTCTAAAAGCTATTTCAGAAGCTGAAATCAAAATTTAAACTCATAAAACGATATTTACAAGACATTATCATAACACGGCTGACGAGCCGAAAGCGTTTTGATTTATTTTCACTGCGTCCTCGTTCACGTTAAATGTTTTAAATATCACAAACATTCCACGAAACTCGATTAAAATAGTTATGTTCACAACCAGTAATAGAGTGTACCTTTTCATAAAAACTGTAAGAATGAAAACTGGAAAATCACGACACAATATCCAAAATTGCGCACGCGTTTGTGGCCCGTCACCGCGACGAACGACTCGCGACTGAATTTATTTATACACGCGTACATTAGGTGTTACAATATTTTCTAGCGCAGCCGGTATGCCCGCCCTTGACTCATATTTACCAAATTCAAGAATGCTCATCTTCCACCAAGAAGGCACAAAATCGACTGCCCAGAAATTCTATTTTTGAATTAATTCACGTAAAACGATCCATCTCACTGAGTGATCAAAAATAAACGAATTTGACTTCTGGCAAAACATTAGTCCAGTAGAATTAGCTTTTAAATCGGAAATAATTCCTACAAAAGATTTTATTGTTTTAATGGCTTCATTGGTTGCCCATTAAGACTCTCCTAAGTTTTCGACTTCGACGGAGTTGTGCTTAAGTGGTGAGGGCCCCCGAAAGGGGCATATTTTCGGTTTTCCGGTTATACCGCGTAAAGGACTTACCCTATCAAAAAGTGGTCTTCATGACGGTTGAAGGGCACTTAATCCTGCATTGAATAAGACCAAATTCATATGTTTTGGACAAACCGTTCTCGCGCTAAAGTTCGGCAAAGTAGAAAATATACGTATAATTAATGACCCTCTCCACGTCCAATGGTTTGTTACCCACAGGCTTCCAAGTCTTGAAAAGGGCCACCTCAACCAGTGTAACCCTATCAAGGCTTACGAGCTTGATGCGCCTATCCTTGTTCGTCCCAGCCGTTCCTTAACTGCGGTTGCTGCACCTCTTCCTGGCACTCACCTGAACGACTCTGTGTTACCTACTGTGGCTGCCCCTCTTCCTTGTATCCTCCTGCATGACTACGTTGCCTAGCCGTATGCCTGGTCTAAGGTTCGACGCCAAAAATCAACAACAACAAGTTCATATTAAAACGCTGAAGAGTTTTTTGTTTGTTTGTTTGAACGCGCTAATCTTAAGAATTACTAGTTTGATTGAAATCATTATTTTTGTGTTGAATAGCTCATACATTGAGGAAGGCTATAGGATATATACAATCACTCTACGACTAATAGAGGCGAAGCAGTAAAGAAAAATGTTGCAAGCACGGGAAATAGTATTTAAACTATTTTCACTCGTACGAAGTTGATTTTGTGGCGTCGAACCTTGGACCAGGCATATGGCTAAGCAATGAAATCGTACAGGAGGGTACAAGGAAGAGGGGCAGCCACATTAGGTAACACAGAGTCGTTCAGGAGAGTGCCAGGAAGAGGTGCAGCAACCGCAGTTAAGGAACGGCTGGGACGAACAAGGATAAGCGAATCAAACTCGTGAGCCTTGTTAGGGTTACACTGGTTAAGGCGACCCTTTACAAGGCTTGGAAGCATGTGGGTAACAAGCCATTGGACGTGGAGAGGGTCATTAATTATACGTATATTTTCTACTTTGCCGAACTTTAGCGCGAGAACGGTTTGTCCAAAACATATGAATTTGGTCTTATTCAATGCAAGATTAAGTGCCCTTTAACCGTCATGAAGACCACTTTTCGATAGGGTAAGTCCTTTACGCGGTATAACCGGAAAACCGAAAAAACGCCCCTTTCGGAGGCCCCCACCACTTAAGCACAACTCCTTTGAAGTCGAAAACTTAGGAGAGTCTTAATGGGCAACCAATGAAGCCATTAAAGCAAAAAAATCTTTTGTAGGAATTATTTCCGATTTAATCAATTTTTGTGTTTAATTCTACTGGCCTAATGCATTTCATTGAGTAGATGAAAGGGGCTTGGCGATTCGTGATGTAACTACGGGCTCTGGCGAGAAACGTTTTATTGTCTGTTTAGTTTTGTTTAATGTGTGTACGAGAGTGAGAATGAAGCATCTCAATACGCAAATTGGTACATGCTGGAATGGCCGAGGAGTAAAAATAACACTTTATTACATAAACTGAGTTGCTTTTACCTGTATTATAACTGAAATAGAAAGAGTTTAAAGCAGGAGCAATTTGAAGTGGTTTATGAGTTCATAAGCTTTTTTTTCATCTGGATGTTTGACTGATTTTGGTAAGATTTTTGTGGTGATTTCCGAACCGAAGCCGAGAGGAGAAATGTGGTAATAACTTTTGATTGGCAACTTCAAAAGACGTCTCTCAGACGAGAGGAGAGGAGACCCTCTCCTCTTACCTTTGATGCAAATCGGGCCTCAGGGAGAAATATGTGAACATCAGGCCTCCCCAACCCGTTTAGCCAGTGTTCAGCGTGGAGAGTTTAGGCCTAATTCTCTGGTAGATTAAAGACGGTCGTGTTCCTGCAGTGGATATTGAATGAACTGGTTATTGATGATACAAAGATACTTATTATCAAGTATTCATTTAACTTGCACTGCAAACCACTCATGTCATGAATGAAGCAAACAAACCTTGTCTAGGCTCGTTATTTTTGTCTTGATGAGGACTCTTACATTGTAGACTAAAAGCTTAAAAAAGGGGTTATTTAAAATAAGATTTTAAACTTTCCCGTCCCATTTCGACTTAAATACGGACGGACGCCGCGATCCGCCAGTCTGCTTGTGACCACTCCGTCACGTCAAGCCTCACACTTGTGATACCGTCAAGCCTTACTAACTATTCTAACTCATTAATAAATGTCGCGTTAAGACCCGTGTCTTTCTATTTATGTGTTATTAATTATAAATTTTTACCTTATTTACCTTATTCCCTTCCAGCTCAGCCTCCTCCGGGACCACGCTGAGGTCATGAAACGCAACACGCGTTGAGCCGTCTGCGCTCGCGCACTCGGGGCACGCGCTGCACACAGACGCGCTGTCCTGCCAAGCGATACTAGTACTTATTTACTGTGGGTTACGGTGCATTGTCAAAGTGAAAGAGATGGGTACCAAACAATATTGTGGGATACAACTCAAATGTATCAAACTATACACATTAGGTACACCAATTTGCTCGTATCGGTCGATTCTTCATAGAAGCCGAAGCCTAAACTATTGCCCGAAAAAAGTTTGTAGTCTGCGAAGACTCCTACAGTGTTAGGCGATTATCATACTGCGCCGCGCTCCGCGTGATTTCATATAAAAAATCCCGCGCGTAGACGCGTTGTCAGTGTGTTGTGCCGCGCATGTTTTCTATATAAACTGAGGTACTTGCATTCAATGATTAAATCTGTCGTCCCGCGAACCGCGGCGGAGCGCGGCGCAGTGTGATAATCGCCTTAGACTCTCGATTTCAAATTCAGTTATTCCGGGTTTGTTTCATTGCCATTTCCAGTCAGCCAGTCAGTTTGGTAAGCCCTAGTTGCCTGAAGCAAATAAATAAATAGAAATGGTTTCTGTTATCTAATCAGATCAGAAATTAGGAGAATTCAGACCGGATTGTCTAGCTAAAATGGCAATGCATAGGGCCACATAGCACCAGGAATTGACCAGGTTGCAGGTCGCTCACAACCCCAACCAGCCAATCAGGAAACCATTGGGTTTGGAAGTGACCTAGATGTTCAGCAGTTGACGTTCTGTGGCTTGATGATGATGATAATGATGTAATATAAAAGTCACGTACGTCCGAGTGTTCAGGCGAAGACCTGCGTTCCCTTAACATGCTGTCCAGGCGGTCGTACTCGTATCTCAGAGCTGATATCTCCCTCTTGAGCTGCTCGTTCTCTCGCTTCAACTTCTTGATGTCTGATTGACCTGGAACAGTCGTGGCGGAAAACTTTTTGCTTTAAACAAATACAAATTCAAACTTTTAGCACAGATACAGGACAGACTGTCCAGGCGCCTCAGAACGACGAGAGTCGACCCTAAAATGGTAATGGAAAGGTCAAAGAAGAAAGAAGATGATAACACAGATTCGACAAAGCTGTTGAGTTTCCAAATAAAATGTCGGCTTCATACGATTGTGTGGTATCAATTTTGTGGAGTTAGTAAGGACGATCTCTGAACTGAGTGTTTTGTTCCAACTCAAAACTCTTAAGATAGAACTCTGGAGTTCCCCAGGGTTTTTGTTACCTTGATCAGTGATGATAAGTCAGTCAAAGTACGGAGTACATTACGGGCAGCAGGACCGGTCCTTATGGAAATCCTTGGGGAAGGCTTTGTCCAGCAATGGACGTCATTTGGCTGAAACGATGGTGGTGAAAGTATCGTTACCTCTCTCCACCTCAGCGTTAATGTTGATCGTGCGCAGACGCAGCTCCTCGTTCTCGTAGAGCATACCCCGCGAGGACTTGCGGTCCAACCTGCGGGACAATGGCTTTTGTACCCACAGTCTATGGTTTGTTAAGTTGGACTCTGGGCGTTTGCAATCGATATATGAGTAAGAACTTGCCCCCAAGAGCAGAAGCTGGGTACGCCCATGGCTAATCTACACTATTTACACTAATATTATAAAGAGGAAAACTTTGTTTGTTTGGTTGTAATGAATAGGCTCAAAAACTACTGGACCATTTTTAAAAATTCTTTCACCATTCGAAAGCTACATTATCCACGAGTAACATAGGCTAAATTTTATTTTGGGGAAAAATAGGGTTCCGTATAATATTTGGGTTTTTCGGACATAAGGTGTAAAAAATCAACCAGAAAAGTTACTTATTTTGCGTACCAATGGTCCACTATAGGCTAATAATGTAGTCCATGCGGGCGAAGCCGCAGGCGGAAAGCTAGTCAAAAATAAAAGGTTGTGAGTTGTGACCTCATTTGTTAGGTAGGTACTAGGTATATACCTACAATCAAACCATGGAAGAAGAATGTGATATTGATATTGTGTATTACATTATCCAAAGAGCCAGTTTCTTTCCATTTTATGACCAATAAAACATCTTAGTTTATGTAGAGACTTTGGTGCAACCACATATTATGCAAGTGATATGCATTGATTGCAAACGCCCCTAGTCACATACATCTAGAAAAAATTCAACGCTGTGCCCAACGAATTTGTTAGTTCTACAAATTTTATTATATTTTACTGTTTCTATCTACTTCTACTTGCTTTATGAGTTAAGATAGGTACTTTGTAAGTTACGATTTTAACACTACAAGCAAACACGGAAATGGTTAGTCACTGGAGTAATAAATCACACTGTAGGTATGTAATGTGTTTTGTATTTGGATTAAACTAGTAATAATCTTCTTAATTCTTCTTTTTTAAAGAAGTTGTAAAGGTTATCTAAAAGTAGTGTGAAAAACAATATTCATTTTCCGTCTTTACGAGACGTAGATTTTGAAAAGAAATTCTTTAAGTATTGTCTTTTACAGATTGATACAATTATAAACTGGGAACAGTTCTTTTATCAAAAAAGTAATGTTGTTACTGTTATGGATATTGACTAATTTTCTTTGTGTAAAAACAAGCTATAAAACACGGCAACCCTGACACTAGCGCGCGTATTTACTTGCGATTGGGCTTGACGTTGACATCTTTGCGGCGCGTGCGCAACATACTCGCTCCCGTCATCCCGGACATGTTTTTTTCGCTCTGCTGCCATGCGCCGGGTTACACCTGTGGGAGAAAAAATATTTTAAATATAGCTGGTGCTAAAAATCATAATCATCATCATCATTTCAGGCATAGGACGTCCAGGTCCACTGCTGAACATAGGCCTCCCCCAATGATTTCCACAATGGCCGGTTGGCAGCGGCCTGCATCCTGCCTGCAGCCTTTATGAGGTCGTCGGTTCACCTTGTGGGTGAACGTGCTCAATATCAAGTATAAAATGTTATTTATTACAAATTTTTACTGTTAGCAACTCCTTATCCTTATGCTTGAAGCGTGTACATGTGTCTAAATAAATTGCATCGTTCATTTTATGAAAACAACAGCACTATTCTTTCCATTGGTCCTTCAAGCCGGATTAATTAGTAATCTAGGATATACAGTCCACTACAGTGTCTCTTTCAACTGATTAACGTTAAACGTAGTAAGTAAGCTGGAAAATGTAATCATAACAAATATTAAACCAAACTTTAAAACCATTTTAAAAATGACTAGGTACGTAATCTGTAAAATTCTTCTAATTAATACCTACCACCTGTCTACTAAATCGAGGCATTGATAGTTCCAATTTGCATGAGTGTTAACAGTCGTAGAACAATACACCATTATGCTGTCAGTTAATGATGCTTATTCCGATGTGCAATAGGTAGGTAAAGGACGAAGCACACTTAAATCAACCCGGAAAGGGATCGTAACCGTATCAACTCGATGCGGTCAGTATTCTTTGTATGAAACTCCACACTGCAACGCACAGCTATCCACAGCATAAACGGGGATTGTCAACGGGGAATAGTGGAATAAGCCTAACGTAAAAGTCTCGCATCGCGGTGACAGCTGCGAAAATCGACGACAGCTCGCAAAAGGCGATACGGTGATCCCTTTCCGAGTTGATAAGTCTCCTATGACCTTTATCCTCTTGAGCACCTATATCGTTAATCACTTTCAGAAGGCGTATCGTGTCGCGCAATCTATTGGAAATCGATGGAATACTTAAAATGGATAATAGGCTTGTATCGAGGTAGAGTCAAGTAGCGAATAAATTGCCGCTTCGTTAGAAATAATGGCGATCGTAACTTTAATCCAATTAGGAAAGAGCGAAAGTAAGTTTATGTAGGACAAACTTAGGTAACAAATGCAGAATTGACTCGAAAATTGTTGATTTTATGTAGGACAAGCAGAAAGTGAAGTGAGTTAAGTAAGTTAATTATTTCTTAAATCGTCATTTTGTTGACGGTATTTTTAGGTAGATATTAAAACATTCATTACTTTAAACAATGTTGAACATTTACAGTTTAAAAAAATCCCGAGATATTGCAAACAACACCGACTTTAAAACTGATTTTCTGTATTATATTAATTTGTTATAGCTACAGTAAAAATAACCTAATTTAAAGAATCAATCAAAAAAGTCTAACTTTTGAGCTGAATTTTAAAAACACTGATCTCACCTAAAAGTTCTGCGAGTAAACTTTAAAACTAAGCACTACTTATTTCTAATTCTACTCTACAGAGCTACTTCACAAACTAAACTTCTACTGGCGACTTAACGCAACTTACCGGCGCCTACCACGCGGATAATCCTAAGACGCGGCGATCTGCGACTCGTTGCTAATCAAATTTGCCAGGCGCTGACGAAGCCACGCTCTCGTATCCACTTGAATTCTAGCGGGGTTACTCCAAAAAGGTTATCCGAAGTATCGAATATCGTTATCCCTCTCACGCAAAGAGAGATGCTAGCATGAGTGACGGTGATAGATAGCCGAGACTACGTAAACAGCGTCTCGGGGTAGGCCTGCAGTTTGCTCATGCGCTGTATCGCGAATTCGCAAGTGATCTGACAGGTCATCAAGCTAAGAACTGGAGCATTTTATGTCGTCGTAATAGGCTCTATTTTGCAGTAAAAATGTGCAAGTCTGTTGTGCTGGCGACTGTTTAGATACTTGAGTATAATTAATGCGAGAAACATCGTTATAAAAAATTTAAGGCTTGAGGTTTGGGAAAATAAATAACTGCTCGTGTCTCATCATAATTTTTCACTGTCAACATTAAAGTAGGTACAGTTTCACTTCAAATAATCTTTTTTTAATGGTTTAAACGAACAATCGTAGCAAATCGTAGCGGGGGTTATGACAGAATTCGTAACGTTGACTACGAAAGTGTTACGACCCAACTACCGTTACAGACTACGAGTTTTTGTAGCATCGTAGAGTTTAATATTTTCTTATCCATAAATAAAGTCTCCAATAAATACTTAATTCACTATTTAATAACGCCACGCATTTATTTTTAATGTGTAAACATTTTAGTATAAATAAAGTAGGTAACTAGGGTTTCAAAGTTATTTTCTTCATTGCTGTAGCCATAAAACCAATCTCCAGTATTAATAACCAAACTTTAATATCTATACTTACTAGGGTAAGTAATAAAGGCGAACTTAATGCCATAGACCATCCTCTGCCAGTTAACTGAAATATGATTTGTAGGTCGTACGTAAATTCTAATTATCAAAGTATTGATAAATCATTTACACAAATGGGGCAGGTAACTTATTATGTCATCTTTCTTACAACAACTTATTTAACTGCTATATTTAAACATCGCACGTCATTCTTGTAAAGTATTACCAAGTATTACGCAGAAGGATGGTAGAGCTATTTGCGTTGTGTACTTCTAGCCTTAAGGACAACTATTATCCTATAATGCAATAAAGAGGTTTAGGGTAACCAGGCTTACTCAGGATTTTGTAAGTTACTCCCAGGTCTTGTTGCATGAAAGGAGTGAAGAATGGTTAGGTTTAACATTGTCTGTTTTTGAGAGGAATTACCTTCGTTTCCATTTTTATACAACTAATACTAAAAATAATATTGGTGTAACAACTTGAAAGTTATAGAAAATCAATTACTAACTTTTAGATTGTTACGACCATGTAGTAGTGAGACTTAAATGAACATAGACGAAGTTACGTGAAGAAGCTACTTAATCTAAATAACAGTTTCAATTCTGTGGAAAGTCCTGTTCGTTAATTTTAATATTTTATGTCTACAATAAATTCACAGTAGGCTATAAGGATTCGCACGTAGGTGCTTAACACCTCTTAGGTACTCTTATTTCTGTACCTATTCAGAACAATAAAGTATAAAATCAATGATGGTCACCCTACCCTAAGTGCATCAAGGGTGGATGTCAAAGTGCAAGGTGGCGCTTGCCCCAGTCCTTCTGCGAACATTATCGACGCGGTGGATCTATATTTTACGCTGTTTATACAACGGCACATCGAGTTACACGTTGTGGTATTTCATCTACTTGTAAAAGGTGCTGTTTTACAACAAAAAAGTATAGAGTGTACTTGAACTTTCTGGTTTAGTGTTTGTGTTGTGAGTCAGTGTTATCATCCGTGATAAAAAAGTTTTTAAGCCATCTAGCTGTGTGGTTCTGTTTGAAAAGTATTTTAAATTATTTTCTTTGGTAAAAAGAATCGGAAACTCTCTCGAAAAGTTCTTGTTTGGTAACCATGGATCAGAAAACTCCACTTACTGAACCGACGGTCTTAGTGAAAGTCATAGGAAGCACCTGGGTGTGGGAAACAGGACTAGTAATTGTGGAAATTCCTGGAGGAAGCCTTTATCCAGCAGTGAACGCCCTTGACGATATTTTTCTTTGGTCAAAATATTCTAGTAGGCTTGTGTTTTTTTCCAAGTCTACTAGTTTTTCAAAACGCCATTATCTCCTTAACATCCAGTGCTAACCTCATTGCATCAGTAAATGCGATAGCAGCTCTAAAACTGCAAGTTTACGCCCTATAAACTGATGAAACGCATAAAACATACGTGTTTAGGGTGGCCATATTCGTCTCACATTATTGGGAAAATGCGTACCTACCTACATACATAGTGTCAGTGTATTCTGTTCACTGCTTGACGTTAAAAGAGCGAATTTTTTTTAACTAGCTCCTTATTTTTTTATTCGCCCTTTTACAGGGCGCTTGTATACTTCCCAGATAATAATTAGCTTGCCATGCCACTACTTCGGGACAACAAACGGGCTGTTGCTGAGAAGAAGTGGCGAAACAAGTCCTATAAACATCTTAAAGACCTTTTGTCTGTGTTTGACTTCAAATTCAGTAATAAAATTAATAATTCTCATATTTTGTGACGTTTATTTCTTAGCAGTGAGGCTGTAAGTTGAAAGTTGTCTCCTCCTCTAGTATGATTCTGGTTACCCTATTCCCTATAGATTCGTTGGATGACTATCAAGCCCCGTTCCCCAGCCCATAAAACAGCTATGAAACACATAGTTTCAGGCTGAAAAGTGGATTAGTAGAGATGAAATGATGATATCCGGAACAAAACTAAGATTAATAACATTCATTACAATGTAATAAGTAGGTAGTGACTAGTGACCCAAGGTCTTTTCTTTTTATGAAGAAAAGACCTTATGTTATCACAATCTACATCGTTCCTGAAAAACGCGCGAATGACTGACACGTCCTCCCTGAAAAAAATTTTCGTTAAATTCTCCATTTAGGTTACTAGGTATTATGTTAATAAATCATGTAGAGAGTCTTGAGAAGGTTATCATTCATTGTTTTTTATCTTCTTCTTCTTCTTCCTCTGTCCCTCACTGATGAAGATCGCGCGCGACCACATTAGTGTTCCTCTACAGACTGCGTCTGCGGTCATAAGCTGTGTGGACCTCACGATGCAAACTTTTCATTTGTTTTTATAGAGTGCCTGAATTATAATTGTCACTTTCACTTAGTTTACGCGTTTCAAGGTTTTTCCAGTTTCCGTCAAATTGGTTTAATCTCTATCATAGTTTTTCAAACAGAACCACTCTAGAATTAGTGAATAAAGTGATGACATTCCTGGAACCATGCTGATCACCGGAGCCCTACTCCTGACCAGACACAGCTTACTGCATCGGGTAAGTATCTTTTCACAAGTCTTTATACTGAGATAAAACAAAGTCGCACCCGCTGGTCTGTGCGCTTAGATCTTTTAAACTAC